AGCAGCTTGTAAGGCCATTTCTTCGTTAGTTTTTTTAATCGTATTTGCATTTCCTATTGCGAATAAGTAAAGCCAGGCGATAAAAGCTTTCATCATTTTGGTTTTCTTGGCACAATGGTTCATATAAACTTGTCTCCCTTCGGCACAAGTTTTCTTAGTTTGAAGCCGATGTCCGGGAAAGTCTTTTTATACCACATACGTGACATGTGATACATGCGTTTTGCCTTTTTTCAACTCACACCTTACGTGAAACCTGATTTTATTATTATTGGTTTATGATGTAATCTGACTGTTTTTCGTTGAGAAAAATTAAATTTTGAAGGTTAAATTTTGATTTAAGACGTACATATCATCGTTATTTTATTTAAATAATTTAAAATCATGAACCGAACTGCCTTGGAGCTATTAAAATGATTACTTGCGAATGCAGAACGTGTATCGCCTATTGTAATGTTTTTTATCGTTTTGTTCTCTTCGAATTTTTACTGCAGAACTGCAATTTCAGTCAATGTGCAATAATTTAACCAGTGAAACTCAGATATTTTCACTTGAGTCCACAACTCAGAAAATGCCTTATTTTTTATGTTTGGTTGGATTTAATATTTCCCACATCAGCAAATCATTCAAACATTTACAATTATATTGCCGCCCTAAAGAACCCAGTAAACCAGAGAGAGAGTTTCCTTCTTGAGACTAAAGTATTAAAACTCAAATGAATTCAAATCGTTTTTTGTTTTTGTTTTCAAAGACAAGAGTATAATGAAATTAGACAAGAGAAGTAAATTGCGTTTCAGGAAAATAACAGTCTGACTCCAGACCTAGGAGATGCAGAAATCCCGAGGCTTGTCCTGAGCCAAAGTTCGGAAGACTCATCTAAATGCACTGAAAATTAATTGAATAAAATATCAACCTATAATAATGAAGCCAATTGAAGAAATCTAGTTTATCTGAAATTTTGTGGGAGATTCCGTTCTCCTTATTGAAAAACGTAAAATCTTCTGAATTCTGCATAATTTGTTTAATAAAAGAACAGATAATTATGCATGATAAATATAGTTTGTTGTTGATTGCAGAAATGTACATATCTAAATCTGAACAAGCCAAGCAAAATTCAAATAAACTTACATGTCAAGCAAGGATACCTTGTCAAGCTATTAACATAAATTTCATAGTTTCATCAGTCCGTATATGATTACTGTCATATAGCAGTAAAATTTGTTATTGAACCTGCAATAACATACCTCATTTGCATGCGCATACCAATAACAGCCAACGGCTGAGTTGAAGCGATATCAGCAGATCCACCGGCAGTTACAGCAGATATAATAATTTAATAAAAATGTATTTACATTTGAGAATTACAACATTCAATTGTGAGTCGCAGTACATATAAATAGTTTCAATAAAATTGAGATTCGAAGTCACACTTTTCAATTTAATCTCTCCAAAAATTTATATAATTTACTAACAGCGGGGTTCTGTGGTCACGAGATGTTAATTAAAACCCTAAAACTCCGTGAAGAAATGACTGTGACAAGTCACAGTTATTTTCTTTCACTTGCTTAGATTTCTTGTTAATATTCCTGTTTCACCTTCACAAAGTCTAAAAATTGTTCACCAAGCAATGACATTCCGATGAAAATATATATATATATATACTGTATTAGTAGATTTGTTCAAAAAATGTCGGTTGCTTAAATCTATCGTGCATTGTCAGTTCACTTCTATTCAGTTTGCAGCATTCTTACATGATAGTTGTGTCGGAAATCGGTGACTTCTTTCAATTTCAACAGTCTGGTTTTTTGTCCAAAAATTTGCGCGGCAAAAACATTCCTTCAAATCTGTTGACAATCTGTGCGAAAAAAAGGGTTTATGATTGTATTGTAGTTATGAAACTTTCAGGCAATAGGTTTTCATCTTATCGATTGATAAAAAAAACGTTCAAAAATATATACATCAACTGAAGTATGACTTGAGTAACAACTCACAGAAATGGTATTTTGCTTGTATATTAGGATTAGCTTTTTTCTGTCATATTGTTAGTCGTTAAGGGTGCCACATGTTTATAGCTATTTGACACTAAGTTGTGCTTTATTAAGCATTTGCGGCAGGAATAACGAAATGTGTGTGGTTGCAACATGGCTTCAGGGTGTGCATTTTATGCCTCACTCCGTGGAACGTAGGATCAGATATTTATTGATAGAAAGCAATATCACAGCAACGAATCCTATTCAATATGCATATCACAACTCAATCACATTCTTCATAAATATTGTGGTCGATGGTTTGAAGATTCTCATCTACAAGGTCCGTTACTCGCATCAAGACAAAGCACATATTTCATGTGTCTGTCTCTGTTTCATTGATTTATTTCTATAGCCGATGGGCTGCAACGATAAAACCCGAGTATTTTAAATTAAAATTTGAGTGACATTGTCACAAAATTGTGTATCTCGTTATAATTCAATCTTCATTCACAAATCCAATGACTGATAAAATTTACACAATATAATCGTAATATTCTTATTCATACATTGTGTCAAACAAAACCATTTTATTAAACAAAGTGTTATTGCATAATTAGGTCCCAAGTCATTATTATTGGACACGGTAGTGGACATACCGATCGTTTCAATATTATTTTGTTGTTCTTGTTCTTTGACACTTTTTGAACACCCAGTGGAAAATCTAAAAAGTCGCTTTTCTCTTTGATTACTGGACCAATTGCTTTGAAATTTTTAGTGGTTAAAGATGAAATATTTCTCCAGAAGGCTCTTACTTTCATTTCATTCATTCATTAAAGATCGATCAGACTCTTTTCACATATCTGCGGACCCTCTGTGAAGTCATCATGGGTCCCAGGGGCCGCGGACCCCTGTTTGGGAAACCCTGTTCTAATGTTCTTTCCCCGAGTATGTGAGAATATTTTGTACAAATATCAAAACAGGCTATTTTTGATGCTTTGTGTTGCAAACTAGAAAAACAAGATGAATGTTTTGAATATTTTACCAGCTTTAGTCTTTGCTAAACGATAATTTGAAAATTTGATGTCGACCTCAGTTTCACAACGATTCTGGCTTTCTTCTAAAGTCGAATAAGAGAAACTCAGTTTTAACAAACTACCTTTGGCGAATGCTCACAGCTACTAAAGTGCTCTAATCCAGAGGTGCGCAAATTGCGGGGTACTCCAGAAGTATGGGAACCAAGATGGCGGACACCGCTATATTCGCTGAATTTTTAGTCGGTGTGATTATTTCGTCTGTCGACAACATAACGTCGGTAAAGTACTACCTTTCTAAAAAATCTTTTTTTTTCAAGTATGTATAAATATTTTTTCTTTCCATTTCTTGCATAACTATGCGTTCAGTCAGACAAACGCAAAAGTTAGTAAGCTTCCATCGACGAAAGACGTTAAAAGTAATTACACAAATAAATTTATTCGAATTCGAATATTTGTAGTCATATCAAAATGAGTAGTTTGAAATCACAATGATTGATAGATATTTCGATTTGACTTTAGATCTCAACAAGGGACTCGACGTTCAATCCTTCTAACTCAGCGGTCAATTTATTGAGCATCTTCCGGATAGATAACGACGAATTTTATGCAGACTCGGGTTGTGACAAATTAAGTGAACTTTAAAAAGTATCATCAGGTTTCGTCACCTGGTCATGTGATTGCTAATAACCAATAAAAAAACATCTTCATTTTGCGGTCTTCTCCACCCGCGTTGTTTCTTTATTATACCTACACGTTTTTTACTTGCCACGTCGAAATTTGTCTGCGCTCGGGCGGTCATTTCAAATTTGACGCCGTCAGGTGAGCACTGATTTTATTTTTCCGAGATTTTTGCGTTTAATGGTTTGTGTGTATCTTTGTCTTTGTGTCGCTAACCCTCTTATAATCCAACTTTGTATTACCTCGCAGACATTTTTTAAGACTTTTGTAGCTATACTAATTCAGTTACGCTATACCTAGGCGCCTGCAATTATTCATTCGGTTCCATTACATTTGAACCCACGTACATTTGAACCCATGACAATTGCACCTGTATGCTATTTCACCTATGGAATTTTTTTTGTTTCACGGTTAGTTAAACCCATACTAACCCTAACCCATGGGTTTTAGCACCCGCATATAGATTGAATCCGTGGATATACGCATGGGTTCAAATGTACATGGGTTCAAATGTACGGTCACCATTCATTCAAATATCTACAATGGAATTGAGATTACAAGTTCTGAAATTGGCGAGGCGAATCTAAATTGGAATCTGCAATGATTATTAGAGATCAACTCATTTCTTCAGATATGCCCTAGAATAGTACCAAATGATTCTTGGTGTGTAATTGTTGAGCCAGAGACGACGGCGTAAACAAATAAAGGCGATCGAGAACAAGAAAATATTCGAGTTAGAACAAGTAAGATACTTTGTATTCAAATTTACAATTTAGATGAATTCAATATTTACAAATTGCCCGATTATGGCTTTCAGCTTGTGTTAAGCTTTCATTCAGCCTAAATATTGTATCTTAGCTATATCATGTATTTCATACCGTGTTTATTCAAACTGACTGGATGTAAACAAGCTGCGAATGTTGATACCGGGAATGCTGGAGCGAAACAAACTACAGAACTACGGTTAAAATACAGATTAAAGTAGGGATTTCAGTTAGGCCATATTATAGCACCAGATTGGTAGCGAAGAGAGTATTTGTGTTGTATCAAAGACCCTGGGAAAGATGTGTGGGCCATTTTGAATGTAAGATCTACATCATTGTTGAATTAAAAACTCGACAAAGATGCGATTGTGCTGAGATGTTCCGGAAATAGTACAGGTGACAATACTTTTTCGTTATTTTAACGGTCATTTCCTTTGCATATAGATGGCTTCTTTTTGTTTCTTTATTATATCTAAAACTTTTTTGTCAGGTCTTGTTTTGTCCATCTATATTCTAACGTTTTTCTTTTAAAACCCGCTTTTCTAAGTCTTTTACAGCTTTACTAATGCAGTTAGACCTATGTTTAAGCTACAATAGTGGATTCAATTGTCTACGAAATGGGACTGTGAGGGAAAACGAAAACGAAAGATACATGACTAATGACTAAAAGCTAAAGGTAAACTAAATATACAATACAGTTAGGCCATAACATATAGTATTAAAGCGATGATTGTTGCCAAATCCCTAAATCGAAGATTCGCGCGTAAGTTTAGTTGAAGAGAGGCGATCAAGGATTAATGAAGTAACTGTTATTTTATTTACATTTATTATCATTGTATTATCTTCTTATTTACCTTTAACATGAATCTGATTACATGTGGAGGTTTTATACTACTGGGCTCTTGCGCTGAGAAACGTATATTTGTTGTAAGTGCATTCAGATTTACATTTTGAATAGTTTTCCGATTACTCGTCGTTTCGGCTGTTTGACAAATTCATTTATTCTAACGGCAACTAATAAATGATTTGGCTTCATTCACAGCTTTCTCGTTTCTTCCATATTTCGTTAAACCAAACCTTGTAGGATTTCCATCAAACGTTCAGATTATTTTTGTTGATGAAGGCAATTAGTTAGATAGGAAAAAAGAAACTCATTAGTCTCTTACCCAAAATAAGTAATTCACCCTTCGTAAGAAGTGGGCCAGACTCCATTTTACGTCTTATAGCAATTGAAATTGCAAAGTTTTCCACAACTAAATTACCCATAAATTTCCTGTTGCAGTAATATTCACGTGCATAAAGAAGCGGATAGGAGACGAATCTTAAGCATAACTGGACATGGTAGCTGCAAGTGAGTTTTTATTAACACGTCAGTCATTAAATATATACTTAGTCCATGTGACGACTGATAGAGACGGGGTAATTACTTGTCATTTGTTTCAAATTTATTGAGCACTAAATGTACACAAGGATCCGTTATGTTTTAAATTGCGAACCTTGTGGTCCGCTGGGACAAATTGCATACCCGGACTAGGCTACTTCGTTTTAGCTTTCGTGTCCAAATATCTGATCGTCGTTCTTTTGTTATAAGTTATTTGGGAAATATTGAGTAACTCATTTAAATTATATTTTTCCACGTTTTGAATCATGGTGTCCGAGGTGTCTTAGAAAATAAAATTAGTTCTGCTTTCGAAGTGTTTGTCGGTGTGAAATTAGTCTTTAAATGTATTCATTGAAAGCTAAAACATAAGTTATTGAACAATTTTAAGAAAATTGGAATTAATTTAATAAACTTTTCAACGTACATTATTTTTATCAAGCTACTTTCCCATTTTGCTTCAGGAATTGTCAAAATATCTGAAAAGTCAAAAATCAGTGCTTGAAAGAGATTCAATGCAAGCAAAAAAACGCGTGAAGCATGGTACGGCTTTCTTGCGTGTCACAAAGCAAGGTAGGTTAACCTTTTATCATAGACAATTTTAAATTCATTTCTCTATGCACACATATGCCATTTGAATTGTACAAGAGCGTGACCATGATCCATCAGGAACAAATAAAGTAGTTTTTTATGATTTAGATATTCATTTCATCACGCAAGAATCAATATAAAGCAGAAAGAAAACTAAAAAACGATGGGGAGGGGGCATAGTGAGGGGGATGAGGAATTCCGAGATAGTCGTATGGAGAAATTTAACAAAAGGTTAGGGTCGGACCACTGCTCAAAAATCATTTTATGTATAGAATTCACTTCACACTGAAATTAATTGCTACCATTTATTCCGACACGAAACATCCTATCTGTGCAAGCATTATGCGCCTTTTTGTTACGTGAAAAATGGATGTACATTAAAGACTGCTTGCTAAAAATTTTAAATTGAATATTTCACTTTGTTGTGCCGGGAACAATGAAGAACATGAAAATATTATGCAGATAAAAAACACATTCTAAATCCAATATTGCACTTCGTTGTGCCAGTCATACCAATGGTTGTTGGTTTCGTTACCTATGCATATGTACTCATTACAGTATTTGCACACATATACTGTTTTGCATCGTTTCGGCAACTCTTTGTCTTTAGCAGCTGGTTTGACTTTTTTGGCAATACTGTAAATTTTGCTTCATACGGCGCATCTATTATTTGAACCGGCGTTTTGCAGTTTATATATATATGTCGTGGCGTACGTTTAGTTGCAGTCTTTTAATATCTGTTAAATCATCTTGTGGTTTCACAATCTTGCATTTTTTCGTCAACATCTAGCCTTTTCCAGTGAGATCTTCAAATGGTTGTTCTAGAAAATTGTAGAATGTGAATACTCTTTTTCCTCGTGTTGTGAGGTTTGACCAAATTCATTAGGATGTAAGAATTGTACGTCGCCCACATGAAAAGCTTCATGACTAAACCTCTTGGCCATTTATAATGCCTCCTGCACTTTTGCAGGCGTGTCAACTGGTCGTTTTTATCAGTCCTTCCTATGAATGAACTATAAGCTTTACTGCTGCTGGCAATGTGTTGATATAGTTCGAAAATCAAATGAGACCGAAACAGGTGTAACACGTGTCGGGTGGGTTTCTGGTCCCAGCGTGACGTCGTCGCGTCCATCCAAATTTGAAGGATTTCGAGAGTGAACGATGAAGTTCATAAGTTTGACTTGCTTCGCCTAACATTCGTACAATCTGATATTTTGATATTCAGAGCAGGCAAGTACTTATTTTGGTTTATATTTGAACAAATACTGATGGGCGAATAAAACATTTTCCACGGGAAATTTTACATGACTATATAAACTTCTCTTCACCTCAACCATTACTGCATGCATTACTCGACGTCGGTGCTTCAATCCATACAGGGTTAATATCCTATCGAAACTCGACGACCGATGTCCTGCTGAGAACGTGTCGTGAAAGTTATCTTGCACATTTTGCCACGCAGTACGTATCGAACGTACGTATCAACATCTTCCTGACGTTAGTCACGTGATCGGCTTTTGCGTAGCTGCGTAATCAGTGGATAGGATAGGATTTACATATTATCCCGTGGGAGAGGAAAGCCGATAAGACGGCTTATCCATATGGCGAACCACGGCCTCTCGTCCGGTTGCCATTCCAAGTCGGGTATGGGATTAGTTTTTACTGTATTATTTGTTTTCGGAAGCATGGACTTGGTGGTGGAGGAAGCCGTAACCGACCAGCGGTTACGTGAACCACCCAACGACGGCGAGGAGTCCAGCAATCCTCTCGCACATAACCATTCCTACATGGGATTCGAACCTGCGAACCCACGCAGAGTAATTAGAGGTGCGGTGGCGAGCGTATTCCTAACGCTTAGCCCGTCGAGCCACACCGCCACACCAGTGCGTCATGGTTGCTTATCGAAGTTGTTAATCCGATACAATGATACACAATTGAATATTTAAATATAAAATAGGTTATACGGCAGCCACAATAATAATTCGAATATCAACAAAGCTTATAAAGAACTGTTTATGAACATAAAATATTGGCAGTATATTTTGTACCAAAACACAAAATTTGGAGCCATAACTCACTTACATGCAGAAAAATCCCAATTAGATTAGAGTCAATATTATTAATTTTGACAGAACGCATTTCAAAAGGAAAAATACATTATGAATGCACGATAAAATTTTCTTTCGATTGAAATGTCACACATCGTGCTACCTTTAATTGGTAAAAAGTTATAAGCGTGCCAAATAGCCAATATTTAGAATTATTTTATTGTTCTACCAATACGGCGCCGCGAACCTTCATGGTGAGCGAGTAACTTCGCTCAGAGCCGTCAAGAGTTCAAAGAGTTAAGAATGAATGCAAAACAACTTTGGTGGTGGTTGAATCATGTCTGAGAAATCATGTAGTTGTTTTATTTCGGCTTGAATATTTCTGGTTCGGCAGTTTCCTAACTTTTATCATGTCCTGATTGCGAGCGTAAGGAAATCAAGATTAAAGCGAGTCTCGCTAATCAAAAGTTTGTTGAAGTAAGTATAGGTATAAAGATATTTTCCCCCGAGGAAATCGATAAGACTGTTTGCATGAAAACCCCTTCCGTCCGGTTGCATTTCGGGGGTTGTCAAACTTCATTCTCTATTTCAGTCCCATTTTTTCAATTTAAAAAAACTTTCTATGACTTGAAGGGCAAAACGTATTCAATGTAGAATTGTGCAATGTGATGAGTTTACAGTAAAGCTTGTAGCTCGTTTGTAACCAGAAAACAGTGTATCTTCGTAGCGAGAGCATAATATTCTCACCGCAAAGTAAACTTACCAGCGTTACTCGCCTTGTTTTTCTTTGAAGTTGAAGTAGATTGTAGAATTTCTTGCTCGCCAATTTACCTCTGGCTAAGTTTACCCCATTTAATAACTAGATCACAATATAGATTTGAGAAATTGCGATTTCAAGTTCAGTAATTACTCATTACCCAAGCATATAATATTCTTCAAACGAAACTCTATTCAGTGGTTCACAAACTTTTTGATCCGCGCCCCTCTTTATAATATGTCTCGCGCCCCACCTGAAAATAATTAGAAACTAACAATAACCTAACAAATAGTAATGCGAAAGTATGTTTTATTTAAAAAACAACGTTAAAATACGTAAAAGGAACGTAACGTGATTATCTAAAATAAAGAAATGTGAATATCCAAGGCGGGCAAGATCAAATCTAACAAATATTTATATTTTTAATTAGCTTAACTCGCCCTCAAAAATTGTCTACGCTCCCCATATTGCTCTTTACGATCAGCAACTATTCCTATTAAACACCGATATCTAACTTGTATTTTATCATGCAAATTAGGTATTTTTATAATTGCACATAGAATGGCTTCAGCTAGAATATTTAAGAGTTTAATAATCTCTTATGGCTGTGAAGTCTGATGCCATTTCATTTATTTGGTATTCTTGTGTACTTGTTGTGTTCACGAAATCCTAAAACTATATTCACGAGTCATCAGATTCGGTCAATAATAATAAAAATGGCCAAAGCCCAGTAATTGACTCGATGTACTGATATTGGTGAGCTAATATTCCAGTTGCAAAATTGCAGTTTTTTTTCCTCATTTATTGTTGCTTTTCCCCGAACATGTATTTTACACCCACGAAAATAACTACTTACTGTTGGCATATGCGGCCTTATTAAGTACTCAAAAGCCTGCAGAAGAATTTTATCTGGAGACTGAAAAAGTTAACTTTTGCTGTTATTGGACACAAAGTCGACGTACACATCGTTTTGTTGTTATGTTGTTGTTTATAACTGATCTGATTGTGAGAAATCGCCTTTATCTAATAACTACTGGACCAATTGCTTATTAATAATCGAGCCATTTCAAGGTTGTACTTTTGGCTAAAACGCTACTACACATTTATTTCAAATTATATTAAATTTCTGTGGACTATGAGTGATTGGTCTGTGCGATGACGTCATCTAAATAAAAAATTGTATTGTGACAGATTGCATACCCGCACCACTTCGTTTTAGTCTTGGGTGTGCATATTTGAGCACATGTACCAAGTTGAATATTGTATTTTAAAGTTTGATCGTGCAAATCGAACTTTTTAAATAATGAATATCTGCTCCTCGTAGGTTGTGTGATATGTAATCTCCTTACATCGCCCTGTCCTGTGTTGAATCTGTTTTTATATTTCAGTTGCATTCTGAATTGAAAGGTCAAAGGAGAGGTAACAGACAGACACGTCAAACATGAATGGTCCGGTTTTGATTATATAAATTTATATTATATATATTTTATTTTTTCTACAACTATCCTTGTGTCTGGGTTTGTCGGATATCAAAGCTTGCCCCAGCAGTGGCGTATGGCAAAGTTTAAATCCGTCCCCTTGATCGTTTACTGAAATTTTAGCTACTGTTTGTTGTTTAAGATACTTTTTACGTGAGTTGTTTTATCAAAACGAGGTTTCGCTCATGCGCGTGGCAGGGGCAGTGGCCTTCGTGCCCTATGTATGTCACCGAGCCCAGTATCACCCAGAAATTCACAATTCTTCATTTCGTGTCTTATCATGGCAAAAGAGCTCAATATCTCAATGTTGCTCGCTTTTGAACAACCTGTCCCTACATTCCCGTTAATATCTCAAAACTTCATCCACTCGATATTTTTTTTTGAGCACTAGAGTTTTTTGGGTGAGTTCTCAAGATTAGATTCTTTTTTAGTCCTTAATTTCAGAATCTCTCCTAAAAATGAACTTGTTTGGAAACCAAGGCTATCGCAATATATTTTTGTCTATTTATGTTGTCTTGCTTGAAGAATAAAAAATTATTGAAGCAATATCCGATTCTCCGTGCTTATTGGTTGTCGGCAATTGGGTTTTGTTAAAGGCGAATGAGAAATGGGATTTAGCAGTATAGGTGTAAAACGTCATTTTGGTGTGATTCTGTGTGTTTACGTGACGTCGCTAGGTTATGACATCATGCTGGTGGGCCGCGATTTTATGGGGCGCGCTGGCGCCGGATCCAGGCCGAAACTACGCGTTTTTTTTTATTATCTCTGGCCGACCATAGGCCATATATAAATCGAGTGTAATTTACAAAATTCATCCACGATCATGCTTGGTCATACATGATGTGATTCCAAATTTTCAAAATTCTTTATTTTCTAAGGTCTGACCCTTCGATTTCCTTCATATTCTCTTATTTTTGGGTTCCTGTAGTCTCGCAGCTCGACTTGTTCTCCTTCGTTACATAGATCTCTGCGCCGCCCTCCCAGTGACGACACACTTTTGATAAGCGGATGTTACATTCACGGGATTCAAACTTTAGTGAACAAATTTATGGTCTACCCAGCGACTTTACCAACTAGGCCAATTCAGGACTTAGGGACAAAAAATCTAAGGTCTGATATTTATGTATCTCCTCAAAGGACTTGTGAAAAAAATATAGAATATTAAAACTTAGTTCCTTGCTCTCACGTTCTCTCTTAGCCTAGCTGGTAAAGGCGATTGATATACCTTTAGTTTGTTCATGGTGACCAAAGTTTGAATCCCGCGAACTTACTGTCCCGTATCAATTTCGTGTCGTCATTAATTGGATTACGCAAATATCTAAAATGTGAAGGAAGCTCCGACTTGTAAGAAGATAGAAATCCCAAAATAAACGAAAATGGAGAAAATTGAAGTGTCCAATCCCTTGGAAAAAAGTGGAATTTTGAAATTTTTATTTGAATCATGTATGATCAAACATGATCGTAGATAAATTTCAGTGATTACGCGCGATTTATCTATGGCCAGTGGTCGACTAGAGATAAAAATTTACACGTAGTGTCGGGCCCGGATCTGGAGCCAGCGCACCCCAAAATACCGCTCGCTGTTCGTTAGGGTGACGTCATAATCCTAGTGACGTCATACGCATGGTGCACACGCCCTATCTTCATACACCACGACTATCTCTAATTTATCCTGAACAACAACTATTCGAAACCCTCGACAAACCAATCCCCGACTTAGAGTCAGCATGGGAGGTATTTTCTCATCGGTTATATTTAAAATAAAAGTGATTCAAAATAAAAAAAGGAATCAAACTGTCTAAATTGTTCAAATGACACGACCTGATAAGATACCGGCACAGAACAAGATTTGTGACAAGAGCACGAGGGTAAGCGCGATTTGGATGTACTTAGCGCTTGCGCTTCAAACGCCATTTTTCAATCCAATTAGTCAATCAACACAAATCAGGCGTGTCCCATTGCGGGTCCCAATTTAAAGAGTGTTACACGTATTTTTAGCTGGCAGTCTCTCGCTCTGTAACCGGGTTTTAGGTCAGCGCGCTTGTTTCGCCGATTTGGATATTCACTCCACGGCAGATGACAAACGTGGGCGATGAGTACCGGTTTGCTCAACTAAATTAAAAATGAAAATACATATTGTATAATTCTAAAACACTCGCTATCAAGATAAAACTGCCACCCTAAGTCTGCTTGATTCGAGATAAATATTTTTTTTTCCTCCGTCAAGAACGTACCTGAAATATAAAAAAAAACGGTTTGAAATGCCGTTTTAAAAATATTTTTTAGCATTGATAAATCCTGGACTAAAATTGCGTCGCCAATCACATATTCATCCACAACAATTATGATACTACAACACCACATATCCTTGGAATTGAATAACACTTTGTCTCAAAGGATAACTTGGGACAGCGAAAATTGACTCCAAACCAGACAGCCGTGAAAATGGGACAAGCGTGTTCATATAATTCACAATATCCAATACAATAAATTTATTAAATATTTTAGGTCATTCACGTTTTGAGTCGTCAGACAAGCCGACCAAAGCGTGTGATATCTCAACTGGCAGCAAACATACTGATTTCATTTTAGATATGGTAATCCCGAAGTATGTGAACCAAGATGGCGGACACCGGGAAGAGTGCGTGTACCAGGTTAGGGCTAGGTCATAATTCCAGATACAAATACTACGGGAATCACTTGGCTAGTCCCGGAACTTGGAATAAAATGATGGCCTAACCCCAACCTGGTACACATACTTATTCCGGTGCCCGCCATCTTGGTACGCATACTTCAGGAATACCAACATATTATGGTTAGGCGAAAATACTTGAAAATTCAGAATTGCAGCTAAAATTGAACATTAAATATATTGATAATAACTGAATATCGATTGAATAATGTTTACTACTTTTACGCCTTTATAAGAAGACATTGACTAATTACTTTCTTTATCCAGACTTGTAAGATTGATTTTGCCTTGATTCGATGTTCCGGGCAGAATCTAAATAATAAGGTACGAGTTTAAAAAATGCAGAAATTTTTTACAAGAATGATGACCTATAACAATAGAAGTTCGCATACAATCATGGCGTTGGAATATAAAATTTAAATATTTTTAGTAATCAAGATTCGATTGTTAAGTTATCAGGTATCCAAAAATGCCCGGATTTAGTGCCAGTTTAGCAGGTGCTCCCGAAGTATGTGCACAAAGATGGCGCACAACCTGAACATAGTATGTGTACCCTGTTAGGATTATCAGGCTGTGCGCCATCTTGGTGCACATACCTTTGACAACTATTTTCTTCCCTGTGACTACCGAGTTGTTGATAACACACGATTCTTATTGTGAATGACAACTCGGCGCGAACTGACTGAGTGACGAAATTAGTTAAGTATTCAAAAATGCCCAGCTTTAGTAGTTAATGTCTGTTCGGCACGACCCAACACGCAGTGGAATAGATACACCTAAAAAAACTCACCAACTACAGATATCGCGAGACTCTTACATGATGATTTTCAGAGAAACTACGGGCAAAGAAGCGTCTCCATATAGTTGAGCATTGCTCTCTTGATACTTCAAAATCTCACTTGTATTCGTATGCATTCTATATAAAAGAAGCATTTAGTGTAAATATAATAGCAGTATAGTATTGTTTGTCAGCGTTTACAACTGTAACACGCAACAAGATAGTGAGTAAGAAGTTAACAGAACTGTAATAAGTTCGTAGGAAGAAATATTTGATGTTGTATTTTTACACAATTACATTGGTATAATAACAAAATCATAACATTGTTTATGTAGAACAAATTAAGGTCACGATCGTTCAAATTAAAGCTAAACAATGATGTAAAAATGCGAAATTTACTTCAAAATTTTGTCGTTAGTTAAGCGCTGTTATTATTCAAAAGTGCACATTGTACAAACACGAACTAACAGTTTAGAAAATTATTCTTCAGGTTGATTTACGCCATTTCTTCCAATGGGTATACTTTTCATGAAATACAAAAAAATACGCAACCCCCACCTGTCCATTTACATCGATCAATCGTCACACGACCATCAGCAGCAACAATATCTTCTACCTTCGCAAAGCCCTGTGATCAGATGAAAAAAACTATAAGACGTTTGCTCTATAATCAAGTTGTGATAAAAACTTTATATTTTGTAACATTTTTAGACCTTTCCATTTACATCGACTAATCGTCACTAGTCCACTAGCAGTAACAATATCTTCCTTTTTCGCAAAGCCCTGTGATTATATTAAAAATTATAAGGCTTTATAATCAAAAATCAATCAGTGTCACTCCACCATCAACCGTGTCAATACCCTAATTATGTTTTTTACATTTGTCAAATTTGCATTCTCTCTAAGTTTTTCTTTATTTTTTCTTGTTGTCCTCTCATTTTCTCTCTTCAGTGTATTCTCTCGTGATAGTTATACATTTATTTTGTTAAATAATCTGCACAGTAGCCTCAATTATGTATACTGCCGCAACTACTGGTATTCAGTAGTTGTGTCTTATTTAGTTACTTTTTTATACTAACCTGCATCAGCTAGGTGTCGCTGCTTGAAGACCTTTATAGGTCGCTCGCGACTCAAGTCACACAATCAACATGATCAGTATATTTTATTTATTGTAACAGTTTTCTATATGCTTGTTTTTTGTGTTGACAAATAAAAGATTGATTGATTGATCGATATGTTCTTCCTTTTGATCCCGTTATTTAAAAATAATAGTTTACCTAAAAATTTCGAAGGACGATGATACAGAGTTATTGAGCGAAGTAGGAAAATTATAAACAATAACACTTTAACCCGGATTACAATTTACAGCAAATTTGACCAGAAAGCAAGACTTGATTCATGAAGAATAACGTTGCAAAAACATGCAAACGCAGTATATAGATAACAAAAAAAGAACACAATGCTGAAATGAATATAAATGTGAGCACGAAAGTCGTGACAAAAATGGTCATCCATCGCAAAAAATCCTGCTAAATATTTGAAGCAATGTACAGATTAGTTGTGTCAAGGGATTATAAAAATACGGCAAAATGTGGGGGAAATACCGGTCGCGTTAGAATCAAAACATTTGCAAATGTAGCCACCCAGCACTTCTGTTATCTTTGAGAACCAAAACTTTATTTTCACAGCAGCATCTTCGTATCGAACAAGCACAACCCAGTAGAAAAAACGGCGCTCCGGAAGTATTCGTGCCAAGATGACGCAAAATCTAAACAACCAGAACCTGGTACACATTCTATGTTCAGGTTGTGCGCCATCTTGATACGAATAATTCGTGAGCACCGAAAAACAGCCAAGGAATTTAAGTTCCAGGAAGCGCAAAATGGCCTAACAAAGGTAAATAGTTTTGCAGATCGGTATTCTGCTCTCAATTAGAAACGAGGTGCTCGAGCAAAATGAAAACAAAACAAGTTGAATAAATTTGCGTAACATGAAAATATAAGATTACAGAAACTACAATTATCTTTAACACTCAAAATCACAACTAGAATTCTGAATATGACTGAAACACTCTGAATCGAAGAAAATTTTTAGTTTTTGAATTCTACGTACTTACTCATAAAATTACTATTCATAAATTTATAAACTTAAGCTTTGTTCATAACAGAATGTGCGCTACATTTTAGGCGACAGTACATTAATAATCTTGTAGAAACACTGTTGACAAGTAAAACACTGTTATATCCAGGCATTCGGTGGCTAAATAACTGTTTATCTGAATCACACCAGCGCAGAAACGACCTCACGCTGCCACACCCTGAACTGAAATGTGGCCCGCGCGCGATATATTTTTTAAACGTCAAAAGGGAAGAAAAAAGGCAGTATAAAAAAGAAACACAAGGAGAGGGAGTTGTCATTTTTAATAAAAAAACAAAGATACTGTAATCTCATTATCACTCTGATAAGTGACCAATGATTGTTGTTTACTAGTGGAAATAAAGAACGTAGATTTATTTGGGATGCAACTGAGAAGATTGTCTGATTAAACCACATTCCATGGAAACTTTATCAATACAACTATTTGTTTGTTGTTATTCTATTTGTGTTTTGTTTTAGGATTCATATTAGGACGTTAGTGACGTTTAAGGGGCTTCACTCCTTTGGGTAATTATAATCGAAATTGATCTTATGCGACGTCTGTTGACATGGTCTACACTCTACAGACTCTACAGTATACTCTACAGAACTTCACTTCATGTTTGTAATTGAATAGATACACATATAATATCTAAAAATGACACTTAAATGTAACAATATTTTTGCTTTTCTCATGAAATGGAAACTATTGAAACAATACAGGGTGTCCAATACCTTTCAATTTTGTTATGAGGTCAGTTCTTAATATATATATCTTATTAACTTACCGCAGTACCGTATCTGCCAGACGCTTCTTCTTTGCAAAACCAACTAATTCGATTTATCACGGTATTATAACAGCAAATACCACAGTCTACAAATATATCCACACCAAGCGAATCAGTGCAGTACGGTTTTCCGTACCTTTAGCATCACAGGTAACCTAAAAAAACTTACAATTTTTGAGCAACGATTTTTAGAATCCGCCCTCACGCCGACGTTCGATGGCACGTGATCATGCGTCCGCAGAACGTTCGGTGACGTCATAGCAAACAAAAAATCTCACAGAGCTAACAGAAATATTTGAAATAAATAAAAGTAATAGCCTTCTGGAGAAAAAAATCAAACTTTAACCACTGAAAATTTCGAAGCAATTGGTCCAGTATTCGAAGAGAAAAGCGGTTTTATAATGATGGAGACGAAGAATAATAACAATAAGAAGAGTGCCAGCATAAAATGCAAAACGATCGTTATGTCCACTACGTGTCCAATAACAACAACATAATATTGAAGCGATCGTTATGTCTATTAAAGTGTCCAAAAAGGGAGTATCTTGATTCGCGCGATACTGTAATTTTGCCTATGCAGATTACCACTTTTAATTTTTACTACTAATTAACGTTATTTCTATATTTAACATCAAAAATCTAATAGATTGGATGTTGGATGTTTTCTGCTCAAGTGACAAATTAAATATCTCCAAAGTACTAACAACCAAAACGAGAGACAACAGAACGGACAATGTAAAATTTCACAGTACTCAAATGCCATTTGCGATTAGAATCGATACAAAAAATTTAGATTTAATAGAGCAATTTATGTTGTTAATTAAATTTCTTATAGTCACATATTGTTGTAGAAAACTACATTAAAGTCTATAATTTTTTCTACAATATTTATTGCCTACTCCATGCCAAAATGCTAGAGGTAATATTAAATGTAATCTGTAATACAGCTTGCAGAGTCAAGGTGTCAGTGATATTTGCATTAAAATAAGCAAGCCATTATACTCTTATTTGTCGGTTCGTTCCAGTATTTTTTTAAACACTAATAGCGACAACAAACAAAATATTTATACGTACATTGGCACAAAAATACAAATCTTTCAAAAACAAAGCAGCACAGAACAAAATATAAACGTTGGCTAAAGCAAAGATGTCCTAAATTTGAAGAAGAAATAACTGATCGGATTGTACGTCTGTAACTATATTAACTATATATACTATATTAAGCCAATGTAGTTTTAACACAAATTGATACAGAAATAAAATTGCTGTAAACCTTACACGGGGCTGGATATGTCAACAAATCCAGTTCTGTGTATAAAGCCCACCCCAATCCCACAGCAATTAAAAAAAAATAGAAGAAGAATTCTGCTTGGAAATAAAATAAAATGACACGAATTTAATTTCACATAATATTAAATATTTGCAAATCATTGTAACAAACTAGCTTGGAATTCGTTCGTATGGTTAGAGTTACCGGGATAACTAATTTTGTGGACAAAATTTGCATTGAGACACGCATGAATACTATAAAAAAATCTGCCACAAAAAACTTTTTGTGTGATTTAATTTATCGGTGCTTTGGCTCTGAGTTGAGAAGACAATAAAACTTACGAGATTTTCCAAAACAACCCATTATTTTTACCATCCCTGAATACTCCCATTTCTTACCATTTTCTCATAAATAATTTCTAATTTGTAGATGAACGATGAGTGTGGAAAATATTGTGTAGTTTACGCTTATTCATATGTATAACGCTCAAATATGAAATAAATCTTCCTTTTTCTCGTTGTGTTTTGAGAATGTAAATAGCATTTTGATGCGTGTGTGATGGCATGGAAACATGGCCAACTGCGACTGCTTGTAAACACAGTTAAAAACCATTATGGCATCGATTGGATAGTTGTTTTTAGCAAATAAATGAGAAAATGACTATCTCGGCTCTCAGGTAAACACTCACTCAGCAAAGTCATAAAACATATATTTTTATCAATTTTATTTCCTTTTACGCCAACAGAACAATATTTATTAAATTACAATTGTGATTTTTTGTAACATGAACCATAAGTTGTGAATGCAACATTTCGTGTGACGGTATTACTAACAACCGCTATATTTCAGAAAAATTCCATTTATTTCAGTAAGGTGGAAAATCATAGATAAACAAAGAAATTACTCCGTTTTCTCAGATGTTTTTAATTAGGTCATAAAGTAGTTTAGTTTATTACGAAAATCATTTCGTATCAGAAATAAAATTTTCATTGGAAAATTGCAACAATCCAAGACAATGTAAAAAGGATAATATTTTTTTTCTGATCGCCATTGAAATATATTTATACATTTGATTTCTTCCATAGATGTGTATTAAAGTTGATTACGTTGAAATTATCTCAATTGTTGATGCCTCAATTAACAACTGAAAAATGTAATAAATTAATACGTAAAATCTATATAATCACCGTATCAAAGCACTTGAACGATGAAAGTACTCTCTGACCAAGGCTATGCAATTGGATTCTGTATTTTTTCTTGATATTGTGAGTAGCATTTTAGTTTTTTTCCGAAGTCAAGAGTCAGGGTCGTAACTTTCCAGTGTGGGAGTCGAAATTTTCAACAGAAATGTAGTAAGGTTTCTCAAAATTAAAATTATGGTACTCATACTTATTTACCGGAATCTGTAGCTGAACTCAAAGTTCAAATGTGTCTAATCTGGAGTGGAATTTCTAACCGGCTTTGGGTCGAATAGTTTTTCTCCTACCCCACCGTAATTTCATTGACAAATGTGAGTTTTAATAGCGAGTAACATACCTGCATCTACATGCGCATACGAATAGCAGCCAGCAACAAAGCCAAAACGACAGCAGCGGATCCACCGGCAGCAACGGCTAAATTTAAATATTGAGCTATGATTAAATTTAAAAAATATGGGAAAATATTTACAAATACGAAGCAGAATTTTGTTAAAAGCGTGCACAAGATGATAATTTTCGAAGGCATAGCTTAATCACCTTCAGTCGAAATTCCTGATTTTTCATCCGGGTTCTTGTATTCATCATCCCTATCTTCTCCGACAATAATATATTTACTGCATTGTGGAAGTCCGGTTGAATCGCTAGATGACACTGACATGAATGTTCTTGGCGGAGGAGTACACGCCACGCTATTGACTCTGTAATTTAATGTTACTTTTTTATTATTGGACACGTCAGTGGACATAACGATCGTTTCAATATTATGTAGTTCTTGTTCTTTGACACTTTTTTAAAAAGTCGCTTTTCTCTTCGATTACTGCTCCAATGGCTTTCACTTGATTCGTTTTTATTTTGAACTATGACGTCATCAGGTGTGTTACAAGTAGAAAGGCAAATGTACAAAAACGTAGTTGTTGAAAAAACATTCGTATTTACCATCCTATTTAAAGAAAGTATGCTCAAAGTTTGCGGTGGTAATTTCTTGCGTCATAATTCGCTTGGCTACTCATGCGAACGTTTCCCTTTGTAGTTAGTCACGTTGTTGGGGTTGTCAATAAGGTAACGTCGTTGCATTTTTGCTTGTCTATCTTGGTGTTAAGCGTATACGAACGGTAAAGTTGCTAATGGCTACAATAATGGCTACTCACCCAGTAAAATCATATTTGTTGGTGCAGGTATTATACTGTTCGAATGGAGTTGTGCACGGACATTCACATCTTCCGGGACCACCGCTGATGCATTGACGATTCTAAAACATGAACAAGGCTACTATCATATTACTGCACTCAATTGTATTGGAATGGTAGCATTAAAGCTCAATAGGGTTCACCTGTGTACAAAAAAAATGTGGAAAATAAAATTTACAAACCGTGGAATCGACACTCGAGCAAACGCAAGATGTGGATGTTGGCCAGCATGGCCCTTGGCGGTGGATGGCATACAAGTTAGTTCTTGGTATTGGTACAAATTCAAATATGCAACCACCAGTGGTTTTTCCCCTGAAGAACTTGGTGCCTTGGATCTAAAGTTTGAATAAAATAAATTATTAATTTGAATCTTGCATCTGATCGTGAAAATTAGATTCGTTTTACTCACTTTGTATGTGTGTTGGATAGCTGTTTCTTCGACTATAACACATTCAGTATGAGTCATTATATTATTTGCAATTAAAGAATCAGAAATGGATGGTTCTGTCTGAGTGATATGAGTTGGTAAAGCTGACTCAAGATCGAGTTTCTCACCGAACAATACAAAACCAGTTGAATCGATGAGGGTGAGTCTGAAATTTATATAAAAATGGATGAATAACAGCATTGATCATCGCGATGCACAAATTCATCTGTATTACATTATCTCGTCTTTTCGAGTTCAATGGGACGAAACCATAATGAGGTTAGTCGAGCAATAATATCAGTCGCGTCTAGTGTAATAAATAGGTGGTAGCAGCTAGCAGACTATAATAAACTGGAGTTGTCAAACGTAAAGTGCCCGGTAAATAACCGTACAGAAAGCGCTCACTAAACAAAGTCTTTTTTTCAAGTACATCCGTAACTATACTTTATTGAAAAAAGAATACCTATATATATATATATAAGTGAGACAACGTTACATGAAAATAAGAATTTTAATACTTGATTGATAATAATTTACCCAGCTTAAATTTGAAAAGCTCATTCCGAATTAATTCAATAAATTCTTAATTAATTTAAAAGCATTATGTACGTTAAGTTTAATGTAATACTTGCCCAGAGCTAAACCATCCAGGAAAGTTCTTCTTCATCAGCATTCCAATGAATTCAACTCTAAGATCAATTCCCATAACAGAGTTCACTTCGTCTTTTTGTCTGGAGTGTTTGAAATATCAGTTAAAATAAAAGAAAAGTTAATGAATACTAACTTCTAAGTGAAGAAAACATTCACGTAGTAATCTTCTAACATTTATAGATATCCTTTCTCATAAAATATTGAATCCCAAATTCATTTTTAAATGAATTATGATTAACATCAAGCAGAATATGAAACAAATTAAGGTAAACTTACTCTCCGCCATATATTGCTTTACTTATTGTAAAAAGAAACTCCTTGGCAATTGCGTCTTTGTAAGGTCGTGTAATTGTCGATTTTCCTTCGTGGGCTATGGCATTTCGGTACCTACACAAGAAATATATAACGTTCATTCATATATATTTATTCACGTTTTTCATACTTATTTGGATTATCGGCGAGATAAAAATCGACCCCGAACTATGTCTGAAAAAGTTTGCACGCTGAGAATAGGCAAGGAAAAAGTTTGCATTTAAGAAAAAGCAATGTCTTATCCTTTTATTATCACAAATCCCCGAACAAGCTTCAATCAGCCAATCAGTGAGCTCACTCAAACATTTTTTGTGCAGTATACGGGTCTATGATTTTGTAGTCACGTGCTCTTTGTGAGTAATAATAGTACACTTCATAGGGTAAAACATTTTCGCATTTTTCTTACCATGGGCGATCAATGGCATCAAAATCTTTCGGAAAAACAGCGCCAGGGAAAAACCGAACTATTCCGCTAGATGTTGCTATATATTTCCAAAACGTGTATCTCTCGTATTCCGTATCTGAATTAGCTTGCCAATATTTTTCCGCTGGTCTCGTAGCCCATACATCATCACGAATTCCAGGCTGATTTAAAATATAAATTTTAATCAATATCGAATAATTACCATCATCTTCTCGAGTAACCAGATTGAATTGTTTATAATTTGAGTTAGCCCCATGAATATACCAGTCAAGTACAGTATAAACTTATACAGGGTGTTAAAAAAAAATGACGCAAAATTGACAGAAGTTAAGATGAACTGGTACTTAAAACATTGCGCTATTTAAGAGTTACTTTTTTAACGTTGCAATAAAGAAAAAAATTTTAACACTATGTATATATAACGAACCTAACACATTCTTCGATATGATGTCTTGATCAACGAATTATATGATGGCTCGTCATTTGTTTTATTGCTGACACAGGTTGCAAAATGTGAATGTGAATAAACTCTCCTATTAATGTAATTTCAAGTCAAATGAACTCAAATAGAATACTTACTCTAAATGGGTTGTATCCTTCTCCAGTCATCATATATTCATCGATCGAGTTTATAAGTTCAGAAGTCTCTTTCCTTTCCAAATGATGATCCAACACTACAAATGCTCGTGGCCCCAAAAATACCACTGATTCGTCTAAAGTTAACAGAACGGTTCTAATAATGCTGTAATAAGTATTATTTCTCTGGTACGAATAAGTGTGATATGTAGAAGTTTGGGAAAAAGTAAGGTATTTTGGTAATTTTTATAACAGGAACGCATGTTTTTTGAAATTATGCTTTTTATAATAATCTGTCAAGACCGACCGTTTCGATGTGAATTGACAAACTTACTCTTTGCACATGGGTTGTCGCAAAAACACTGGCATGGAGTCTTTGGTTTAACAACATCCAGGCGGTGATGTAAAAAGGTTTCGCCTTCTTTTGGTTCTACAGTTTGCAAAGTTGATTCTTGGTTTTCGACTGATAATATGACACAAAGCCTGAAGTCACTATTGGGTATCTGATGAAGAAAGAAAAAGAATGTAAATGCTCTTATGTATCGACGCCGTTTACAGTACAGCACTTTAACATCGACGATAAGAATAAACTTAAAGGTAAAAACAAATCGATTGAACAAGATGTTCTTGGTATTTTTTTTAGTGAGATAGTCGAGCTTGTTTATCTTGAACAAGTGTTTCAGTATTTGGAGACATTTTGGTCAGGTCGCCTACAATTCAAATCATCCCGTTTAATTATGGAAATGCTATTTCTTCGTTTATTACTTTTGTCACAACTGAAATCCCGTTTTCTATTATATAGGATGCTGGGAATGAAAAAAATATATCACAATTATCTTTTGTAGAATTAATTTCGGTTTCGCGATAATTCTGTCACTTTCGAGAATGCCACATCGTTCTTATCAAACGATAAAAACTAATAAAGTATTTATAATTAATTACTTTTTTCCAGTGTGCGTTTGTTGTAACAGAAACTGTTTTCATTCCATGAAGTCTGTCCCCACCAGCTGGAACTACTCGATGCGATTTGAAAGCTTTTGATCCGGTTTCGCCACTTTCCATAGAAAGTTAACAAGAGTTGGTTATGGATATACGATACACTTAAGGATATACGAGAGCGTTATATGATATTTAATGCAGGAATTTGGCTCTGTGCATTTTATTAATTTTAATTAGTTTGATACTTCCTTACTCTTGAATTTCAATTATATATAGAATTTGAAAATCACCTCTTCATGCTTGCAATGACATCGATCATGTTTGAATCAGTTTCGAACGCTAAAATATCCGTTTGTTTGACTTCATTGTCATCGGGATAAACAAATAAAGGATGATACAGCACATAACCTACAAAGTAAGTGAATTTAATTTTAATTTATCTTCTATAACAAAAATTAGAGTCAGATTATAGAATTACTGCACTTGCCTTGAGGATCGATAATAAAAACATATGATAAATCGGAAGGTCTGAAGAAAAACGATCCATAAATCAAATCATTAATAGTCATATCGACTCCGACCACTCCAAGAATATTGCCTTCTTTATCATTGATTGGTAGAGTGCCAGTCATCACAAGACCTGTATAATATAGATTTATATATTTATTAATGCGTATAGTATATATACAACTGTACCTCCATTTATTTTTATTATGAAACATAATTATACTTTTTTTTTATAGCAAACGATGTCCTTCTCCAGTACAGATGATGTTATATATTAAAAAAAGTTAAGTCACGTCAACACATGTATAAAAATACTTCATCTCTTTATCATTACGTACCTAAGCCAAACACGTCCAGATATACATGTGACCAAATAGGCTCTTCTACGACAGGAGTGTTTTTTGCAAAGTGATTATAGTATGAAACCATTTCTTGTCTCAGATTTGATGGATTCTCTACGTTAGTGTATTCTCCTGACTGAAAGAAATAGTGTTATCGTAGAGCTGTAACAATACTCTGCAAATGGATAAACTATATATAGAGAAAAAGTCCTCCGTCGTTCGTCAATCAATAGTAGCCTATTCGACTTGAATGATGAACGTTCCCAAATTCAATTTCAAAGACTTTTAAACTCGTCGTATTCGAGATTCTGACTTGTTGAAGTTGGTATTTGGTAAAACAGTATATATTTTATTCATTCATACCTCTGTAGTTTCACTTTTTTCAAAATCGTACAAGTCACCTTTCTCATTTGCCATGTCCTCCAAAATAGATTTTTCTGGAAATGTTCAATATATATATATAGATGTTCAAATATTTCACTCTTATTGAGTAAGGAAAGCAGTATCAAAGGTCTACATACTTAAATTTCCGAGACCATATGTCATCACCATTGCCATTTTATCCAGTTTTCCATTTCGTTCTTTAAGAATGTTTAAAATATATTCATTTGTTTTGTCATTATCTTCCAGAGCTTGGTATGATTCAGTCATTTGTGCTGATTTATCAGTTGGAATTCCATCCGAAAATAATATTATGACTCGTTCTGAAACAAATTCAATATGCATTGAAAGTGTTAACGTGTCTGATGTGTTTTTAGTTTATAGTTATAATCCAAGTTTTTACACATATTAGGACTTTTGAATAAAAGAATGTATTTACCACGTCCAGCCAACGATTCTGTATTTTCAAAGTAATCAAACGCCTTAGACAACGCCATTCCGTACATTGTAGAACCTGTGATAATAGAAAATGACTGATAAATATTTATAGCACCCACATACCTCACTGTTTTTCGGTATATCCGGTTTTCTTTCGTGTCGGATTCGACTTGGACTCTAATTTGAATTGAGAAATTTTAAGAGTTTTTATAGTTGTTGCCGCTTACATCTTTTAAAGTAGATAGGTGCCACATGCTCAATTTGACACCAACTTGTTAATTTACTTCAGATCTTTCAAGAAGATAATTCAATGTTTATGATGAATTCAAGATTAAAATAAATCCGCTTAAAACCCTCAAAATTTATTATGAGATAACACGCGATTAATATATAATAGGACACTACTCTACTATTATTTACAAAACTTCATCTATAAAGGCTAATAATATGGTAAAAACAAATAACAACCGCATTACCTCTTTTTTTACGGAAATCATATCGTGAGCTTTTTTCGTCAAGGAAAAATTGGTTAAATATATATGTTAATTCGTTAAAATTGCCTTTATTTAATGATAAAAATCCATCTATATACGGTACTCAATAATATATATGCACACCTCCCAAACTTATTTCATCGATAAATTCATTGATTTCGTGAGTATTTTCATGAGTTGCTACAGCGAGTTGATTTTCAAAGCAACTTTCATCTGGCTCGTTTCCCATCAATGAAAGATTATCAGAAAATCCAATTACAGCCGCCTTGAAATTGAAAATTGCACATTGATCATTAGACTTTTTGCAGTACAAATCAATAATAAATATCCCCTGCTAATTGACAAGAATATCGCTCTCTTATATTGATCCAGTTTCATTAATATGAACTTTTCGTTTGTTAAAAACCAAAGCTAGATCTGACATATATTACCATATGCTATTTATATTAGTTTATAATAATACCGCATTGGGAGTGTAAAAAAGTTATAACATCAAAAATTACCCTGTCACGTGGATTCAGTGTGTTGACAACAATTTGCGCTGCTTCTTTTGCAATATCTAACAATGTTTTTCCACTGTATAGGGATCCCATTGAGTTACTTTTATCAATTAGAATCACAACATCCTTTGGCTCCGGAACATTTGCTTTCACGTACCATGGTCTGTAATTTCATTATGATATATAATGAATTTTATTAATAAGACAACGCGAAAGTTGATGTGAAATGCTCATTGACTATCAAAATCGAAACTACGGACATCTGTGTGCAGGTAACGTGTTGAACCTGTTTTTAAAACAATAAATAAACAAGCCGACCTAATAGGTCGAAAAAAAACGGAAAAGTGAGTCATTCTGATATAATTTCTTTTTTATCTGCTGTTGCTGTCAATCACTATAGAGAAAAAATCAAAGCAGAAACAAATCTGTGAATAGGTACAGAATTACATTAAGTCGATTATGAAGTTTTTGACAAGGCGCCAGAAAGCCAACGATTTGAACTTCGACAAACATTCACCTCACTCTTGGATCATACGAATCACAATCTTTTTTCATTGCCTTAGGGTATGTTGTCATTATTCCTGTTTCACTGCCAAAATATTGCCATTTTAATGAAGGCGAGTCTCGTATATTTTTTTCGGCAACTTCGTCAAATTTTCCAGGTTTCAATGACCCACTCATTCTTTTGGTATTGATGGATTTTTGATAGCATGAGCTTGACATCTCGACCTAAACGTTCAAAATATCGTATTGATACCTCTCTGTTGATGACCACGCAATATATATATATATATATTGATTTAATTCATTAGAATAATTTTTTTGAAAAAAATGAAAAGTTTTAAATAAACACAATAATTTCAATTTCTAAATTACTAAAATGGGGTTTTCTCATTAGAACTAACTGTTTTCTAGTCCATTCAATTTATTATGTATGAGCCTGATGACATTGGGTTTTTGCCAACATGCCAAGTTGACAGTTGCCAACTTAGTTAGTTTCCAATCTAGCCACACCTATTTACATTTGTAAGATACAAATTGTCAAATACCGGTTGCTTAAATCTGTCGTCCATTGTCAGTTCACTGACATTCATTTTGCAGCATTCTGACATGGTAGTTGTATCGGAAATAGATTGTTCTACGACATCTTTCAATTTTAACAGTCTGGTGTTTCTGTCCATAAACACTCCTCCGAATCTGTTGGCCAACTGTGAGAACAAAATTAAAGATTTGTGCACAAATAATTTATTTTTGTGGTAGTATCGTTCATACTTAAACTCGTCAAAAGCATTTCAACAAAATCTGGATCAGTCTAAACACTTCATTAACCAAGACGTTCTTTTGCAACGAGTATTCAAAGAAGTTGGCTCTGCATATTGGTCACTTTACAAATAAAATGCAATAAAATGTTCAACAAAAACACACGAGATTATTTTTGCTTAGATTCGTTCAAATACCTAAACACATCTTTTGTGTCTTTACGTTAAGCATTATCGGGCAACAGAAAGTATTGTTTATATAATTTCTAGTGTTTTAATAAATGCCTTTTCCGTGGAATTTCGCATCAAATAAATATTGATGCACGTGTATGCTATAAAGCTAAATATTGAAACATGTTTTATTTATCTTCAATTAATCCACAGGTTAATAAACCGAAAGATATAGTTGTAGATATCGTGATACGAGTTCTCAGTATCGCCGTTGGGCAGGTCATAGTAACTAGATTAGGCCAGGAAAAATCGTAAATAATTTCTAGAGTTTTAATAAATGCCTTTTCCGTAAAATTTCGCATCAGACAAATATTGATGCACGTGTATGCTATAAAGCTAAATATTGGATCACGTTTTCTTTATCTTCATTTAATGTACAGGTTAAAAAACCTATAAATATTGTGATACGAGTTCTCAGTATCGCCGTTGGGCAGGCCATTCTAACTATATTAGGGTGAGATAAATCGCATTTTTTCTCCAAGCAATAATTCCAATAACGCTACAAGTGGGAAGATTTAGATATTTCATTTGAACAGCTTTATTCGTCGAAGATATTGGGTGTCTTCTGTATATATGGACAGCTGAAGTTTTGCTGCAATACTGAAATTGAGCATTTTTGTGCTTTTTACCTAAATCAGAATGGCGATTCATGAACAAAAATTGAATGATAAGTAACAGAAAAGTGTAGCTATATTACTAAAACCTACATAAATGTTGACACTAATTTTAAGCGGTGAAAATCGACGCTGTTAAAAAAAAGGTAAACGCTACCTAAATATTTCCGATTAATTTTTATTCCGGTCAATTTTTTTTATATATTGCAAAATACCGGAATTAATTTCCATTGCACAGAAATGCAATACACTATATTACTTTTTTTGCATTATAAATATGCGATAATGAACTTGTTTGCCACCAGAATGTGCCAGAGACTGAATGTCTACTGAATGATACACAACAAAACACGTAAATAATTCAATGTGATAATACATTAGTCTCAAAAAAAAGTAAATACCTTGTGTAACACCACATCTCCGTCTTTTGTGTTAGACGTAAATGAAAGACTGTCATAATGTTTCTGCAAAAAAAGATAAAGTGGAAAAATTGAGTTTTTTATATCTAGTAATTGATATATTTTATTTTGGTAAAGTTGATATTGATTTATTATAAATACTGGCAAAGTTATTTGCATTTGCATGTGTTTCAAATTGATACAAAATTGAGTAGTCTACTGTACTGATAAACAGTGACGGGCCTGCACATTCTGAACAGAATATGTCTGTGACCAGCCCATTTCAAAAATATTGGGAAGCAAAAATACTCAGTCAATTCCGTAATACTGGTAGAAAATTCATGCCAAACTTCACTCACCTGGAAATTATCATACCCAAGTGTTGTCGCTAAAACATCTTCGATATTTCTGCTCATACTTTCCGCAGCATGTAACACTATTTCTTCGTTCGTTTCTTTGATTGTACCTGCATCTCCTATTGCGAATAGGCAAAGCCAGGCGATAAAAGATTTCATCATTTTGGTTTTCTTGGTACAACGATTCATATAGCCTACACTTGTCTCCTTTCGGCACAAGATGTTTTAGTTAGTTTGAGGCCGATGTCCGGGAAAGTCTTTTTATACCATATGCATTACAAGTGATGCATGCGTTTTGCCTTTTTTCAACTCATACCTTACGTAAAACCTGATTTTATTATTATTGGTTTATGATTTAATCTGACTGTTTTTCGTTGAGGAAAATTAAATTTTAAAGGTTAAATTTTGATTTAGGACGTACATATCATCTTTATTTTATTTAAATAATTTAAAATCATGAACCGAACTGCCTTGGAGCTATTAAAATGATTACTTGCGAATGCAGAACGGGTATCGCCTATTGTAATGTTTTTGGACACGAAATGGACATAACGATCGTTTCAATATTATGTTGGTCTTGGTGTTGTTGTTGTTCTTTGACACTTTTTGGACATCTAGTGGAAAATCTAAAAAACCGCTTTTCTCTTTCATTACTGGACCGATTGCTTCGAAATTTTTACTGGTTAAAGATGAAATTTTTCTCCAGAAGGCTATTATTTTTATTTATTTCTGTGATAAAATCGAATAAGTTGGTTTTGCAAAGAAGAAGCGTCTGGCATTACAGGTAGGAGGGGGGAATCGGGGTGTGCGCATTTCCAATACGTCGATAATATCTTTGTCAACCAATTTGCGACAACCGTGTTTTTGTTTGTTTTATTGCTGTGATGTGGTGCTAACCAATTTGCGACCACCGTGTTTTTGTCTGTTTGATTGCTGTGATGTGGTGCTTTGTTTATTTATACAGGTACTGGTGAGTAACCGCATATATATGATTTTTGGGAAATTGTTCTGAGTGTCCATATATTTGAGCATTGCTCTCTTGTTTTATTGTTTTGTTCTCTTCGAATTTTTACTGCAGAACTGCAATTTCAGTCAATGTGCAATAATTTAACCAGTGAGACTCAGATATTTTTACTTGATAGGTCCGTTTAGGTCCACAACTCAGAAAATGCCTCATTTTTTATGTTTGGTTAGATATAATATTTCCCACATCAGCAAATCATGCAAAAATTTACAATTACAATACAGCCCTCCGCCTTGAATAACCCAGTAAACCAGAGAGAGAGTTTCCTGCTTGATACTAAGGTATTAAAACTCAAAGGGATTCAAATCGTTTTTTTTTTAGTTTTCAAAAACAAGAAAATAATGAAATTAGACGAAAAAAATAAATTGCGTTTCAAGAAAATAACAGTCTTACTCCAGACCTAGGAGATGCAGAAATCCCGAGGCTTGTCCTGAGCCAAAGTTCGGAAGACTCATCTAAATGCACTGAAAATTAATTGAATAAAATTTCAACCTATAATAATGAAGTCAATTGAAGAAATCTAGTTTATCTGAAATTTTGTGGGAGATTCCGTTCTCCTTATTGAAAAACGTAAAATCTTCTGAATTCTGCATAATTTGTTTAATAAAAGAACAGATAATTATGCATGATAAATATAGTTTATTGTTGATTGCAGAAATGTACATATCTAAATCTGAACAAGCCAAGCAAAATTCAAATAAACTTACATGTCAAGCAAGGATACCTTGTCAAGCTATTAACATAAATTTCATAGTTTCATCAGTCCGTATATGATTACTGTCATATAGCAGTAAAATTTGTTATTGAACCTGCAATAACATACCTCATTTGCATGCGCATACCAATAACAGCCAAGTTGCTGAGTTGAAGCGATATCAGCAGATCCGCCGGCAGTTACAGCAGATATAATAATTTAATCAAAATGTATTTACATTTGAGAATTACAACAACATGTACATTCAATCGTGAGTCGCATTACATATAAATAGTTTCAATAAAATTGAGATTCGAAGTCACACTTTTCAATTTAATCTCTCCAAAAATTTATATAATTTACTAACAGCGGGGTTCTGTGGTCACGAGATGTTAATTAAAACCCTAAAACTCCGTAAAGGAATGACTGTGCCAAGTCACAGTTATTTTCTTTCACTTGCTTAGATTTCTTGTTAATATTCCTGTTTCACCTACACAAAGTTTAAAAATTGTTCACCAAGCAATGACATTCCGTTAAAAAAATATATATATATATACTGTGTTGGGAGATTTGTTCAAAACATGCCGGTTGCTTAAATCTGTCGTGCATTGTCAGTTCACTTCTATTCAGTTTGAGCATTCTTGCATGATAGTTGTATCGGAAATAGATTGTTCTACCACTTCTTTCAATTTAAACAGTCTGGTATTTTTATCCCAAAATTTCTGTATGCATTTGCAAAAGCATTTTTTCAAATCTGTTAGCAATTTGTGCGAAAAAAGGGAGGTTTATGACTGTATTGTAGTTATGGAACTTCAAAGAAATAGGTTTTCATTCTATCGATCGATAAAAAAAATGTCCAAAAATATATACACCAACTGAAGTTTGACTTGGGATAATAACTCACGAAGATGGTATTTTGCTTGTATATTGAGATTAGCTCCTGTCTATCAGATTGTTAGTCGTTCGGGGTGCCACATGTTTATATCTATTTGATACTAAGTTGTGTTTTAGGCACTTGCGGCAGTAATAACGAAATGCGTGTGGTTGCAACATGACTTCAGGGTGTTCATTTTGTGCCTTACTCCGTGGAACCTATGATAGAAAGCAATATCACAGCAACGAATCCTATTTAATATGAATATCATACTCAATTGCAGCCTTCATAGAAATTGTGGTCGATGGTTTGAAGATTCTCATCTACAAGGTCCATTACTCGCATCAAGACAAAGTACATAATACATATGTTTATCTCTGTTGCCATGATTTATTTCTATAGCCGATGGGGAGATTGTAATCAACCTGCAACAGTAGAATCCGAGTATTTTAAATTATAATTTAGGTAACATTGTCACAAAAACGTGTATCTCGTGATAACTCGATCTTTATTCAAAAATCCCATGACTGATAAAACATAAAATTTACACTGTACAATCGTTATATGTTTTCTCATACATTGTTTCGAATAAAACCATTCCATGTCAAATATTGTTTCATTGCATAATTCGGCCTCAAGGTATTATTATTATTATTATATCAAAACGGTAATAAATAAATTGAAGAAAGAGAGTGAAACTACTGCGAACAAAAAACACTCTAGTAAATATTGACTTCAATTGCTGGATACTGGAGTGATGCTTTTGTAAATCATTCCAGTCTCAATGCATATGTCAGCTGGCCAGAATATGAGTCATGATGACTAAGTAACTTAATTAGCTGTGTTCTATACAAGATTCTGAGCCTCGAGTCAAGTTTAGTCACGAGTATCGAGTCAAGTCCGAGTCTCAGCTATTGTAAAAATGAATATTGTATCAACAAATGAGCTTGAACAAATTGAATTCCGAATTTGAAAAATTCCGCAAAATAGTATTCGAGAACTCGACTATCTTAACTTGAGTTTCGTAGCGATTCCACTGATGTTGATATAACTTTTCCGAACACAGTGATTTAGAACTCTATGAGATATATATATATATATATATAAATATAATTGAATTTTTTGTACTTCAGAGAAAACTTTTAAACCTACCCAAAAGTTAGCATATTCAAGTGTTGTCTTCATACATCACCAATCATAATCATCATATTCTCATCACGCCATGAAAATAATTATTCGTTGGCTACTTCAATTTTGTTGGCATTTCCTTATGCAGTAAAATAATACTCAGCATTTTAATATTCTTATCTATAGCTAGTAATAGCCTATATAACATTTCGGCACACGCTGTCCTGTAGTACTTTGGCTTACCCCAATTTTTCTGCATTTTTTTCAATTACTGAAATCAGCCAAACTTTTGCAAAAATAGATTCCAACTCCATTTGTAAATGTTTTTATGGTTGATGATTTAATTAATTTTGAATCTGCAATAATAACTGGAGTGATTGTTTATATAGTCAGCAACTATCAAAAATCATGTTACAAATAGACCGCTCATTTGTCATATTAACATCGCCTATTAAAGTTGCTTTAGTAGTCATAGATTAAATTTTGCCTGGTAAAAACCCCATGGCGTTGATTTCCAAATCCTTCTAAAATTGTATATTTTTAGTGAATATATGTATGGATTATTTTTATATACCAATTTAAATGTGTGTGTAAAAAGAAAATATACCCAGGTAGCGAGATTTTGATGATCCGCCATCTTGTGGTTGACTGTGGGGTCACGATCTTATCCTTCGTCTCTTGTAGCGGTCAAGGCAGTCAGTTGTAGCGTTTGCCATTCATTCGTTTGTCGTTTCGTTTATGTTAAAATGGCGTCGAAACAAGCTGCTGTGAAAGTAGTTAACTGGAGTCAACTTTTGGAACGTACAACCGCTCAAACTAGACCTAGAATATTAGCTTTTAAAAACAAGACTGATGCTATCGTGGCCGCTAATTTAAAAGCAAAAGGACAGGATGCATCTATCAATTGGGATCATTATCAGAATGTAGTTACTGACCAAGCGTTGGTAGCTGATTTCAAGCAAAAGTTTGAATCTTTCAAGGTACGTGTTATTACACAATCTACTCCGCTGCTGGTTTTGTATGGTTCTGAGTCAAAATACAGACCCTGCATCTGGCAATTCTTTTGCATTGGCTATCATTTTTCGTTTTAAATGCATTACAGATTTTTGTCAACTGCATATACAAATTTATTTTATATGAAATGGTAATTTTACTAGGGTGCTATACTCAGTTGGCAACCATGGCAGTTTTGCAGTCATCAACTCGAATAACCTTATTCATGCCATAAAGCAAAAGACTGAAATGAATATTGAGCTGAAAATTGGGGGCCACAGTTATTGTACTATCACTTAGTTGCCTGAATGGTGGAGGAAACTGCAACTAGCAGTTATATGACCCACTTTACAATGACAAGGAGTCCACCAATTCTGTCGCACATACTTAATTTCTTTGAATTTGTACCTGCAAACGTACCAGAGTAATCAGTGGTGTGATGTAAATGCTATCCTTTGGCAAAAACTTTTTAATGCTAATCGTGATGAAGCAGTTATCGAGCCACCATTCCTTACATAATGTAAGAATAATAATTCTGTTGCCTTGGTTAATAATTTCAAATCAAACAAAAATAATACGGGTATGAAAAAGGTATTATGTGAATATTATACTGTGCATTTGTAATAAAGTCTAAGACATTTAGTGGTTTGATACCCTTACACTTCACGATTGTGTTTTATTAAAATCCACAGCTACTGCTCCCGTATAACTAAAGTTATAGTCATAATTATCCCTGTAAAAATAACAAAATATTCAACACTAGATTAGTTTATATGGTGAGCAACTGAAATTGATTTTAGGAGAAAACGTCATAACTGATACATTATGTTAATCTGAGACATCCAATCATCAGAAAAATGAAAGTGTCTATTTATTAAAATCAGGGCCGGCCGATATATCGGCCATGTTTTTCACAAATTTCGAACTATCGGTATCTGCTAATTTTACCGATATATATCGGCCAATCGTTACTTCTATTTCTCTCTTATCAAAAAGCGGCTTTTGACTATGTCTCTCTTATTCAAATCGGACATATGTCACGGGATTTAACTCTTTGTAAGTGAGTTTGCGAGCGTGGTGACTTGTAAATTGAAGCGGGAGAAACGCACGAGCCACTTATTTGTGTCCTACGTTGATAAATAAAGAATACTTTTGACTATGTTTCTCTTATCCAAAACGGACATAAGGCACGGGATTTAACTCTTTGTAAGCGAGTTTGCGAGCGTGATGGCTTGCAAATTGAAGCGAGAGAAACATGTGAACGACTTATTTGTGTCAAATAATATGCGTTGATTAATAAAGAATTCTCGCCGTTTCCACTTTGCACAGCCTTTGATTTTTTCCTTGCGCTTTCGTCGTTCAAGGCGCGATTTAACTTCTTGTATTGATATGTTACATATAGCTGGTTCTAGGGGTAAGAGCAAAGTATGGGAATACTTCGTGTGCCATAATGATGGTGTAATTTGTAAAATATGCTTATCGATATTAAGTCAAAAAGTTCTGCTGTTTAAAAAACATACAAACAGTAATTTGTAGAGCCATCTCAAAGCAAAACACAAGAGCAAGTATGATTGGGGCCAATGCAGAAAAACCCTGCTCATCTACATCTAAGACTGTTGAACTGAAGCAATTGAGATTCATAAGCTTCCTGCCCTTACAATAAGTGTTCTTTATTGCTACGCACACAATTTACCTCGGCACTGTGGCTTTACACTACTAATTTTTTTAACATAAAGCGTTGAAAATTGCTAAAGTTAGATTCGCAAAAAGAGGAGTAAATGTACTTTTTATGCAATTTTTTTTTCATCAATGCATGATTTAAACATTTTATTATAGATTTCATTTCTTTTGCAAGGAAAAACAAGATTCTCAGAGTGTTGCTTGTTACTTGTAGCCATTTTTGTAGGTGAGAAAACATCGGTATAGGCTTATCGGCCTAGTTTTAGAAAACTATCGGTATCGGCTTAAAATGGCAGTATCGGTCGGGCCCTAATTAAAATGGAGTAAATCCGGATATTGTATGAAAGAATTGTGTAGCATTTGTTTGTGCACAACCTACTTTTCTGTGTTTTATCAATTATAGTAAGCCTGATTTAATACCATTACCAAAAACAATATTTAATTTCTTAATCTAAATTAAATTCTTTTCACTTTATTTCAGGTACCACAGCCAGTCGACAACAAATCTGCTCAGCTGAACGAAAAAGCGAAAGCAGATATTGCAGCAGTCACTAAGTTCAATGAAGAATTGGATGCAAAAATAAATAATATCAGAGTGAATCTTGATCGGCTACTTTCCCTCCCTGCTGTTGAGCAATTAACCATAGATGACATCTACGAGCACTTCCCTCAAAGAAGACCAGATTACCAAAAATATCCATATTGGCCACATCGTCACCCCAACGACTTGTCGAAGTTCTATGAACAGTATAGCTAGATATTCTATAGTTCATCACTTTTTTGGCATGTGTTTCACTAAATGTGTTAGAAAATAAATAATAAAATGTATATACGGTTTGCTTTAGCATGGTGATCAGACAATAGGCATGGTTCACTATGAATATGTTTAATATGGGAATCCAAACCAAGTATTTATTCTGCATGAGGAGGGTGCGGTATTAATACAATTAGTCTGAAACTTCTGGTAGCTTCATTCTTTCACAATCTTCTCTGTCCATGAACTGCAGCTCAGCAATTCCATATGTTTAATAAGGAAATCCAAACCATTTTTCACACATTTAATCAATTTTACTACATCAAGGTCTTGGTGGTTTGCTATTTTTAGAATGCCAATTGGTATCAGTACCACTGATGTATTTACCATAATTCACTTTCAACCAAATATTTTTCAAACGACTAGACAAAACAAGTGATGTCTCGGAGTGACAAAAAGTTGAATGCACAAAATGACTGCGATATATCAACCAAATTTCATCAAAAGCTTCATGACATATCAATTATAATAACTTGTCTCTGTATTCTAGAGATATTAATCTCAACACTTATGCAAAATTTATTGTACAGCAAACTTCTTTCAGAAAGCAGCCCAATTATACGGCCTAACCTAACTAGTCGCATGTCACTCCGTGACGTCACGGAGTGACAAAAATTCTTTATCATTAAAATGGAATTAAGAATGTTGAACAATTAGTTGTATTAGGTCAAAATTGGTTATTTGTTTAAAATTACAAACAAAAAATTGGCAAACATGATATATTTTGTCTTTCTGCTTGTGTCTCCCTCATATTAATATGCTAAACGAGTGCACTAACTTTAATAATCTATATAGTTAAGTAAAAAGCTATGTTGCACAAAAAAAATCAAACAACTATTCCACTCCTATATATCTGGAATCTTATTGCAGTGACTTAAAATTCAAAATACAGAATCTGGAGGATCCGTTAATGCAATTCAGTTTAGGAATCTCTGCACCATGCGATGATTTTTGTTATTTGGATATCTAATTTATTAACCATAGAAAAGCATTTTCTTTTGCGTTGAAGTCTCTCTTGTTAGGTAGTACTTGCATCTGCTTGCAAAGCACACATATTAGCAGTAGCAGTTTTTTGACAAACATATCATATTTCTTTTACATTTCATGAATTTTTGCATCCTATCGGTTAACCCGATAAATGGATATAAAATCAAATCCAGATGTCGATGTTAAAACTTGAGATTTAATATTGTTTGTGAATTATTTGAATTCACTTACGCCTTTTACAAAAATGTCGAATTATATTGCAAAACAATGCATTTTGCCATTTATTCTGCCATTCCAACAGATTACATATTTTTTCAATTGTAGTCTACAATAAGTTCGTTCAGTTAGGTCAAATATTTGGTCATCGATAGTTTAAAAAGTGCCATTGCCATTCGATCATGTCATTCAAGTTTCATCGTGGGGAAGATCCAAAGTAGTAGAGGGCAAAGCGGAAGAATTTGCAGTTCAAACCCAATATTATAGTACTTCACGTACAGAAAAATAATATTTTCCAAAAATGGCATACTCCGTGACGTCACGGAGTGACGAGATCTCTTGAAATGCTGCGAAAGAACAAGCAACTATCAACTGCCAAATTGGTAAATTATTGGGCTCTATCCCCAAAGTGGTGTCTCAGTTTTTTGAGGCAAATAGTTATTAAAATATATCAGATATTTAAAATAAAGGTCAAGGAGTGACAACAAAAGGCAAATTCCCATCAGCTCTGTTTTGCCCAGTGTTGCCAATAGTGCAATATTTATAGTGGGCACAGATATCAGAGGTAAAACTTAACACATACTTTGGTTGAACAAATACATTTTAAGGTAACCTAAATAGCATGAAAGTTTATGTTAAAAAACTGAAGAAAATCATCAATTATTCCGCTGAAGAAAAAACAAATATTTTGAGCCGTAAATGTACCTTCTCATGCAATTTTAAAAACTTCAAGATATGTCCTACACTTTCTGCAGTTCAATATTTCAATTAGGCAAGATATAATTTTTACCAAATTTTCAACTAATTTATGGAATTGCTGAGCTTCACTTAGGTTGTTGCAAGTTCCTTGTAACAATGAATGAAGTTTTCCCCCTAGTTGTTTCCTCCAGTTTCTCGAGCGACAAATTGTTGCCGACCTCTGATCTACTGTCTAATATTCAGCTCACACATGTCCCCTTTTTAAAGGGATGGCATAGCTCAAAGTAAATGCCCAGATTCAAATCATCACATATACTTCGGATTGTATGGAAACAACAACAATATATTATCAAACCTACTTGAATATTACCACCAAAAGGATAACAAATAAACAGTGAAATAATGCAGTATTGAAGACGAGAGGTTATATACTAAAAAGCAAGACATGGCAGAAAACATTCATGCAATAAATAGGTGAAAAAGGAACAAATTTTCGTCACTTTAACAAATCCTCAGTTTCTCAACTGTTACCATTTTTCTTGCAAGCTTATTTTTTGAATACTTCAATCCAAGCCCATCACCAATTTCATCAATGGCATCTAAAGCCTGTAGAATGAATAAAGAATACTGAAAATGGACATATAATTTATTGTGCGGCTATGAACTCTAAGAAAATTTATACAAAACAGTAAAAAGAAAGATGGCTCAGACACAAATATTTTAACTCAGATTCCAGCTGAGAGAAATTCCAACTTGGGAAAATGCAAACATTCTTTTGCTGTTGAAAGTGAGTCAAAAACTACTGATTCGAATACAAAATTTCAACTCTTGGAAGCTTGAAATGAAGACCCATCGAGAATATGAATAAATACACGTCAAAGTCCACATCTATGATTTAATGCAGTTGTGGGTCTTTCTGAATGACTTGAATCAAATTGAAAATACTGAATAATGTATTTTTGTTTTCCATTTTCGTTTTCAAGATAACACATCATTAAAAACAAGCATTATGATAAAGGGATATTTTGTATTGAACTGCAGGTCCTTTCTCCTTATGTGGCACCCACCACAAGGATGCTTGAAAGAAATAGTATTAAAGTGATAAGTAAAAATAACATGATGTCTTTCAACGAAATAGTAAGTATATTGTATAAATTCGATGAAAGAGATCATGTTATTTTTACTTATCACAATATGATTAAGTTGACTTATTGGCTTTTGTTGAATAAATTAAATATGAAAATCCTATTCCGTCCTATTTGAGTAAATGTGTTTCGGTATATTGAATCAAACATACAACACAAACCTCTCGGATTTGTTTCTCAGTATGAGCAGCAGAGATGCAAAATCTGACTCTCGACTCAGTGAGGGAACGGCAGGAAACCCAGCAACGACTATAGCAAACCCCCTGTCCAACATCTCACGACTGAATGGACTAAAAATAAATGGCAAATTAGTAAAGCGATAAAATGTTTTTCTGATCGTATTGATAAAACTGCTTTGCCAAGCATTTATTAACACACAATTCTACACCATCATTCTTCATCCTCTCTTGGCATGATAGTAGTCGCCGATAACTCTGCTCAGAGAAAAGTGGTTTTTTGTTTCCGATTGAGTGTACCTTGCTTTGAGCAAATTCCCTTGAAAAAATATTATTAACAAAAAGAGGGAAAATCAATTTTTTTTTAGTTTTTGTAGTAAATTTTGTAGTAATTCTGATCATTCAAAATTTGAACCCTGGAGTTTTAAACTCCACAGCCTCGACTCAGAAAGACGTCTATAAAAACAGAAAATTAACCAAAGACAGCACTGAAGTCAAAAATGAAAAAGTTTAGGTGAGCTGTTCTCAAACCCTTGTGATAAGGATACTCTCAACATGTGTAAGCTCCTGCTACAATGTACCAAATAACTCAATCGCGAGACGAGGTCTTCAACAAAAGTAAGAAACACTAATTTTTACGACAACCGGTGAATATCGATATAATAAAGCTTGGGCTTTATGAAACCAGTGAAGGCCTCTGCAGTGCTACCTAGTGAAGACTTTTGCTAGTGGCCATCACTTAATGGCTCACAAAAAGGGCCGAGATTGTAAAACACTGGATTTTCGCCATCAGTTAGAAAAAAACTCCAAAACACACCTCAGCTTAGCTGGCATATAAACCATCATTGGAACAACTGGAGAGTCATTGTTTCCACAAACTATGAATCCACGTTCTTTGAGTCCTTCCCGAAACAATTTTGAATTCTGATCTAGTCTTAGAATCCTTTTGTGTCCATTGTTTGGGTCATCCATTTTCAATAAACAAGATATGATCTGCGATGAAAAATTTAAATGCAATGCTCGAATATATGATGAAATGATTGACCAATATGGCAACATAATACCAGCCAATTGAAAAAAGAATTGTTTCGAATGCTATTATTACATTACATGACAGAAATTTGAGGAGAAATATTAGGTCCCTTATGAAAAAATATAAAAGTCTTCCAGCATTTTCTTTGGATTTTTATGTAATCAAAATGTAAAATTGAGTTTTTCATTATTTCCAAAAAATGTGATTTTTTTCACAATCCCAACAAGGATGAAAATTTAGTGGCAAAATGATCTGCAGGTCCATTTCATGTCTAATAAAATAAGAATAAAATTAAAGTTCGAAGTATATCGATTTCTCGGTTTCAAAACACACAGAAAAGCTAAATTCTCAGTTTGGCAAAGATTTATTATCCCACATTTTGTATTCAATAAACAAAGTCATAATACGGTCTGTACTAAACATTGAGTTAGTCAACCAGTGTAAAAACTATACAATACTTTTCACTCGAGATCAGAAATCTCTTACTGGCAATTTAAATTAGCAGCTATCAATTGAAAACTATTTTATTTCAGACATTTATTATCAATGAAATTCAGCACATTGACACCACTTTCTTTTGAGACACTGCCCGACCAATGTTTGACTAGAGGCGTGTACTACATTTATTTTGGTATAATAGAATCAAGAATTTACATTGGCTTTCATTTTATTTATAGAATAAATATTAGTTTTGGTTTATCATATTTTCTTTACACTCTTTTATGTGTCATCAGTTTCACATTTCATGACAAATTTTTGTTCTAATGTAAATAGTACGACAAATAGTCACACAGTATATATGTGTTAAATATCATTGTAAAAGGCTTTATTTATATACTCAATGTCTCAACGGACGTGGTTTGTCTATTATCAACGAGATATCAAACAAAGTTATTTCACCTTTATACGCAGAACAATATGAGAATGAATTTGAAGCATTATTGGGGAAATTTTATTGTTTGAAATCTGAAATCTTATTAATTAAAACCGTTTAAAGCAATTTTCGAATTCAATTTTTTAATTTCCCCCAGAGAATAATTATCAAAGTTGTCACATAATGGGCACGAGGCTGAATACATTTTTCATAAAAAAGAAGATAACAGAGGGTATTAGTATATTGTGTATTGAACTATGTCTATAGGCCATTTTTCAGGCTGCTACATCCGTATGTGGCCTATCATTATTTGAACTTGTTTTATGTGATATCTTGTTTTGTGTTAGACCCGACTATGTTAGACTATGTTTGTGTTAATTTCTATTAAGATAACAATCATAATTTTATACCTGCTGAGCCACTGGAGGTGCCATAGATGACGCATAACAAGCTGAATGAGAATGACTTTTCAGATGTTCTATGATTGTCTGGGAAAAAACAAAGAATTTGCAATCACAAAGTCAAACTGATGTTGATGGTTATCGGTAATGTACAGAACGAAAAATAATACAACATGTTCCCCTACCATAGGGTAATGATAAACTTATTTTAATTTGATATAGTCAAATATTCAAATGTTCTCAAAGTTGGGACAAAATGCACTCGGTAATAAACCTAATAAACCAATCAATCATAAGTCCGCAGTAGCCTCGACGTTAGTTAAAGTATTAAAGTGTAACTTTATTGGATTGACAGGTTGAAATTTCTGGTGCAAATCCCTACGCCACCACCTAAGTCATGATGTATTAAGTTGAATTGGCAATGACTAACTGAAAAGTTTCCGGGCTTTTCAAAAATAAAACAGTTGCTTACGTAGAGCTTATGTAGAGCCATGTTCGAAGCGAAAGGCATGAAATATGTCATTAAAAATTTAGAGCATTTAACATTGTTCAACTGACAAAGCCGCTACACTGGCTTTTTTTCCAAATATCCAATTAAACAAAATTGAGCCTGAAAACACAAATATCCTACATTTCTTCCTCCAATATAGCCACCAGCCGCTCCAAAACTCTTGGTAAAAGTTCCCATCATAATATCAACATCATTTGGATCAACACCATAATATTCGGTAACACCTCGACCACTCTTTCCTATTGCTCCGATACTGTGTGCTTCGTCCAAGTAAACATATGCTTTGTATTTTTTTTTTAATTCAACGACTCCTGGTAGATTGATTATAGAACCTTCCATGCTGAAATATATGAAAATTACTGCCTATTAATGATACAAGAAAATATGCATTATATTGATGGAAAAAATTATTTGCATTGAAATTTTCTCTTTAATACAATGGGGTACTGGAATACTGTGTATTGAACTGCAGGTCCTTTCTCCTTGTCTATTTCCTACTTGGGATGTTGCCACAAGAATGCTTGAACGACATAGTATTAGAGAGATAAATAAAATAACAAAATCTCTTCCCATCAAATAGCAAGTATATTTGTGACCTTTCGTTAGACCATAGTCTAATTTCTTCAGTCAAAATGAGATAACTTAATCAAACAGTGATTCGCTGTAGACCAGTGGTTCTCAAACTTTTTTAGTCCCAGAGCAGCATTTCAAACCTCAAAGTTATGATGAGCCGCACACAAACAACGCAAGGTCAAATTGCAACAAACCTTAAGCGCATATTTAAAATACCAAGTCATCAACGTCAAACCAGATTAGGTATTTAAAATAAATTTCCCAGATTTTAAACTCCGCATGCTTGGTGACATGTCATTAGCCATTTCTTGCATTACCGAACATAAAGTTGATTAAAAATTAAATGTTAAAATGACTTTTCGGCGTTTCATTGTGAAAAAGTCGATTTTAGGTCGTTAGGAAACTCTAGTTATATAAATAGCATGGATTTAAAAATGACCATAAGTTTTCCAAAAGTTGGTATGAGTTACTTGTATGAAAAACATTCATTAAATTTTAACCAGATAAGAAATGTCACGTCCTACTCCCTTTAGCACTTTGTATTAGCTCTTTAGCGATCCCTTCCATCCTTGGCCAAGTAATGTTTCAAATATGTAAACATTTTACTCGACCATGCATGGCCGTTGAGCCAAGAGTAGAACGTAAAATCAATTGAGAATTTCGTTGTAACAATGCACACTTATTAGTCTATTATCATTGAAAATGATTACAATTGTTAAATTTTGAAGCATTTGGGCAGTAATGTTTAAGCATCAAAGCATGACATAATCAAAATCATTAAGTGAAGTGCTGAATTTGCAATTCCGTAAAGAAAATTGAGCATTACTCAGTAAGTATTTTAGCTATAATAAACATCCGGGTGTTCAACATTCAGGATTCACGCAATCGTAAGTTCGCTAGATTTATTTATCTAATACTAAAGTAACACGAACACCATAGAAAAGCATGAGAAACTCAATTATATTTTCAATAAATATCTGCAACTCAGTTACCGTTCACTTCAAAAAAGGCACGGTTAATTTACAAGCGGTGATAAGGAAGATCAAATCCAAGGCAGAGGATAAAACTCAAATTAATTTGGTTTTGAAATCAGCCCTTAATGTCTTCAACAGCTGTCGTCGATGTGAACGCAAGGGTATACTAGAAAAATGAAACTTCGATATCCCGCGACCCCTTATTCTTGCAAAAAAAACGAGAAAGGGCAGGAATATAGAATACCAACTATAGGATATCGCCGCCGAAGCGATCGTGGGGACAAAGACAATCAGCGATTATGATGAAATTAACCCTTAACCAGTAAAAAAATGCTTAATTGCCGACTTTTCAATGTTTCTATTAATTTCCGAATTCGAAAAAAGATTCGATTTTGCCCACCCTAGACTAATAGCCATTTAATTTGGCTTTGATTTCTAATAAGTTTGTCAAAGCGGGTCGTAATCGTGGAGGATGCAAGGTGCAGTAGCTGCTTGAGATGATCGCCAAATATTCCGGGACTATTTTCAATTATTGGAACAAAATTAAAATGCTCTAGAAATTAATAAAATCATTAAGTTATTTGATTTATACATAATATTCGAAAATGCGACAAAAACTGAAAATCCATGAGAGCAAGCCAATAGTGATTACAGCCATGTTTAAAATCTTTTCAAGTGAAAAGTGTCGGAGTGGCCGCGAAAATGCTTACAGTTGCGTCAATATTGCATCTTGTAGATTAGTCAACGTTACGCAATTAAACACGGAGGAATCCTTTCGACTAACTAATAGACTTCCGCATTTTAATTTCAAGTCAATGATTAGTTTTCAATTAAAATTTTTCTTTGAAAGTAATTAATTTTTAAGCATTAACAAGAGCCGCATGAAAGGTTGTTGAGAGCCGCATGCGGCTCTCAAACCGTAGTTTGAGAATCACTGCTGTAGACTATGACCTGACGAAAGCTAACAAATATATGTGCTATTTTGTTAAAAGAGATTATGTTATTCTCAATTCAAAGGGGATGGCACTTGGTATTTAGTTTGGATGATATCCAACAGTAACTTAAACACTTTACCGACCTAGGCTTCCAAAAGTGTTGTTGAATTTGTTTCTATTCAATGAGTATATTTTGAATAAAAATAGTTCGAAGTCTATCTTGCCTATCTACTTTACCTATAAATTCCTTCGACTATGATCAATATTTTCCTCCATGGTATGTGTTTACGAGGCTGTCCAACTACTATTGCACTTCTCAATTTCATTTCTAAATCTTCCATGTTGTTATGTTTAAACACATTTATAGTTGCTCCAGAAAGTCTTAAATAAACAAGGATGAGTTTTAAATATTTAAAAGTGAAAGTTATGAAATAGTTGACAAAGAATCGAACAAACAAGAATCGAAACAGCTTGCCTACCAAAGAAGGAAAGGATTCACGAATCGTCCTGGGGAAAGGAAAGTCCATAAGACGGCTCAATGATATAGCAGACCAAGGCCTCGCATCCGGTTAACAGTCCATTACATAAAAATTATGAAATGTGCAAGTAGGCATGTAGTAGAAATGTGCAACTTATTTTTCAATTTTTTTTTTATCTTAATGACGTATTTGAACACCTGTATGTCTTCGAACAAAGTTCTGCAAATGCAGCTACTTTAAAGAAGCAAAATCTTTTCGGTTCTGCAACTTCTGCATTTCCTACTCAATTTATTACACCCTGAGTAGGGTGGTGGGCATGGAGTTTGAACCTGGGAATCTGCAATGTCACCACAAATAAGTCAAACACTTTAACCACTGCGCCATAGCACCCAAGGCAAATAGTCAACAGTGAATCTGACAAAAATATCTACTTATAATTCTCAATGAAGATTTATCTTACCTGCAACCCAATACTAATGAAGCATGATTCAATTCATCACTGAGAATTAAACAACCTTTGTCAACAAGACAAGGAATATTCATTGAATTTGTAGCGAAACCCATTCCGAATGCAAGACAGGATTCAACTCCAAGATAATTTGCGACAACTTCTTCAAGTTCCTCATGGAGAACAAGATTTCCTGAAAAACAAAGAGAGCATATTTATAGATTCACCTAAAGCAGACACCCAAGAAAATTTTTAACGTTTTCATATCAGAATTGCCTGCCACCTCACCCAAGGTGTAAGAATGTGGGCAAGCAATGGCAGGCCTTTCAAATTATAGTAACTCTTCACCAAACAGTGGGTGCTCAAGCAATGCCTTGTTCAGAACGAAAAGCCTTTATGAATACTTTGTATAAAAAGATATACCAATAATAAAATTCTATGTTCTATAGTGGAACTCCCAACACAGATACTTCACATGAATTTTGTGAATACCACAAAATTCCATTCATATGAATGTTTTTTCACACAACTGTTGATAAAGTCAAGTAAGATATTCTTATAAAAACTGATTCCACTGAAAGTTGGGCAAAAGATCATTTATGTAAAATCTACCTTTAAGTCTTAAAATAGAAAACAATCATTCTATGACTGGCCTTATTATTTCGGCCAATCTTAAAAATTGGTATTACGGTAGTAAGGATATGTGATAATGAATGAAAACAAGTTGTTATATACTATTTTATTACCGTAATACTGACATTCATTGAAATGAATTTTGTGCGCAAATGCCACAAAGATTAACTATGATAATCATTTGCTTTTTAAACAATATTTTTGTACAGAAAAACATAATCATTAGCCAAATCGGTCTACTTTGTCTATAAATCTTTGATAAAAAATAAATAGTAGGCTATCTTCCAAACAGAATCAGTAGATACGTGAGATACAAAAGTGCTTGCCAACAATCTACTCCTATCACAGTCGAGTGAACATGAATCAGACTATAAATCCTGTGATCCAGAAAGGAAACAAAACACCGAATGACAACTTTGATAAAGACCACTTTAAGAACGAATAGTGGTTACCCTATTTGAACTACGGTACATTATTTTCTATATTGTACAGCATATAAAAATAAAGCTTCAGAAGATTTTGCGCATCCAATCAATTACCATGAAACTTAGGTACTTTATTAGCCTATTCCAACAATTTTTGCAAAACATTACATATAATGTGATTAAAATAAACCACGAAATCAGATTTGGCATCGTGGTATAAATTGTTGGTCATGTAGGACGCTTTCCTGTGAATGAACTGTTTCCATAATAATGCTATATCAGCGTGACTCCAAAAACAATACACACAAATTTCTGAATCTGAAATTGTAGAAAATTTATTGAACATTTGAACTCCTGTTAGTGTATGATTTATTTTACCCAAACCCAAAAGTAATCTAGGACGCTTGCATAGAAGTTATGTTCTCTCTGGAAGTTCAAAATATCCTGGTCCCTGTACTTTGATTTCTCATAGTTTTCAAAACTTTTTTTGTTTTTAAAAAGTTTCTCAGAAACTAGATTACAGGAATCACAGAAAAGAAAAAAATCTTTAATTTACAAAATGACAGCTAATCACGTTAAAATCACGCTATTTTAGAGTATTTGATTTCAAGTAAATATAAGCATTTCAAAATACCAATACTTCCAAATTTCTATCAGATAAATCTTTATTCCGCCAATATATGCATTTTCAATTTCATTCAGGAAAAAAAGTTATCGAATTTTAACCAATTAAGAAAATTGTGCTGATTTACTACACTATACTTTGCTAATACAATATTGAATATGGTACAACTTAAGATGTCCAAAATAAATTAATTTTAGAAAACATTTAAACGGATTAATATTCAAAAAAGTAAATTTATGATTTCAGGACTACATAATTTAGAATATTTCATTTTAAAAATTTGTCATTTTGAGCTTTTGATAATGTCTGATTTTGCAAGGACAAAAACATAGACTTGACAAAAAAATAGGCATTGCCTATTTCAAAATCCCAGTTCCCATAAATGTATATTGATTTATGCCATTTTATCTGTTTTACATGACTCAATTTAAAATACATTCAATATTTGAAAATGTTATTTCAGAATGTATTCCAAATACTGAAGATTATTCATTTATGACCTTTCCAATGGCGTCAACATTCAAAAAGTAGGCACCTTGAATTCTACAACATTAAAAATTGAAACAGCCAAATACAGTCACATATTTGTAGAATTTTTCAAATCTATAGGATTGATGAGAAATTGTAAACATGACATCATGTTCATAAGAAAACATACCTTGAATCAAGTATGATCCACTGATAAATTAAGCTGTTCGCAGCAAGTAACTAACTTAATTTGACATGATCCTAAAAGCTATAAATAACTACAATAGTCCTGCAGAGCAATAAATCATATAATTAGCCAGCAGGTTTGAAAACTGGGAGAGTGATCTTTCAAACTGGGCGGTTTAAAGTTTAAAATTTGAAATAAATATTCGAAAAAAGTGAAATGAAATTTACTCAAGATTTACTGTGAATACATGAGTGTAAAAGGAATTTTCTTTCCGAATCATTGACTTTTATATATTCAATCTTGATTTAAGTAAACGATGGGGCGTTTCGAAAAAAAAATCAAATCAGCCTTCAGGTTGGTTTACACACACCATAAGTGACTAAAAAGTTAATAGATTAAAAAAAGATAAGTCCTAAATCACAGCGAATGGGACTAGAATTGTAAAATTGTTGCTTAGCAGATTATGCATGTGTCGAGAAAACAGTGTTCCCATTTATTAAATTGGGAACTGGGGTTATACAGCATTGAGATCGGCTTACATAGAAAAATCATGAACAAAAGTCCATCAACAGAAGATAATATAGGCCATTACTCAAAAACTATTTCAAATAGGACAAAAATTATGATATTGTTGCTCGCAGTGTTCCCATTTATATTATTTTTTTGAGAAAAATTTTATCTCAATGAAAATTTGAATGATTATATTCATGTTATCCTTCACATTGGTACTTTCATTGATCTAAAATCCATTAGCAACATTTTGTTGATTAGAAATAATATTTGAGAAAAGGCGGACAAGACCCACTACCCAATGTCACTCTATCATATTAATAATAGCTCCTTAAAATATTTTACATTCCATTACTGAGATGGTTCGCTGAAATAAAGAGCGTCTGATACGTTAATGTGCATTGAAGCATAAATGTATTGATTTCGTCAATGACATCTTCAAGATGAAAACTTGAAGTAACAAATAAAAGTCAATGGAAAGTGTAGTTGAATATTTGATTGATTAATTAGACAGAATAGTAACATATGTCATACACAATCATTGTTTTATGAAGGCAGCGGTACCAACCCAAATATTTTAAAAATTAAATTTTGTGAATTCCACAACCCAAGAATATGCTCAAATACAAGCAGGTTTATAGTGTTTTTGTGGGACCAAAAGACCAAAACAATCAATATTTCATAATTATTATTTTATCAGAAAATGTTTCAAAGTTGCACTAATGAGAAAGGTGTGTTTTTAAAATCATGACATGGCAAAATAGATCCTGCTAAGTTTATGCAGAAATACACAGCAGACTTTTCATACATAAAATCAATAATTTTTATGTTTTAGCTAAAAAACCAAATATTAGGATTTTCAGGTGAACCACACAATTCAAGAAACATTGCTATAAAGGTACAGTATTAAAACAAGCCCATGTGATTTAATAAAGTCTATAATTTGTGTGTTCACCAACCCAATTTCCCAAACGTTTCACTTGCGGGTTGACCCACGATTATGTCTCATTATGTTTTAAGCCAACCAATCTGTTTAGCATCATTCCGCAAACATCACGCTTGAGTAAGTTTTTACGATAAAGCTATTTGATTGCACATGCTTGTGGTCATGTATATGGTAACCGTTTCCGATTGACAGCAAATTTATTTATCTAAGGCTCAAGTGAAAATATCAAGTGCCTCAGGGATAAATCTATCGCACGTAGTATGCTGAAAATTATAGGTGCAAGAGCATTGCACGTTTGCACCAACACTGTAATTATTTGTGATTTGTGAGTCATGCTAAAAAATGAGATGCTTTATTCTTATATCTACTGTACAAAGTGAAATGTTTTTACTGATTCAGATTGTAGGTATAAATTATTAATTGTTATATTATTGAAAAACAAATTACCATGAAAAGTTTATACATATATGTATATTACAAAAACCCACAATTTGATCGAAAAAATTGAACAATTTAATATTCATAATATAAACACTGATTCGATTTCTGCATACTATTTTCTTAATTTATCAGAACATAACTGAGTTCTTTTTTGGTCTGACTGCCATATTTTATTTACCCAAAATAGTATTTTTTTAAAACATTTTGAAATATTCCTAAAAAGGATGTGGTTATTGTGGTATATCAACATAACTAATTTGGATGTAATCAACTATCAATTCAGTTCAAACATCACAATAAAATTCAATTCTGATAATGAATACAACAATTTCACATACATAATGAACCAGTAACCAGTGACTATCAACCTGAAAATTGAATAAGCTGTTTTGAGAAAATAGTTGTCCCTGTAACTTGTAATTAGAATATTTTGGTGAATTTTGCTTTAAACAATGATTCGATACCAACTTAATAGCACATATTTTAATATTTCCAGCAAGTCTTATTTTTATAATTTTAACATTTGCCTTTTGTGACTTGAAACCCTCGATAATCTTTGCTTGATTAGAAAGGGATGTCCATAGGCCATCTGTGCATATATTCAAAAAATAGATTATGAATATATAGCTTATTCTCAAATACATAGGCTACTATAATTCACATTCTGAGCTATTTTTCATCAAAATATGCTAAATTTTAATGAAGGATGCCGCATGAAACATGAATACCGCATGAAGGATACCTCACTGTAAATATAGAAAATTTTATTTAAATACCAATATTTTCAATTTCATATAAATATAGACATAATAATAAGCTGTTATCATAGTGAAGCAAATATATATAAAACAGGATGTGGCATGTGTGATATGATTGGAATTTAAAGCTTACTCTTTTTCTAGTTAAAATAGAGAATCAACAAACACCACAGAATTTATACTGATATATTGAATAATATACGATATTCTGTTAAAGCTAAAAACAATATTTGATTGTTGACTACTCGATTTTGACATCCCTGTAATTCTAATCCAAATTGATTCGTACTGACCTACTTCTTTTCTTGAGCTGCAAACACCAGCACCATATTTCCTAATGCTTTCAATTGCATCTTCAGAACATGCTCCTGTATTTTCAGCAAATCCAAGATAATTATATGAACCAAGATTGACGACATCTTTCTGAATCTCTCCTGTAAGACTAAAATGAAAACGTGGTAATATTAACAATGTATACTTACTTGTATTTTTTAAATGAGTATAACAGTATTTTATATTTCTTTAATGAAATTCCTTATGAAGCAAATAAAGAAGATTGATATATGAGTGAATTTACAGGCAACAACTAGAGAGGGATAGGAGACTAGACAACAACTAGAGAGACTAGGAAAACCAACATGATTATTGATTGTGCTATATATTGACTTCAACATAACTCAATACTTTTTTGTCTTGAGACCTCACAGCCAACCGAGTTTGATTTATTTTAAAATTTTCTAATACAATGAGTGGAGGATTTAGAGGAGATAGAATTCATAAAAACATAATAATTGTATTAATTGAAATGAATATCAACATTTTGACATGATGTGTGCCTTTTAAATGTGACTAAATTTAGCTCTAAACTATTGCAAAAAGGAATGTTGAATTACTGCCATTTACTGGACTCCCACTACCAGAGTACTACTTCGTTAACTCCTTGTGGTATAAAAACAGTATGATACAAATTCTACACATATATGATAACAGAATTCTTTTTTTTATCATTTTTCAAATTCCCAAATTTTTTACCATTGACAGGATTTTATTTCATATAATCTGAAATTCTCAAAAAATTATCCCAGCTTGAGTGCAAAATTAATCTATTTAAATATTCAAATTACAGTTCAGAATTATTATTATCATTATGTTAGGAATCCTAAAATAGAAGTAATATTTGATATTTTCGTAAAACAGCAAATGATAGCTTTAAATATAATTATTAGGGAAACAAATTACAATGATATACAAACCATACCATGTTATAATAAATACATTAAATGTTGAACATGCAATTAAAAGATCATAAAAGTTTTAACGATACCCTGAAGACAAAAACTATTACAGACAAGAATGTAAGCTATCTCTCAATTTCACACATGAATGTGAATGGATGCAATAAAATAATAATAAAACAAATTATAATAGACAATGTATTTGGGCCAATATTGATTAAGATTTTTATTAAAAAATGCAAATTTAGGTCATGGATAATGAAATCAACAAACTTGTTAAAATTTCAAATTAATTCCCGATTCTAAACAATAAAGGTGTTTCTTGTTACTAAGAATTACGTAATTTAGGTTGCACTTTTGTAATAGCAATAGGTTTAATGTGAGTGTGGTGTGGTGAAATCTTGGATCGCATTACCACTCTATTTCGAGTATAGGAATGGTTGTTTGTTTCCGATTCATGGACCGAAAGATTGTCCATTGATGGTGGAGGAAATCAGTTACATGATCTGCCCTAAGTTGGCAAAGTGTCCAGCAATTAAATTATACATAACGGTAAGTATCCCCTCAAGACAGGTATCATAGGTGCGATTGCAAACATATTCTGAACACTTGAAAAGATGTGCCAATCACTAAGCTAAAATAACCAATATGGTATTGAAATAAATATATAATATACCGTAGTTACTGTATTCAGGCTGGTAAATAAATTCACAAGATTGGAAATCTACTCCATACAGTTCTTTGGTGAATTATTTTCAAATTTGCCAAAAATGAAGTGTTCATGGTTATCTTCTATAACTTACTCAATATTCCATCCTGAGTTTCGATAAGTTCTTTTAGCAATGTTAATCGTAGCACCAGGAACACTGCATATGGGTCTACTCATACAATCTCTCATTCTGATATAAATATTTCTGGTATAAAAACTCTCAAAGCTTGCATAGAGTGGAACGAAGTCCTGAAAAAATAGATAAACAGTTGCATAATACAAAAAATGCTTTTTGAAGTAATAATATGCGCTACCAACTAAAAAATATGAAATTTGGAAATTGGGTGGGTCCCTTGTATTTGGACATAAACAGAATTGGAGAGGGATTAAAATTTAGAGGTCGAGATATGCTTAATTTTTGAGCAAGAGAGGGAGAGAAAGAGAGCGTAATGCACTATGCAACCAAGAAATATGCGCTTTGAAAAATTGAAAAGACATTGCATATTTGTTTGTGAACTAAATTTGTAGAAGGTTGAAATTTGAAGAAAAAAAGAAAAATTCTGAAGATTCAATCAAAACTCTTGAATCACTTAGAATAGTTATTTTCGCTCTCGCATTGTATCCTTGCATTATATGTATATATGCCTCCACCAGCGCATAAGCATAAAAGGATAAGTACCAATTAGTACCATAATAGAAAGATGGTCAAATTGCACAATTTTTGACTGAATAGATCAGTAATTTCACTCTGATAATGACTGGAGAAAATTGTCCCATTTTTTATGTATACCGGAAGGCGTAAATATTCCATTTGTGATTTTGATAAATTTTTATATTCTAGCGATGGATTCGAACTAAAATGATACCAATGAGGCTGTCTATCAAGTTGTATCAACCCAATACATTTTATACCAGTACAAAACCTCGCCTGAATGGCCACCCAAGAAATTCAATATTTCCATCGGAATGGAACTTATTACACCCACATGTACAAACAACATGTTTACTTGAGACGATTAAACAAATACAATCATGGTTTATTGGCATACCGACACACTTTGTCATGCAATGTAAAGAGAATGTAGATCGCTCAAGCACATAATTAAGGTTATATATTGGTGAGTATAAAAAAGCTATTTGAAGAAAATACAATCCTCAAATTTACCACAAATAGAGACTAGTAAATCCAAGCTCATAAATTTAAATCAGATAAAATGTTAAGTTGACATTTGAAATATTTAAAAATTACTGTGTTCCAAATGCGCAAGATTTAAACTTAATATAAGAAAAATTATATATTCTCAATGAAACTCGTATTTACGCAGATTTAAATCTTGGAATCAAATCCCATGCATACAACATCACCCAGGTGTACTGAATTGGGTATCTAAAGCCAAATTGGAAAGTTTACAGTCCTTCCAAAAATAAAACAGCTCTTTACATATAAGAGGCTGCTTGTGCAGGTCCTTGTTAGGAGCAGAAAGCATATAAATATGTTTTATGAAAAAGCATATTTTATTTCATAAAATTTAGCATGTATTGTGATTTGCTCTATAACATATACAATGAGCATACATGAAAAAATCCCAATTGATTCATTCTAACGATTAATAAGATATGATCATACAAGTATGAGTGCACAATTTGAATCTCCATTCTTTATTATCGCTTTACCCCAAAGCCAATTTACATAATATTATAAACTTGAGAACAAGTATCTAAATATACAGTCAACATATCGTGTTTGCCTAAACAGGACATACTGTAGCAGGAATAGTTTATATTAGGGTGAGATGGATAGCTTTCCACTCAATTTGAGAGTCACTCTTAAACTTTAACAGTTACAGCAAACACAATTCTTAAAAAAATAAACAGTTTAAAGATCAGTAATGTGAAGTGCCATGATCTCAGTCACCTTATCCAAACTGGAAAGTCACGAATTATTAGCATAAGATTATTCACAACCACAAGTCAAATAAACTATCAAAAGTAATAATTGATCCACCACTGAATAATGAACGAATCAATAGAGAAATTATTCACACTCTAGTCCAAGGGGTCAGTTGTGATAACATAACATCATGGAAATTTTATTAACACGAAATAAATTTCCCACCTTCTAAGCATAAATAGTAAATATCATACCTTCATATCATTACTCTCCATGGCACCAATAGTTTTTTCCAATCCATGCTTTCTCATAAAATCTCGAAGAAACCCAAATAATGTCATGATGCCGTAGCTGATATGAGATAACATTGCAATAAATATGGATGGCTTTTCATGTTCTTCAATAAACAGATGTGGTGTTTCATTCTTTTCCTGAAAAAAAGATCTCCAATAAGCTGCTTCGTTTTATATATTTTTGGATTGTGCACAATTACGTTGCATAATATCACTATGCTTCCAATTAAGTTCCCTAACTAAAAAACTTGTTATAGTCGGTTGGACAACGTAATGTGGCATGCTAACAAACATAAAAATTGAAATGTACCTGAAGAAAATTTCTTTTTTAGATATCGATTATGAGTGCTGATTAAAAAGTATTTGGAAAATTTGGGAATTTGAAGTATATTGTGTATTTACATTTTTGTTTTTAGAATTTTCTTCAAACTTTTTTGGTTTTTTATTATTTTTCATTGTATTTTTCTGTATTGCATGACAGTTCCAACAAACATCACCAGCGGCAGCCAAATCCATTTGATTCTTTGAAGAAAATCATTGAAATTGGACTATAAGCAGAAGTTAATTGTAATAATACCGTAATATTTACAACTTTGCATTCGTATATAAAGACACAGAAAAGAGATAGATTAACTAAAAGCAATATTAATTACTCATGCTAGTAATAAATTATATAATAAGAATTTTTTCAAAAGATTCACCAATTAACAAAGATTCAGAATAAAAACACGCTCTCATGAAAAAAAGAATATATGATCTTCAAATATATAAAATACAATATGAAAACATCCATTATGGATTTTGGTGTGTATACTATTCCAATCGTCAAGTGTTCAGAAACAAACATTATCCAGAAAACTGATATAACATAAGAACCTGACATACCTAGTCAAAAGTTATAAGTTTGTTCATTGGTCATTTACTAAATAAACTGTGTTAATTTATCACACATCAGAGTTAATGGCCATGCAAATTATTTTACAGTGAATATCAAACTATCCAATGAAGTTGCAAGTTTAATGAGAGCATACAAAACTAATAAAATTGAATTGTAGTGAATTATAAGCACCAACAAACGCAAATAGAAAATATGAAAAAATAATAGAATATAGATAACCGAGTCAGAAATATAAGATATATATAAGAAATATAAGAAAACATATGCAAAACAAGAGTCAAAAAGAATATCCACAAATGCATAGGAAAAACGCGCACAAGAGTAGACATAGAAAAATACAAGAATTGTTCTAAAAGGTTGCTGTGTGTAAACATTATTTGGGTACCTTCAAATCAAAGAAAAAATTTATAGCGTCAAACGTCAATGCAAGATTATGACAATTGAAATTGAAAAAATCAATATTATGACAATTGAAATTGGACACAAAAAAAAAGAAAAAGAAAAAAAGTCAATGCAATTTTCACAAGTAGCACACATAAAAATCTAAGTAAATTTTTCTGAAAACTAAAAATTCGAAAGTTAATCACTATCCGAAGAAACATTGTTATATATTGTTATGCATTTTAGATTTTTAGTATCATTTTTTTAGGATCATACAATTTTAAAAGCAGTCGAAGTGTTAGTTATCAAACATGCAGTGTCATGCCAAATTTCCCAGAGTGCAATACTTCATCTACATACTTGACCCGAGCATTTGGTTCCAACCGCAGTTTCACAAATAATCAGACAAATTCATTTCTAGCTTAACATCTTCCATTCTGAACATATTTGACATCTGGGAGCTCTACATGGCGTATATCCTTTTCATATCCATATGAGGAAATCTTGAATTATATTGAAATACTGAGATGAGTTCCACATTTGCATACTTCCCACTGTTAAATTATTCCATTGAATTCACAATTCAGTGTTGCGGACAATTTCATGTTTAGTATTAAATATCTGTTAGTAAAACAAATTTCAAAAAATATAAAATTCAAGATTAGCAGTTTGTGAATGATAATATAAGATCAGACAATAGCAGCCTCGTGAGTAGATAATATACAAACGAAATAAAATCAAAAAATATTTCATTACAATAGAAGCATGAATTCCATTGAATTCCAGTCAGTTGATGATAAGTCCAGTGGTTCCCAAACGTCACAAAATATGTTCTATTCAAAAAAAATACTCCTCATCCGCCTACGTTCAGAACTTAACATGAAAATAACAAATCAATTAAAATCAACATTGAAATGGAAGTTTGACAATTGAAATCGAACATTAATAAATTAGGTTAAAATTCGCCAATGTGCACGAGAACAATCATATAGCATAAATGAAATATGCCTATATTATGAAACCTTGTCTAATTCATTGTTAACAAAGTCAATCTTCTTTTCAATTCATAATGATTATGTATCGCAAAGTGTAAATATATTCGAAAAGTTTGGGAACCTCTGCCATGGTCAAATAATATTTTCATGATCATACAACACCTGTAACCAAAACAATAAAAATTGGCAGTATTTTTTAAGGGAGACAGTTTGGAATCATTTAAAAACATTAGAGATAACTTGTACCGAAAATAAACTTCATAAACTAGTAAAAATATGGAGGTGAAACATAGCACAATGCAGATTCAAATAAAATAGCTTAATATAACAAGAGGGGCACATGGAAAATAACCCTCTTAAAGATGTATAGTTCTAACAGGATTGCTACAATATATTATGGCATGGAGTAATGAAATGCAGTTTGCCCTGAACAAGGCTCTGCAGAAGCAGCTGCTTTATTTTGGAGGAGACGAATTATTTCCGATTCAGCATCTGCTTACCCAATTTATTGCACCCTGGGTGACATGGGATTTGAACCTGGAATTTTACTCTACCATGTCTTTATAGTTAAGTATAATGCTTTAGCCACTAGGCCACCGCCCTAGTCCTATTCTGTCAAAATCATATAGGGCCTAATAGTGAATTTTTATTTTAAAAAACGAACATTTTAAATTTCCAAAGAATAAAAAATGTTAGGTCAGGGTTAGAGTTGTTTAATATATGAGGAAAATATAAAAAATATGATACAAAATTTATATGAATTTTGATTGATTGGTCACTGATTGGATAGGTCGATTTTTATACAACATAGCATAAATAATACTATAAAAACTCAATAATATCAAAGAAGGTATTGATCTCTATACCATTTGAGCATAAATCTGGAAGCGTAGGCATGAAAATTCTTGTTGTAGGGATAAATTAAAATCCTAATATTTTTCACAAAAACAAAAATTACAGAACATAGTCAGGATACATGAAAATTCTTAATACAAAAAAGCTTCAGTGCAAGAATAAAATTGTAATATTTTTTTTTTACAAAAGTACAGCATTTGCTTGTCAATTATGATAAATTACAAGGCACAATGGGTAGATTCATCACATCACAACTGAAAATTTTCCAATTTAATGGTCAAGATTAACAAAGCATGATCCATTCATAAACTATATATTGTTTATTAACGTTTCATGCGTTGTCATTCCAGATCTAAAGAAAAATTTTCGATTGAAAACAGCCATAACACAATATAGAAGCCAGCGTACCAAAACCACAAATAATACACCTTAGTTGAATGAAAGAGACGGAATACTGTGAAATCACAACATAAAAATACAATGCCACATAAGGCCGTAAAAGGATAATGACAGTAAAGAAGATCTTGAAATGTAATTGCAAAAAATTTCAATTACCATACATCACAAAGCAAAGTAGTTTACTTTGGAAGAACACAGGCTAATATATATTTAGAAAAATGGAAAACTATTTCATAAATAACGGGCTTGTATTGCTCAGGATTAACTAGGGGTTCAATTACATAAATAATAGCCATTAGGAAGTGGAATTATAACATACTTTCAAGAAATTTTATACTTTGTGTATCAAGTTCTTCTCGATTTACTGTACATCCTATAGGACCTTGTCTCAATTACAACAAAAATTGAATTACTATGCACCATTTATACTACTATGGCTGATGAAATTATCTAAAATATCCTTAGTACCGATAGATAATAAGATACACAAAATGAATAAAAACTGATATGGCACGGCACATGATAAAAAATGAAAAAAAAAAATGGAGGGAGTGTGTGCGCATATGATAAACAATGATGAAAATAAAATAAGTGAATTTTAGATATACAAAATCAATACAGCATGATTAAATTGTGTAAGTTATATGAAATAAAAAAGAAAAGAATTGCCAAATATTTTGGCCCAATTGCTGTAAAGCTACTGCATAAAACGATAAAAATTGATCAGAGGAGTTTCATGCTTAAATAGATAAAATTACAAGATTATTTGAATTCATGATGTAGTCACAATTTTGGGTGGAAATGAAAATATTCCGCTTTCTAGCAATTTCTGAGCAATGTACTTTATCACATATATGACTGAATATTGACTTTGACTGCCAACACTGTTTCCAAAAAATACAAACATATTTTTGTTATACAAACAAAATAAAGTAGGTGGAACTATAATAAAAACTTCACCACTCAATTACCAAACATGTAAACTGATTTCAAAATATTATAGGATTTCTAACGACCCACCCAAAAGAAACAAAAATGACTGTCGTAACTCGTAATATATAAACATCACAATGGTAGATTCAAGTAAATCAGCATTCAGACAACTAATATGCAGCACAATTTTTCAAAAGCAGAATTATGATGTAACAATTTACTTTTAGGTTCAAATAGCAGAAATGATATCTAATATTTTCTTTCGGCACTTGCTCGCATTGACATAGTACATTGAGGTAACTGATATATTCGTGTTAATATATGTTTTGGTTGAATATTCACATAAAGGTATTGTTAGTGGCAAGTATTGGAAATAAAAAGCACCGAGATGGGACATTTAAAATTAATAAACTTGATGTGTTTTAAGATAAAGAATTATATAATTGAAAAAATCCATGCAGTCTGACATATTACCAGTATTTATTAAGCATAATTTTTTCAATTATCGACGAAGCTAAAAATCCATTCGAATAGTTTTAGAATCTGAGAGCTTTATCCTAAAAGGGCGAAACCTGAAAAATTATTTTCAACAAAAGGAAAGGGTACTTTTTTATTTATAAACTCTCGTAACGTATAATTATTTTCATCTTCTAGAACTTGTTACTCTTTGATGTATATTTATATCACAAATATACTGCGGTCAAAGGGTGGATGTCAAATTTTATCCTTTCTGTTTCATGTGGGAGCGCGTGTTATCTAAAAATCACTTTTTTTCAATATTATTAGATAAAAAAAAATTCTCCAGTATTCGCCCTTTTGTCTTCAGAATCTCGCATTTTTAACCCAAAATAGTGTAAACAAATTTTAGTAATTTCAAACAATATATGATAAACTATCAGATCGAAGTTAGTAAACTACCTTTTCCATCTGACCCACTTGGCGAATGGCCTATTCCCAGGGCAGCTAGAGTCTGTTGCAACTTATAATTTGCTTCTAATTGTTGCTGTAATTCATGCTCTGTTTCCCGTTTGCTATCTTCTGCTCTTTGTGCAGTCAATTCCGCTTCTTCCACCTGTTTTTCCAGTTCCTCCGTTCGCATGGAAAGAATTTCTTTCTCTCTAATAGCTTTGTCTGTTTCATCTTCTGCTTGCTCAAGAACGTCCCGTAATTTCATTTCAGTTTTCAGGTGATGGGAAGTGATATTAGAAAGTTCTTTTGCTTCTTGTTCTAATTTGTCTTCAAGTTCTTCAATTGTTAATTGCAGATGGTCAGTCTCTTCCTTATGTTTTGTTTTGTCTTCCAATAAAATTTGTACTCGACTTTTTTCAATCTCAAGTTCATTTTGAAGGTTGCCAACTTTATCTTGTGCCAGATGATATTTAGAGAGAATATGTTTTTTATCCTCCTCCTCTTCTTGCAATTTTTGACTCAAATTAACAAGAGCTTCCTCTTTCTCCCTATCATCCTCAAGATGGGGATGTTGTTGTTCAAGTTCTTCTAAATCTTCTTCCAGGTCCTTTTTCTCTTTTTCAAGCTTTTTAATTTCGTCGACTTTCTGTTCAAGTTGTTTATTAATGTCTTTAAATTGTTTCTCCGTTTCTGCCATAAATTTTTCCATTTCTGAAAGCGCTGATTTTTCCGCAGATTGCTGAATGGAACTCATCTCTTCAATCACTTCTTTCTGTCTGTAAATCGTTTCTTCTGCGGCAAACACTTGTTGCGTTTTCTCGTCGAGTGCTTCTTGAAGTTTTTGAATTTCTTTTTGAAGTTCATCTATTTTGTCCATATCCCCTTGAGAGAATTTTCTATCAGTAGCCAATCTTTCTTGCAGATCTTTTATTAACTGATTTGCATTGTCTATTTCTTCGCTGTGAGATTCAACTTCACTCTGAAGTCTAACCATTTCTTTCTTGGCTTCGTCTCTATCAGTCTCAATGAGAAGTTTCTCTTTTTGAGTTTTGGATCGAGTCTCTTCATATTCCTTCATTTGAGATTCAATTTTGGCGATAGCTTCTCTAGCATTTTTCAAAGCTTGATCTTTTAGGTCTCTATCAGACTTGACACGATCAAAATCCTCCTTCAAATCTTGAGTATCATGATCGATCTCTGATACCTTATAGCGTTCTTTATCTGCATCATCTGTCGCTTGTCGTAAATCTTTTCTGAGATCCTCCAAAGCGTCTTTGCTTGCCATCATTTCAATTTCTGTTCTTTTGAGTCGTTTTTTAAGATCCGCTATATCCTCTCTTAGCTTTTGATTCTCTTTATTCAAATTGTGAAGGTCTTGACTTAGTTGCGTTCTTGCAAACGAATTTTCATCTAACTGCTTATTTAGAGATTTATTTTTCTTTTCAGCAGAAGATAGAAGAGCTTCTTTCTCATCGAGACTATTTTGCAAATCATCTATCTTTCGTTCTGCATCTTTTGCCTTCGTTACTGCCTCGTCCAATTCTTTTTTCATCATTTCAATATCACGATTAGAAACTTGCGATTGTGCCATAAGACCACGATACTTTTGCTCGATTTGACGAGCATCTTCCAAAGTTGTCTCTCTTTCTTTCAATTCTTCTTCCATCTCCTGATCCATGCGTCTCAATTCCTCTTGCAGTTTATTGTTTTTGCGATCGGCTTCCCGTAACGCTCTAGCTTTTGCATCTACTTCTGCATGAGCAGCTTCAAGTTCTTGCAATGCTTTTAACTTTGACTCTTCTAACTGCGTCATTGCTTCATTTACATGTTTATCTTCATTCATGCTTGCCATTTTTTCGTGTTTCAAATCATACAACTGTTTTTCAAGTGATGAGTTTTCGATTTGAAGATCATGAGACTTCTTTTCAGCTTTTGATAACTGATGTTCCATGTCATGAATTTGGGCATCAGTTTGTCGTTTTGATCTTGCCAGTTCCTTTTTAACACTTTCAACATCTCTTTCATGTTCTCTCATTTTTCCTTTCTCTCTCTCGACTTCTAGTCGTAACGACCTCATTTGCACTTCTCCATCTTCTCTTTCACGTCTAGCATCTTGAAGTTGGGACTTGAGGGTTGTTTTTTGCGATTCCAATAGAGTAATTGTATCCTCCAAAGTAGATTTCTCTCTCCGAGCAGCTTTTAGCATTCGTTCAAGGCTCATGACAGATTGCTTTTCTTCTTCATCAGATGACAATGCTTCTTCTAAATCTTTTTTCAGCAAATTCACTTCTTTTTGTAACAATCCATTTTCAGAGTTTTTGACATCCAGATCCTGTTGAACAACAATAAGCTTATCGCTTAGTTCACGGACTTCTTCTTCTAATTCTCGAATTTGCTTTTTCGACAATCGAAGTTCATCTTGCAAGTCATGTACTAAGTGACGGTGCTTTTCAAGTTCAGAAGGAGACATCATCTGTTCTTCTTTTTTAGTGACATCTTCACTGATTATTTTTTCAAACCTGATACTAGGGGTTTTTCTATGGCCGAGTTGTTTTATATATTCCTCATCATCTGGCAATTTATTTAAAACAAGTGTTAACTCTGAAACTTCGCTATCAATTTTGTTATCATCTTGATCCTCCTCGTCATCATCATCTTTAAATGCATCTTCTCCAAGTTTGAGTGATTCCGCATCAGAAAATTCAGATTCGCTATACTCACTTTCACTATGAGCAGTTGACAATTTTTTTGCCTTCCTTCTGCGCCTTGTTTTATTGAGTAGCATTTGGCTTGGTCCTACAAATTTAGCTTTACTGACATGAGTTGGAACAATAGGACTCTCTTCAACAACTTTCTTGTCTTCTTGCTGGTTCCTATTTGCTTCATGTTTCGGTGAAATAGGCTTCTTCGGTGTTTGTTGCTTCATTTCCTGGGGTTTGGCAATGACTTTTGCTTCATTAAGGGCTTTGGGTGTTGGTGCTCTTCCATCAGATTTATTTTCAAACACCGCTTTCCGAGCTTGCAGCGTTAAATATTCAGGTTGTTTGGCAGGAGGTCCACTCGTTTTTCGTGGAAGCGTAAATGATGATTTAGGTGTCACAGGACCTGGTGACGTAATAGCAAAATACCTTCCCTCTGGTTTCTTATTACCAACTTTGGTTGGACTATCCACTGTTGTCACTGTCAAATTTGTTTTCTGTGATCTAGCTGAGACATCGACAATAGAACTAATACTCGATGATGCTGTGCTTGTAGGTGAAGTCATTCTTTCTGCATTTACTCTTTTAGCGGCATCTCGAATACGAGAGGACCCAACCAGATTAACTTTGGCTGGCTTAGCCATAGTAGATGGGTCAGGAGTCGGAGATCCAGATTCAAAATATCCAATAAGACTTGTGACAGGTCTTAATCTTTCATTACTAATTGAGGTTCGTTCTCTACGAGGTGGTGAAACACTCCTCGTTCTGTTAGCTCTTCGCTCCATTGCAGCTTTTCCAGGTGAAAGACTCCGTGAACGATTACTTGCACTAGCAGGTATTTTTGATCTGCCAAAATGTCGGCCTGGACCCTTTGAAAAATTTCGTGGTACTGGGGAAGGGGTAGATTCTCGCTTTAAACCGCTTGTAACAGAAGAAGTTGGATAAGAAGATGAACTCAGTAGTGAATCATCATATTCAGCATCTGGTGTGTATCCATTGAGTCTCGCGGGAGACAATAGAGCAGGATTATGAGTTTCCCCATCAGGAGCTTGAACCATGTGTTTTTGTTTATCCTTGTCTTCTAAAACTACAAAAGGATGGCCCTTTATATCCTTAATACTGATCATAACACCGTATTCTGAACCATTTTTACCACCCTTTCTTCCACGAGTTGGAAGAGTAGCAGAACCAAGCGAGTGATAACCACGACCCTGGTTTCTGGGCTTAGCTTTCGCACGAGGGGTGGTACCAGTCGAATTCCATAATTCAGAGCCTGGCGTAGTTACATCATCTCTTCGCTCGAATATCAACTCCGGTGTAAGCTCAATGGTTGCCATCTCTAATTATGTTATTGTGATGCATATGCATTCATGACCATATAATGAACAAACTACTTTGATATAATATCTAGTCTATAAAAAAACAAGTTTGTGACTGCTGCAGTGCTGCATATTATAAAATCAAATGCTAAATTAGATAACAATGGCACAACTATTCATGACAAAATAATTCAGTAATTGAACGCGGGTCTTACTACTTACTGAATACAGCGCGAAACACCGCAAACAGCGCAAAACCGCACGAAACAGAAGGAAACCAGCGCAAAACAGAGGGAAAAAACGCAAAACAGGAGACGCAGCCACCTCCTGCCACGAAAGAACCACGGCGCCTCCCGCCATGGTTTTATGGCACTATTTCCGTTATATTTACAAGGTTATGTACCGGATTATAGGTCATCATGCGAAATTTTATTTACCTTTTTGGTGCTCCAGAAGTATGTGCAGCAATATGTCGCACAACCTGAATCCGCTACACACACACATACTATTTTCAGGTTGTGCGCCATCTTGGTGCACATACTTCTGGAGGTCCCTTTTTACCTAACCCTAACCCTAAATCCAACCATATTCATATGGAAAATGTTCTAAATTATGGTACCCAAAATGTGTCACCAGCAGGGGCAGACTTGCCATTACAGCATTACTGGCTACATACCATACGGTACGTTGGTTTGTGTTTTTAATTTGCTGCCATGGTACTCCAACTCAAAACAAGGTGCCCCGAACTCATTGCAAAATTTTTTTCTGCTTCACACTGTTTCCGTCTGTTTTGCGCTCTTTCGCGCTGTTTTGCGCTGTTTCCCCACTGTTTTGCGCTGTTTCCCCACTGTTTTGCGCTGTTTCCCTCCTACTGCAGTACGGTACCGGTACAGTCTAGCTGGCCTATGTCTGTATATACAGATATATGTATGTAGGCTATGTATGTTTATTCGTCTCGTAGAATCAATAGAAAAGAATTAGTAATTATCAATACTGAAGACCGCACAAGACCATCCTGACCTAAAACACACGAATGTGCGGCATACACCCCTTACTGCCTTATGATAAGCATAAAATACAATAAATCAAATACATATAATATGGTCTGGTACGGTACCGGTACTTTATACAGCAGTACAGAGAGTTGTGCAAAGACGGTGGGTGGGTGTGGTACCGTAACACTGTAACAGGGGTAAGGATGAAGTACCGGTATACCATACAAAACTGTTTGTTCAAAGGCGTTTGTAAGACAAAACAACATCTATAAATAGAGACAGAGAGACAACACAACATAAAATACACTCATGACACTGCACAGCTTCATGTAACGTTAAACATAATAATAAACATAATCTTGATACCGGTATGATAGTTCACCGGTACCGGTACAGGCAAACAGGATTCAGGGGTTATAAAATTATAGTAACTTCTGAATTAAGGAATTCCTGAATTTGGGAAGATGTAAGTAAACTGAGTCACAATTCTGCAATTTGGGTTGCTGGGTTTGTCAGTCTGTTGTATAACTGTACAAACTGATAAAAACGGAAAAAACCTTGAATCCGATACCGGTACCGTAGCTGCAGGAACAAACGCAAAAACCTGTTACCTACAAACACTGAAACAGTTAAACAGGAATGAAGGAGTCAAAACAATCAGCCTGGGCTGAGTTATACGGTACCGTACCGGTACTAGATTGCCAACCCCCCTGAAATCCTTGTCGGCGGTCAGTCAGTCAGTGAGTCAAATGACATATAGTAATTGTTACTTATACGGTATGTCGTTGGTGAGTCTATGCAATGGTCTATGCCAGGCCTGCCCAACCTTTTTCGTTTTGCGGGCGATCTCAAGTTACGAAATTCGTTGCGGGCCGCAAATGTTCAACTTTATACCAATCATTAATACCAGCTAAGCCCTGATTTCGGTGTAGGTGATTTAGATAATAAATAAAAAGCAATTTTATTAACATCAAATCAATCAATTTAATAATTGCTTTCTGGTTACTGAGTGGGGATGGCAAATTATTCGAATATCAAGTCGAATATTAGAATAGCAGTTTACTATTCGAATATCTGGTAACACGAGGCGTGGACATGACAATTGTGGTTCTTTGATGACCACACGAGAGCACACAAATCACGTTGAATTGAGTGTTATCTTTGCATCATATAGTGTTTTTATTCATTCATTTTCAGTAGCTATGATACTGTCTCAATGTTTAAATGAGCATAATGTGGGCAAATGTCGCGAGAATATCAAGTTTAAGTTGGCCGTTGCGTAAAACTTGACACCCATACAAATATTTAATAAAGTAATATTACGAAGATTTCTGGACAAATACCCTATATATAGGCTACTGATTCGTGACCAATATGCTGCAATGTCAATTTCATCAGAATTATTGACGGATACGCAGTGACGACATTTCCGAAATTTAATTTAACCCAAACATATGATAAAAAAAAAACATAAGAGAACGAGTCCCGGGACCAGTATCAAAGATATTGTTGACTTTTTATTTTACGTTGGCGAAAAAGAGGATCAAAGCAGACACGTAAGAAAACAATCAGAATGAAATTAATTTGCAAATTTAGGCTCCAAATTCATTCCTATAATTCCGCTCAGCGTTCGTCCTCAATGATCGCACAATATCTTTCGAGTTCGCCGAACAGAACGCTCAGTTCTGCGAAAAATAGAAAATAAAACTGACGTCGGTCGATGTCCACCAGGGAGCAAGACTTGACACATACGTAATAATAAGAACCGGCATTTGAATGCAGATAGATGACATCAATAATCACACCAAAACCACGAAACATACTTAACCTATATATTGATATGGAACCTGATGGAACATAGTAAATACATCAAAAGTCTGCTTACAACTTTATGGGGTGGGCCGCCAAAAACAGTCGGGCGGGTCGCGGGTTGGGCATCCTTGGTCTATGCAGTACGTACGTATCGTACACCACCGGTACCGGTACGGTACTCGAGCCAACGATGAACAGATGAGCGATGGTTCCTATGCTATGCTGCAATGGCAGAATGATACGGTAATAACTAATCGGTCTTTAATTACTGGACCAATTGCTCTGAAATTTTCAGTGCTTGAAGATATAAATTTTCTTTAGAAGGCTATTACTTTCATTTACTTTAAACGTGCCCATATACTTGAGCATAGCTCTCTTGTTACTTATCGATCTTTAGATCGGTAAGTATGTTGATAGGTATTTGTTCGTTTGTCTGTCTGTTAGATGCACGCGATATCTCACGGAGGCGTGGTTGAGTCTGCTTCAAATTTTGCATGTGCATTCATCATATCTCGGACCAGAAGCCTATTAATTTTGGATGAAATTTCGTGTAATTAGCGAGTTATTAATTAATTAGTTATTGGACACGCGGTGTCACTATAGAGTAATGAATCGAAACCGCAGTTCCGATCGATAAGTCTTCGGTCTCCGACCGATATTTTAAATATTAAGTTATGCCCGTCCTCCAGGTCCTCTGTATTTTGTTTGTCCGTTTGTTGTTGTTTTGTGTTTTGTTTCTATCAGAGAGACCAAATAAAATTGATTGATTGATTACTTCAAATCGCAAACAACGCAAGTCTTTTTTGTGTCATATAAATTACAATGCCAAACGGAATTTTTGTACTGAGATTTTAGAATCGAATTAATGTATTTTGAATACAAAATTTTTTCGTTTCCATGTTTTGGTTTTTAAATTTAAACGCAATTCAACGCAACCTTTTTTTAGCCAAATTTAAATCCATCCGTTGCATGGATTTAGGCTAGCCATAGCCTAGCTAGACTGAATTGAAGGAAGTCCTTTCCACCTTGAAGAACAACAACGCGATAAATTTCCGTTTTCTAAATAACTCCAATGCCAAATGGATTTTTGTTCCTAAATTTTAGTATTGAATCCTTATGTAGTCATCAATGATTGAATCATTAAAAATTTAATCAAATTTTGATGAAACACAATATTGGTTTCTCAAAATACAGTTTTTGTCAAGTTTTGGGAAAACATCCATTCGAATAACATATATTATATATATATATGTAATATCAATTGCCGTGTTGACCCGAAAATAAGACCTAGCCTGAATTTTAGAAATGATTTTAATATAAGCCCTCCCCTTAAAATAAGACCTAGTCAATAACGCCAAAATTGTTTGCCCCAGTCGATAGCAAGAAATTGTTCCTAGACGTTTTGAACGATTGGCAATTCATGTTTTGCCGTTATTTGAAAAAAAAATGTGTTATTTGAATGGAAAATGGATATCGGTTTCATATTTTGTATATATATTTGAAATTTTGTTTTTGATGAATGAAAATATAGGACATCCCCGAATGTAACTTTTCGGAATAAAACTGAAATAAGAGTCAGTCCTAATTTCAGGGAAACACGTTAATACCTCATCTGATTATATGTCCACTGGGACCGGTCCAGCAGACCACATATGGGAACTATTTAACGCTTCAGTGGTTCGCTTGCGATTCAAATCCGTGCTAGCGGTCAACAACATCAGACCACCTATCGGGGAGGTCTGGAAGTTAGCTGCACTGGTCTTGCTCAGTTGCTTTGTCCTGCTACTCGAGAAATCGCAGTTACGTACGTTGATCGAAGGGGTATGGAAGTTGTTTTCCTTTTCTTCTCTGGTAAGTGAGTTGCTTTTTTCAACAAATTGAAAATTTATCTAGAGGGTGCAAGTTTAATTTAAATCTCTTCCGCATCTATTGCGTCGCTGTTGAACCCAAATTTGAAATACCGGTACCTGTACTGGTGGGATCCCGGTGCGGCATGCTGGGTTGTTGTTTTGAAATAAAGAATCAAATCTTAATGTCTAAAGATCATTGGTAGGAACTGAGCGCAATACGACATATGTTGATAAACTTCAGTTTGCATTGAGAAATTTTTTGGAATTTCACCATACAGCCATACCTCATCCTAGCTGTCACCGGTACCCTAACTTCACATACCGGTCAAATTCAATGCTTCAGACTTCAGTGTCGGTAACGTCGCAGTAGTAAGGACGAAATTAAATAATGAAAGTGCTTCTATTTACATATGATGAGCCCACTTCACACAAAGTGTTCGATTGATAAACTGTAAATGTTTAAATTTGGTTCACAGTAGACTACTGTACTGGTAACTGTAGGCCTATCGTAATATTTTGTTAATGGATCGTGTGACATAAGGTGCCGTTGAACGCTGAATGGACGGCCAAAATGATCTAACTAACCTCATCATATTTTGCAAATAACTTCACAGAACTTCAATCAAGGACGTGCATATAAATTTGACCTTCAATTATTTAACATTTGTATTGAATTTATGGATTTATTGAAAATAAAATATATGCAGTGTTTGCAAATCACGACTCATTTGCTTTAGTCCGACAGATCTAAAACTGTTCTGATCTCGTTAGTTTGGACATGTAATCGAGGGCGCTAAGTGGTCTCCGAGACTACTTTGACATTTCCGAATCGGTCCGACAGATCTAAAACTGTTCTGATCTCGTTAGTTTGGACATGTAATCGAGGGCGCTAAGTGGTCTCCGAGACTACTTTGACATTTCCGAATCGAACCGGTTCACTGGACTGGTTTTGATGGACATGTAATCAGGCCTATTCTACGAAGTCACGCTAATGATCTAGATCGGGTTGGTCCAAGGTTGTCTGTTCGCTTCGGGGACACAAAATTATTTTTGCATTGTTCGCGGGCCACAATAAGACCAAGAATAGGAAAACAGCGCAATACCTAACAAACACTTTTATTGTGCAAACATATTGACCATTATTTGGTATTTATGGAGCTAAAACATGCAAAAACTCACTAAAACGTGCAAAAAGTCTACATTTAGTTCAAGATTTCAAACTTTTCACAACGAGGGAGGGCTTCCGCAAATGTTAAGTTTCTTCGGACATCGATAAGCTTTTCAGAGCAAAATCCCTTAACTTTGTAAACATGCTCATTGCTCACGAGATTCTAAAACGCCGTTTTAGATCATAGTCTTTTGTCACCGACAGAACTTGCCGACATATCAAGCAAGCATTGTGGTATTTTCCCTCCCATATCCAGTTAAAATCTGTTTGAATTGGTCGGCTTTCTTTCTCAAACTCGTGTTTACAAAATAACTTACAAATAAATGCCAATTGATTGATTACCGAATGTGATAAGCATGATTTTTTGAAATACTGTTTAGAATGGCTGAAAAAAAACGCAGGATTTATAATGTTAGGCTATAACACTAATATCTAGTTATCAGGCATACGCCAGCCTAGTCTTGCATTCGATTTATTTTTATGATGCCTATATTGTTAGCATATATTCCCGACCCAAAAGATAGAATGCCAGTTAGCAATTTAGCCTAGCCAAATACGTCATTCAACTTCGCTAGTCCTAACAATAGTCCAGGGTTGCCATACGCCATATTTTTCCCTGTCAAATTTGCGTCAGGGAAAAAGGTTAAAAAGTGCTTAAATGTCAGGGATTTTCGAATACAGTGAACCCCTGCTACAAATCCTCGAGTTTTCGGATTTTGCGCACCCATGAAATCCCATTTTTCAGAGATAAGCCTCATTCTAGCATTTTTGTGCAACACGGATTGCATTCAGATAATTGTGATGTCACATATGACCTGAATTGCCAGCATTTTGTAATCGGTATTCTGGTTGCACTACTTTTAGCTTTACACGTACTTTATTCCGTGCTAGGGTTTAGTTACCAGTGCTAAAAATTGAGCACAATGTTTTTTCAGATATGGTAACCCTACAACAGTCAATTCATTGACATATATGTACACGCAATCTGTTTTGCACATTTTTGAATCGAAAGGTGTTTGCAAAAGAAGTGGTAGGTGTTTGCTCACACAAAAGTATCACATAATTCACACACGCACACACACATACATACAAATATTGAGATATAACAAAATGAGAAGAGAAAAAGGGGAAATATAATATTGCTTAGTAAAAAAATATACAAATAGGCCGTGAGACGTGAGTCGTGAATATGACGTGAATATAAAGATAAACAGCCCATCTAGCTGTTTGCAACTAGTATGATTCTCATATACCTTGACGATTTTCTTCAGGACTTTTTCTTCGATCCATTATATTCTTACAGGTAAGCGCTGATAGCAGCAGCGATGATAGCTTGGATTGATGGAACATTGCCGTTTTCTTTTAAAATGGGGAAGAAAATCATATTTGGAACAACATGATTGTTTTTCGACAAATAAAAATACTTTTAAATACTGACTAATACTTCTCATACATAATGCATTTTATCTGATGTACTTCAGTCAGTGGTGGGATTCAGCCGGTTCGCACCGGTTCTATGGAACCGTCTCACGGAACTTTTTGAGATCAGCGAACCGGTTATCAGTACTGGTTACTCTCAATGACTTTTTGTAACAGAACCGGGTGAAAAACATGACTTTCGTGATAAAACCGGCTGACAAAAAAATGAATCTCACCACTGCCTTCAGTGTTTGCATACTAGACTATATGTACAATGGATCTCGATAAATCACACAGTCTGAATTGCCCTGTATATTTTGAAACATCAACTGTCAGCCTACAACTTGATTTTAGACAGCTGACATAAATAAAATTGGTTACTTTCCCCTCTTTCACACAAACGGCCATTATTTGCTGAATCAAATATGCTGTAGCCTATATAGTAGTATAAGTCTGCTGAATATTCAAGAATCGTCATTAAATTAATCATATACTTTCCATACAAGCATGAAAATACCGAATCGTTGTTTGTGGAATACCTTTCTATGTCTAGCCTTTCTTGAAGTGTGCTGTACTCTATGCCCAGTTTGCTTTCTGTGGGGATTAAATCTGGAGTATATTTCGTCATATTGAACTAAATTGCAATGGTATTAGCGATATACTTTACATTTAATGAAGATTCTATTGATGCATTGTAATGAATTATCCACAATTTCAAAAAATCGACAAATGCTTATGCCCAGGCACAAATGTATTGAATAATAAACTATATTTGAAATTAGTTCAGTGCGATGTAGACTGTAAAGAATACTTGGTTTAATTTTATTTAATAATCAGAATATCGTCACGCTAATAACCGAATTGCTTAAGTCATTCTTACCAGTTTTGAGAAAAACGCAAAAAACTTCCTAATGATATTGTTATGCCATTGAGAGTCAATAATTTGCCATGGTTCAATTTTATGATCGTAGCCGGATTTACCTTAATTTGTATGACGCAGTTAAGTGACGTCATAATGGCGCACTGTGACTTAGGCAGAATTGTGTCTATGACTTGGGGACATACGCAATTTTGCAACTTCACTATATGCACCAGTCCTGAAAACTAAACATTCCAAAACGAATGTAATTCTCAGTATCTACAATGTCTAATCCCCAAAATAGCTAATCAGTTTCAATTACATTATTTTTTATGTGTAAAAATATATATTTTCTCAATATAACACGTTCTGCACACCCACCGAAATAAGACTAAGATTAAAAGTAAAGAATAAAACAGCAATGCACCCAATATAAAAGACAACCAAGGTGAATTGGACTCGGACAGTGAATATCACAAGTGCACGTCTTCCTATACTGTAGTATAAATTCAAATTAATACGCGCTTAGCTAGAATCCGAGATGCAAAAACTCGAGAATACTTCGCCGAGGTTATTTTGCCTTTGTGACGTCACAATAGTCCTGCGGTAACCATGATAATTCATTATGACGAAACAATTGCACAAATGTGCATGTCATACTAAATCTCCATTTTTATGGGTTTCGGAATTCTTAAAATAAAATCTGAGTTAACAGACAGGTGCGCAGCATCACATAATTTACCTATTTTATGAAAAACTCAAAATCGCTAAAAATGACTTACGCAATTTGGTTATTAGCGTGACGATATGTCAATCGGGTATTCCTGATGGTCTGACAGAATAAAAATTAATCAAATCTAATTTGTCGATATTCAACATAATAAATTGTATTATTAATGATGATTTATAGTAATTATCTTTCTGCACACGTCAACAACTTCTGACTCGTTCTTCTGATTCCAAAACAAATTTTGGTATGATAAGTTTTGTCTGGTATTTAAATTTTTTGTTCAAAATTGCAACACAAATTCAGAAAAAATTGGAAATTGCGACCCTAACTCAACAGCCTTGGTTTTAATAGATTGATGGTTGAACATCTTTACATTCTCGGACGAAATTTCATTTCTGTCGACTTTAATGATATCCCGCCTCCTTTCCAATGTCCCCAGATGATTCCTTCCCAAGCTCTACTAGTCTGACCTCCACTGACATATTTACCGTTGAGGTTTGCAATATGACAAGCATTAAACCACCATCCACCACTGTTCCAAGAATTTGCACAGTTACCACCGGCATTATCATTGTCCTGATCCACCGTCGTAAACTTCATTGTGTCATGAAAATTCCTTACATTATGTTCAGGTGTGAGTGCATCCCCAGCATCCCCTGAATATTTTCCAACATTGAGTTGGTATTTTGTAGAAGCAGACCCGATGGAAAATGTCCTGAAATAAGAAAATATTATTTCAAAAACACCACAAGATTTCGTATTCACACCGGGGTTTAAGAAAACCGACAAATTGGTCCTAATCTGAATGAGGTTCTAAACAAGATGTTATCAATAGGTATGCGGTTGTTTCAAGACGACGGGAAATATCCCAGTTTTGTCTTATTTGCACAACTTAGTCAATTTGGATCACATAGTTAAATCTATCACTTCACTATTATCGAATATTTTTGTTTATTACTTATCGATCTTAAGATCGGTAAGTATGTTGATAGGTATTTGTCTGTATGTCTGTGTGTTAGATACATGCGATATCTCACGAAAGCGAGGTTGAATCTGCATGTGCATTCATCATAGCTCGGATCAGAAGCCTATTGATTTTGGATGAATTATGTCTTATAATTAGCGAGTTATCAATTAATTAGTGATGGGACACACGGTGTCACTATGGAGTAAGACCACTGTTTTGGGGGATCCCCTAACCTTCGATCGATAAGTCTTCGGTTTCTAACCGATATTCTAGTTAAAGCCTTGTTGAGTCACTTTAAAAACCATGTAAAACAAGATTGATAAATTACTTACGAATACTTGGCGTAGCGTTTATTTCCCTCCCAATCTTCCAAATCAATTCTGAGTTCAAAGTCACCGTCTGATGTTAATCGATGTAGTTTCTCCAATCCTGGAACGAGAAAAATGGTTTATAACTTTAAATCATTTATATTTTTGTTCGTGTGCTTCACGAATTGACTTTGGACAAGACTATCTCTTAAGCAATTGACCGTTACAGAATCCTACTATATTCACATTGTTTCCTTTTAACGTGTAAACTATTGATCATCATGAGCAAAGCGGACTGTAATTTCTAGTTTTTATTCTATTCAGAAATATTTTAGCTTTCTTACCCATCCAGTATTCTGTGGCTGGGTTTCCAAATCCATTTGCATATTCGGCCCATGTATACGAGGTGAAATCGATCACTCCGTTAGACCTTCGTTGAAAAACCTGTTGCAGAAAATGTATCTAGTCGTTTGGTATGCCCGGTAGAGAATAACAAAAAGTTGCGTTTCTACGGCACGAAATATTAGTGTATCGTCGTCTTTGATGAGTGACACCTTCCTCTCAAGTGCGTTTAAAGTGCCAATAGCAGTTGTTACGGCTGTATATTACGTATAACCTATTAACTTAGCCAGATGAGTCTCAGACAAAAACTACCGTGTATTATTTAATTTGATTCAACTGATATCTGAGTGTCAGTAATCTTGTACACTAAATACGAAATTTTCTTACCATCCATTTTCCTCCGTCTGTCGATGTGTCGCAATAAACGTGAATTATTTGGTTCCATATTACGGGATAGATTGCAAAGACGCCACCTGTTTTGTTCTTCACAAGGGCTAACTCGGTTGTAGCAAAATTGTTGCAGTCTTTATTGAGCACCACCGAGAACACACCTGATGAAAATAAATTAATCAATCAGTTCGCAATGAATTAGAACAAAAGCAAAGTAGAATTTGACACGCAAAAATCCGAGAAGTTGCCCATTTTCATCCAGAAAAATCAGAGGCAAAAATATATGAACATATTTAAATTTAAAAGCTCTTAGTTGAAACCTCACCTTTTTAATAACGGGGACTAGGAAGCGATTGGATAAGTAGTTTGTTTATTCATCAAAAACAGCAATTTGAAAAACTATCTATTCCATGATCGGTAGAATTATGTGTCATCACGATATCGTTATTGGACCAGTTTATTCTAGAATATTTCTGCTATTATATATTAACTAGCCTGAGCATCTTTGTAAATGAAGAACCAAAAATTGAGCTGTTGTCCACGAGTGAGTGGTCGCATACGAAATGAATATACCAGCGGGGAACTGATTGTAAGAAGTGACACATATATTATGACAAATGATGTTGAAAATATTGTTTGTGCTTAGATTGTGGTATAATGGCCCTCTCCGGTATTAAACTATGCTTTTTAGTCGGACCGGTGGCTGTTAGACTTATCATATTAAAATATGTAAATATAAAAGTTACTGTTTATTTTTTCTTGTACAATCTCTTCGATTCTGGTGTAGTTCACATCGCCTGGCGACCCAGGAGCCCCGGGATGACCTTTGACCCCTTGTGGGCCGACGCTTCCAATGGGCCCACGTGAGCCGACTATTCCGGGGAGTCCAGGTGGTCCCACTGGCCCAGCTTTTCCTACTCGGGCCGTTCTCGGTTGCCCTGCCAATGTATCGTCGGTATCTTGAGACATATACGTTTGGCAATATCGATTCATTTGCTCAGTCAGTACTGTCCCATAATTATCCAAAGTTGATGCGTTCTCCGTGGAAATTATTCCAACAAATATAAACAGGGTGATATATTTGATCATGTTTAGTTTCGATATTCATCGATCTGGGATGAATGAACAACACGTTAAAATTATAACTTACTTAACAGTAAATAACACCAACAAACCGCAAAAGGAATCCGGATGAAGTCTGCTACATCTACGTTCCGCAATTTAGAATCGGAGCCAGAATGACTGTTGGCTTCTAGTCTGAGTCTAGTTTACATTCTCTAGAACAGTGGTTCCCAATCTTTTATGGCTCGTGGGGCCCTTCTGTCGGAGGATTTCAGCACACATGGCCCCCCTATTCATTATTCTGTTGGTATTTATACTGTGTCATTTTTATTGGTAGATTTCATATCCCAGTATGTTCAGACATATTCCATTATTCATATCTCATTATGTTTCTGCTCAACAAAATACATTGTCAACACATTGTCTAAAATGGTTTTTGGACACGTAATGGACATAACGATCGTTTCAATATTACGTTGTTGTTGTTCCTTGACACGTTTTAAAGAAATCGCTTTTCCCTTGGATTACCGAACCAATTGCCAACCAATTGAAATTTTCAGTGGGTAAAGATTATATTTTTTGCTAGAGGGCTATTATTTTTTGCTATGACGACATAAAAATTCTGTCTGTGGTACTACGTGGCTATATATTTGAGCATAGCTCTCTTGTTATCTGTTTACGCAGATATTATAATTCGAGCATATTCATGTACTGGCTATAACTTTCTCTTCCTGACCATGTAAATTAATTTTTACCATTCAACTGTGTGAATAATTACTAGCTGTCAGGTTGTGTATCTTCTTAATTTTTGTCTCCACTCGAAGCCATCTAAGAGAATTCAAAACATCGTCCGCGAACGGTTGTTTTAACATCTATGCACTGTTGCTGCCATGGTTACCTCGTTTGGTGGTGCGCAGAGTCAATTTTTCAATCGAGCAACTCCATGTATGTAAGGTCGTTGTACTTCATCTTGCGCTTGTTGCTGATATACATAGTTTGTCTTGTTGAACACGAAATTGACCTATGGATCGTTTTGCTATTATGTTGTTGTTGTTGTTCTTCATGGTAATTTCCTCCTTGTCCTCATGAAAAAAACGCTTTTCTCATTCACTGATGGACCAATCATTTTGAAATTTTCAGTGGCTAAAAATTGTATTTTTCGCTAGAAGTTGTTTATTTATTCCTGTTTTTTTTTTTTTTGAGAATCCTGTAAGATCTTATATTTCGTCCAAAATTTCGCTATATTTTTATTATTTTCGGGAACACGGTTTTTAACCCCCCAAGCGTGACGGCTGATTCTGATTTAATACGACGCGACGCGAAACTCGTCGATTAATTGATACCGGGAGGTACGATACGAAAACTAATTTGTTTTGGATTTCGTGTTCTTATATCTGAGCATCGTTCTCTTGTTGATTTTGTTTTTGTTGTTTTCCTTCATCAATATAAAATCGCCTTTCTCTCCGAATACTGGACCAGTTGCTCTGAAATTTTTAGTGGTTAAAGATTGTTCTGTTTGCCAGAAGGCTAGTATTTTTATTTATGCGTACATTATCTATGAATGAGATTTAATATTTCATCAAAAATTTCAATGTATTACTTTTTAATTTTAATTATTGAACACGGGTTTTAATCTGCCAAGCGGGACGGATGATTCTGAAAATTCTCGTTACTCGTAACTCGGAGGTTTTTTTAAGGTAAGGTAGACTACCGATACCGCACTGCTTCACTTGATGTCAGTATATTTGTAGACTGTGATATCTGCTGTTATAATACTAGGCCGTGAGACGAGGCCCTGAAAAACGCTTAAAAAATGAGTTTCATTACAGCTTGTTCCCACTAACGAAAGTTGCACATTTTCGGTGAAATATGCTTCAAATATCTGATGCAAAAATTGGATTATAGGGGATTTCCTAAAAATCAATAATGATATTTTATTAAAATAACTTCTATATCTAATTCACTTTCTTATGAATTGCTTCCGAAATCCTCATTCTCAAAAATCGACTTTTCCTTTATAAGTGTACTGTCCTTTTTGCAGTCGACACAAAAACAAAACTCTGTCCAATTTAGATTGTTTTTGTCACACATGCATAAATTCTTTTGACACTTATTTTTTTACACTTGCAGTTTGCCAACTCAATAACTGATTTGGGGGCTGTTAGTGGATCCACCAAGTTAACCCGCAAAACACCATCATCAAACATCCAGTCCATGTGTTTGATTGCTCTAATGTTTCAAATTAGGAAGGCACATTAGGGGGAAGTCTTATATTTGAAGAAAAAACAGTTTCCGTAGAAAAAATACACTATAACTTTTTCCTTCTGTCACTTCATAAAAAATTCAGCCTAACGATTCCGCGGGAGGTGACGGTTCCCAGTAGAAGTTCTCCAGTATCGAGTTCACACACGTGGCTGATGGCTTGACAAACTTTCCCGTCGAGATCATAGTGTATGGCTTCAGGCTCAAACGTTGACGAAATTTTCACCACAACGCCTTTATTCATTTTGAGAAGTTTAAAAAACAGTTTCTAAGCTATTAGCACCGGTTAAAGTGTCACGGATAACTGGAAATGGTAAGGCGATATCGAAACTCGACTCCATGTATGTAAGGTCGTTGTACTTCATCTTGCGCTTGTTGCTGATATACATAGTTTGTCTTGTTGGACACGAAATTGACTTATGGATCGTTTTGCAATTACGTTGTTGTTGTTGTTCTTCATGGTAATTTCCTCGTTGTCCTCATGAAAAAAACGCTTTTCTCATTCACTGATGGACCAATCATTTTGAAATTTTCAGTGGTTAAAAATTGTATTTTTCGCTCGAAGTTGTTTATTTATTCCTGTTTTTGTTTTTTTTGAGAATCCTGTAAAATCTTATATTTCGTCCAAAATTTCGCTATATTTTTATTATTTTCGGGAACACGGTTTTTAATCCACCAAGCGTGACGGCTGATTCTGATTTAATACGACGCGACGCGAAACTCGTCGATTAATTGATACCGGGAGGTACGATACAAAAACTACCGTACTTTGTTTTGGATTTCGTGTTCTTATATCTGAGCATCGTTCTCTTGTTGATTTTGTTTTTCTTCATCAATATAAAATCGCTTTCCTCTCCGAATACTGGACCAGTTGCTCTGAAATTTTTAGTGGTTAAAGATTGTTCTGTTTGCCAGAAGGCTAGTACTTTTATTTATGCGTACATTATCTATGAATGAGATCTAATATTTCATCGAAAATTTCAATGTATTACTTTTTAATTTTAATTATTGAACACGGGTTTTAATCTGCCAAGCGGGACGGATGATTCTGAAAATTCTCGTTACTCGTAACTCGGAATTTTTTTTAAGGTAAGGTAGACTACCGATACCGCACTGCTTCACTTGATGTCAGTATATTTGTAGACTGTGATATCTGCTGTTATAATACTAGGCCGTGAGACGAGGCCCTGAAAAAACGCTTAAAAAATGAGTTTCATTACAGCTTTTTCCCACTAACGAAAGTTGCACATTTTCGTTGAAATATGCTTCAAAAATCCTGATGCAAAAATTGGATTATAGGGGATTCCCTGAAAATCAATAATCATATTTTATTAAAATAACTTCTATATCTAATTCACTTTCTTATGAATTGCTTCCGAAATCCTCATTCTCAAAAATCGACTTTTCCTTTATAAGTGTACTGTCCTTTTTGCAGTCGACACAAAAACAAAACTCTGTCCAATTTAGATTGTTTTTGTCACACATGCATAAATTCTTTTGACACTTATTTTTTTACACTTGCAGTTTGCCAACTCAATAACTGATTTGGGGGCTGTTAGTGGATCCACCAAGTTAACCCGCAAAACACCATCATCAAAAACCCAGTCCATGTGTTTGATTGCTCTAATGTTTCAAATTAGGAAGGCACATTAGGGGGAAGTCTTATATTTGAAGAAAAAACAGTTTCCGTAGAAAAAATACACTATAACTTCAGCCTAACGATTCCGCGGGAGGTGACGGTTCCCAGTAGAAGTTCTCCAGTATCGAGTTCACACACGTGGCTGATGGCTTGACAAACTTTCCCGTCGAGATCATAGTGTATGGCTTCAGGCTCGAACGTTGACGAAATTTTCACCACAACGCCTTTATTCATTTTAAGAAGTTTAAATAGAGTTTCTAAGCTAATAGCACCGGTTAAAGTGTCACGGATAACTGGAAATGGTAAGGCGATATCGAAACTCGGGTCGGGTAAAACTGGAATCGGTGCCCAAAATCCTCCATCTCTGCTTCTTCTGATGTTATCTGGCCCACCAGGAAGCAGAATCTGTTTCAAGATTTCGCCTGATTTTATATCAAATACAAGAATACGGCGTCGACTATTTTCTGACAACAGCAACTTCGATTCTGTCAAATCCAATTCAATTCCATTTGCAAAGCACAAACGCTCACGGAGAAGATCGACACTTTTAGTGGTTAGATCTACTTTGAACAATCGTCCACTGCATTCTACTTCTATTATGCTATACGCAGCCCCTTTGTAATCCCATTTCTCACTAGTATCGGTGAAATATATCGTTGACCCATCTGCAGTTATTGTCAAATCATTAGCAAACATCAGGTTGGGGTTGACATCACCGAATCCTACAATTTTCTTCCATTCTTTTGTGAGTATATCGATAACAAAAATACCTTGGTATGCATCCGCGAAAAAGAGTTTCGAATTAAACAATCTTAAACCCATAATACGTTTATCCACACGCTTACTTCCTTTCGCAAAGTCGAATGATTTGGTCAATTCGGTAAGTACCTTGCCAGAATTTGAGATTTTCATGATTCGACCATCTTCGAGGCCAGCGTACCAGTTACCAACTTTATCAACTGCAATAGATTCTGGCCCAATTAACTCGGTAAACAGCTTTTCCCCACTCTGAAGATCGTTGTTTATCATATTTGCCCATTTCAATTGCCCAATATTATGCATGTCATTGACGACGACGGAAGAAGTCGGGGATGTGAAATACGCGCAGCACAGATATGCACTTAGAGCAGCTATCACCACCTTCACCACGAAGGTAATGGTGTTCCTTGAAGTTGAGCCTTGCAATGCGTTTTCATCGCCTGTCCGTTTGTGTGGAGTATCTTTCTTTGATGTTTTGCTGCGCTGTCTCAATTCTTTTCGATTATCCATATTAAAATACTTGGCACTTGGTTAAATTTAATTTTGTATATTTAAGCTTTAATGCTATCCCAACCAACTGGCTATTTATACCTCAAAAATAAAATTCATCAACATAGGGTGAGTGAAACCCCCACAATGTTTGCCATATATATTGACAATATACTCAATCAGGTAAACAGTTGAGGCGAATAAGGAAAAACTACATAGCACGATGACTAGATAGATCGTCACGGAAGACATTAATACAGCGCTGTTATGCCGCAGTGTTTCTGCGAAATTTGATCTGAGCAACAAAGCGTAACGGGCACCGACCTCTGTATCTGACGCTAACAAATATACGCAAGATTGGTTTTATATACCACGCCCACTATACCAGACAGGCTATTTTCCGGCATCGTTAATTAATACTGTACCTATATTTAAGTCTAACTATTTGAAGGGGCAACATTTTTTTGAAGATGGGGATAATTTCCATGCAAATATAAAAGGAACAAATTTAAAAACAATTCTCATTTTTTTAATTTGTGTGTATTTTGGAGTTTTCAAAATAAACTATCTATTTATCAAAAAATGAATCATACACTGATGTATAAAATATCTTTAATACAAAGCAGCAAAAACATCAGAGTCATTGAATAAAGTAATTTTAATTTACTCTGGAACATTAGTAGGTCAAGTAACAATGTTTTTTTTACGATTCCATTGTGAGGATCCGTAAATAATAGTCAATCTCTTCACGTATCCATAACACCGAAAGTTTGAGAGCTCTTGATGTACAAGACCATTTTGTGACTACTGGAGCAGATTTTGATTTTTTCACACTCATCTTTATAATGATAAATGCGTACCCAACGCTTAGCACTTTTTTCATACGGCGTATCTATACGCATCCCGCTACAAACGATATTCTGCACAAGAATCCACTAATGTGCAACTTTGGAAAGCGTAATCTTTCAGGTTCTTTCTCACAACAATATCTGTCTCCACGATTCCTAATTGACAACTAACTAACAATTCAACTCTGATAAGGGCTACTGTTCACGCCGATAAAGATATGTTACACACAAGTTTTATTTGAGAATAATCAAAGAAATATTAAAGTCCGTTAGATGACAACAAGCATTATAATGCTATAACACGGATAGACCGGAAATATTGTATCGAAAAAGACTTCGGTCTCTAGCTTAATCGAAACAAGCTGAAAAGCGCTATGACAATATCGCTTGCAGGTTAATCACTGTAAAGTACTAAAAAATCTAAACTACAAGAAGGAAAAACAATTACAAACGTATTTTTTATCAAAATAATTATACACAGGGGAAAATTCCCCTTTTCTTTCAAAATCTGCCAAAACTCGTGATTATTAAATTGACAATTTCCAAAAACTTTCTGTGAATATTTTCATAGGCACAGTTCAGAATTAATAATCTACAAAAATCATTCCTAGGGCAATACAGCTTTATCCTGAAGATTCATTGTGTGAAAGTTTCGAAATTTCACGAACAAGCTTGTGCTAAATGATGTGTGCATAGAAAATTTTTTGTTTTTACTGCTGCTCAGTACGAATATGTCCAAATCCTTGAAATATGTGTAGATGTACCAGATGTATAAAAAGAATTTTAGTCAGACAAACACCAATTATCAAAGTTTTATAGTAAAAAATTTGTTAAATAGGTAAGCCAAATAAATTGTGCATTTTAAAATGAACAAGGGAAGCGTCATATTTCACAATCAATGAATCTGCTTTTTTGCATGAAAAACAAAATTTCAAATATCAACAATATAATGAAGCATATACCGGCAATACTCATCATTTATGTCAAATGATTCATCAGTTCACTTAAACTTGAATGCAACATACATAGCGTTAGTCACCAAATTAGATAGACTGTTTAATTACAAAAAATACCAGAAAAAAGCATTATTATATTCATTCAAAAAGCCTTCATTTCCTTATGCATCTGACTGCTTTTAAAAACTTATAATAGCACGGTGGCGAAGGTTCAATATCGAGGGAAAAATGTTTAGGATTTTACAATAATCAAAACTACATAAATGCATAAAAAATAAGAACGAAATAACATTGTGCGCTTCATAAAAAGCGCACAGAACAGCTAGCAAAAAAAAATATTACTTAAGCTTTTGTGTTGGAAAAATATATCCATGCAACATGCTTTTAAATACAAATCATCCAATACTATAAATTTCATATTTTTTTCTTGCATGGTACCATGGACGGAATAGAATAGCTAAAAATATGCATTTGCCAATCTTATAAGAGAGTGTGAGATGATGATATGTAAGAGACAAAGTTGAAGATTATCACGAATACCTGAAATATCAGAATATGTTAAACAAACACGAAAAAGTTTGAAATTTAATAACATAATTCACTAATTTTAATCCTGAAATTTGAAACTTAAAAAATCCAAGACACGTATGGCATAAATTTTTATATAGAAAACGATTTAAGATGAAATAAAATCATTAAAAAACAAAAAAAAGTTTAATAAAGATATAAATCTGTACAACATGCATACATAAAGAATCAAGAGTTTATTCAGCATCATGTCTGCTATTCTATTTCAGAAATACACTATTTTTTGCAGAGTCTCCTCCAATACAATAAACTAAAAACACGGACATACATACGGACAGAATTCTGCCGAAAAAAACTCTTAACAAAAGGTGGAAAGAAGGTTTGAATGTTATTATTACAGGTACAAAAAATAGGAACACCTAAAGTATATCGATTATAATAAAGTATGAAAATTATATTCTTATAACAGAAAGAAACGTAAATCAAAAATTACAAGACTGCTAGCCAATTTATTTGAAAAGCCATATACAAATGATGGATGTGACAATGAAATCATGTAAAAGATAACAAAACGTCATTTTACCTTTTATTTTTGAATGACTACAGGACAAAATCATAGCAAAAATATTTCACAGATTGCTCATTTATAAAGTAGTAATTGGTCTGTGTAAAGAAGTATTCAAAACAAAAAATCATGATAGAAAAGAGATACAAAAGTTGAATGTTTAAGACATGATAGCTTCAAAAATAATAAGATCCTAATAATGGGAATGATATGAAAAAACAAGTCAATTTACTCATTATTTATTAGTCACAAAACAAAACAAAAAAGATAATATCATACTCGTATACCCGGCAAATTGATAATTCCAGCAATTTATTAAAAAAAAATGATATTCGATAGGTTTGTCATCCTAGACCAGGGTTTCTCAAACTGGATTCCCTTGGGAGTGATTATCTAGGGGCCATGAGCGAAAGCCGTCCTTAAGTACCATTTTCAATGACTGCATTAATTTAAAGTAACTTAATGGAGATTGTCCATTTCTTTGACTGCAACTCTGTGCAAGATATTTATTCTTTTACATTGGTTTGTCAGCTTTTTATCATTATTGAACATGGAAAATAAAATAGCTGAAGGTTTTTTTATTGAAGAGCTGGGAGCCACGGAGTGTTGAGAGAGTCACTGAATGGAAAAATCTAATAACTGAGACAAATTTCCAGTGTTTTAAGATAGAGAATACAATATTTACTACATAAATCCATTTAAGAATCTACCGGTAATTGCAAATACACACTATTTTAAGACGATCAGCGTCACACAAAATTAAACTTATAAACTTAAAACTAAATATAATATTTGATTAAATTGGTTAGAAATTACTTTAAGAAAAGTTCAGTTGTGTTATTCATTTTTGCCATTCCTTCTCATGTCCTGGAATATTTCAGTTTGAGAACTTCGGCCAAATCATTGATTGCTTGAAGAGCCTGAAATGGTTAATAGTAGGATAATATTTAATTTCAGCTGAGATTTTCGAACAACAAATAAGGATAATTAAACTATGCGAGTTAGAGGGCCTAATGTAAGGGTCCTTGGTGTTATAGAGCAGGAGTTGGCAAGGTTTTTGGATCAAGGGGGAAAAATTTTGCCCACGTTTACTGTTGGGCCATGTAAGTGTGACATAAAAAGTCACATATTATAAACAATATTTGCAGTTTTACAAAAGCAACAGTGGTAAACAAAAGGCCTCGTGCCAGAAATAAAAAAACTGCAGGCCGTATTTTGCCCATGCTTGTTATAGAGCCTGAGAAGAGGTGAACTGTTATTTGCGGAGCCTCACAATAAAGATAGAAAATAAATTATGTATCGGAACTTATACATAAAGTCATAAAACAAAAATTAAATAAGTAATTTAAACTACAATCTAGTATTTTGATACAATATAAGGTTACCTACCCCTTTTAATTGCTCTTCACTATGAGCCGCAGATATACAGAATCTGACTCTAGACTCTACGAGTGGTGTTGCTGGAAAGCCTACAACAACAACAGCAAATCCTCTTTCCAACATTTCGCGACTGAAAGGGCTAAAAAAATATTGTCCAATAAGAATCGCTGATGTTGTCAATTGTATACTATGAAATAGAGTTGCAATCAAGAAATAGAGTGAATCTATGAAACCTTAGCATGGTAATTTAGTCAGGGCTGGGAGCCAGAAATGGCAGTCATGATGATTTTTTTGGCGCTGGAGCCAAGCCTACCATATTACGCAAAGCCGGAGCTACCAGAAATTTCAGTGGATCCAGCTCCAAACCTTCTGATTATTTTTCCATATTTATAATTTTCACATACAAATAATAAAATCCATCATTTTGAGAATAAATTTCGTTATTCGAATATTAATTTTTAAGTTGAATTTGTATAAATTAAAAGTATAAAGTATACTTTTTAAATGTGAAATCTTTATATCATGATTTTGAGTCAAAGAAACTGCTTTGAATTTCAGAAAGGTGTTTCAAGGTGGTGGTCACAACAAAAATGGCCGTAGCTGGAACTACAGCATTTGACCACATACAAATTGGCTTAGTGGAGCCATGGTCTTGTGGTTAGAGCGTCAGAAGCAACTACGTTGGCACCACATCTCGAATTCGAATTCCATGCTCACCACTCCATCCTGAGTGTAATAAAACCAGAAAGATCTTGTTTTTCTCCCAATACAGGCCTTGTTCAGAGTAAACAACATGAAAAAGTGTCACTGAAAAAAATCGAAAATGGATCAAGAAGATTTCCATACCCAAGTTTCCCAGGCATGTATATCATCATTGGCACGACTGGTGAATCATCATTTCCATAAACAATGAATCCAGCTTTCTTAAGTCCTTGTCTAAAAAGTCTTGAATTTTCAGCAAGTTTTTTAATTCGTTTATGTCCATCGTTAGGGTCATCAATCAATTTCATGCACGTCAAAATCTAAAAGTAAAAGTAAAAATTTTAGTCAAAAATGTTAATTCAATTCGTATTTCTGAAACTCTCATGATGTATGGCCCCTTTCAAACTCCCTTTTATGGGCACCTGTTCTTCTAAAAGGAATACCTACCGGGTAGTTGCTTTGAACTCATTTTAATCAGTAAATTTAGGCGCCACACTTGATAATAAAAAAGCCAATAGGCGAAAGAAAAAAAATAAATGCGCTACAGTTGAAGATTTAACCAAATCACAGTTCAATTAATATTATGGTCATTGCGAACAGCAGTTGGTGAATTCCTTTGGTTTAAACCCCCAGAGGACCACTCTGTGACACCCTCGTTATTTCATTCTGAAAAATACTCGAATTTTTCTGACAAATATGATTTCACAATTACAATTAATATTTATATTTTAATAAGATTATCTGATATTTTAATTAATTGAGAAGTATTAACCCAGAGTAAAAGTGCATGTATATTCTACAACTCCTATCATCAATTAAAAATGAGTAATCCATACAGGAAATGCTGAATAAACATGTGAAGATTATGATTAATTATAAATGCAGTCTAGAAATCATGCTTCATTGAATCATAACGATAATCCATGAAGTCAACAGGTATTATATTGAGCAGGAAATCATTTTAATAAGATCTTAATATCTGTAATAATAATTAAAAATGGCCATTCTAAGCATTGTATTCGAAACTATTTAAAGTTTAATGTATTAATTAAATATTAAGTTCTCGATTTTTTGAATAATTTAGAATACAGCAATATTTGTCATTTTGACTAAGTAAATAAAGTCTCGCATTTGCAATATGAACAAACATGCCTTTATTTAATTTCTGAAACTAAAAAAATAGCAAACGCAACAAATTATTTTATACAATTATTAAATTATACAATTATCAACTCTAGTGTCCTGTATTACCAAATGCAAAATCATTAAATACTAATTGGTTTCTATTTGTGCTTTGTTAATAAATATGACCCAATAGAGAATAGATTCTGTGTTTAAAAAATATCATTTTAGATTGTACTCTGAATAGTGGATTATTTTGTTTTTACAATCCCTGGGATTATTAAAATTATTGTATTTCCAAACTTTGGTCTATCCCACTTTACCAAAAATAACTCCTAACAGTAGAATTCTCTCTAATAAGAAAGCTTCGGAGAGATAAGATAAAACTGTTTGAACCAATGGCTTTTTATCTGACAAATGGTGCAATAATATAGATTGGGATATGTTTAAAGGAAAAGTGATGCTTTACTGGGACGAACACCTTCGTATACTTTTAGTTTTAAATTGCCGTTCATAATATGAAAACTATGAACCCTATAAAATTACCATTAAATTCTTGCAAAAAAACAGTATTACAATTTCTGCTGTAAATAAAATTCAAAAAAACAAGCACCTGTTGGACAACTGCAGGAGCCATTGATGTTGCATAGGAAGTTGAATGAGAATGTTTGCGTAAATGTTCAACTAGATCCTGAAAAGATATGAAGAACAGATTAATGAAAATAGACTACACCGTGTTGCTAGATCACCACTACATTTTTAAATCAGGCTGATTTCACTGGAAAAAGATATTTTTTATTAACGCATCATACGTTATATTCTGAATTGTTGAATTGAATTGATATAAATCAATTCTAAATGATTTAAGAGCAGTTTTGGGATCTCGGATCATCGACTTGACTCGTAATGGTACCCGTTATCATTGAGTAACGGACTCAACTTCAGTTTTAGACTTGAAACAATATCAACAAAGAAACCGAGTGACTAGAGTTATCTAAATTAGATGACTTGTACTAACTAACCGCCAGTGAGACTTAACTCAGTAATTTACTCAACTTCGGACTCAGCTCAAAACTCAGTTGACCAGTAATCGCCAACCAAGTTTAAAGACTTACCACCAAAACTATTTTAAATATAATGTAAAGCAAAATGATCAAAAATGATGATTTTACCATCCTATTTAAAACAAAATACCTTACCAGTTACCAGTCATTTCAGTTTTATATATCAAATTATCTGGGCCAGTTAAAAAAATATAGTTAGAAAGCCGAAAAAGGAGCATACCCTTCTTCCACCAATATAGCCACCAGCCGCTCCAAAACTCTTGGTAAAAGTTCCCATCATAATATCAACATCAGTTGGATCAACACCAAAATACTCTGTGACACCTCGACCACTCTTTCCTATTGCTCCGATACTGTGTGCTTCGTCCAAGTAAACATAAGCGCTGTATTTCTTTTTTAGTTTAATGACTCCTGGTAGATTGATTATAGAACCTTCCATGCTGAAAAATCCAAGATATTTTGTTAGTTTTTAGGTAAAGAATTTTTAAAATTACTTGAGATTTTTTTATACTTGTGATTTGTTTTAAACGAAGATGCTATATAAAAATACTCTCAACAGCTCAATGCGAATACCAGTAAATAACCCTAATAAAATGTGAATTTTTTTATTTAATCACCTGTATACGCCTTCCACAATGATGAGAATCTTTTTCCAAGGTCTATGAGTACGAGGTTGTCCTGAAACAATTGCATTCCGAAGTTTCTGTTCCAAATCCTCCATGTTATTATGTTTAAAAACTCGTGTTGTGGCTCCAGACAATCTAAGATTAAGATAGAATGAGATCATAGCAAAGAAATAAGTACACGGTTCCCAAGGTTCAACGAGGTTTCCCAGACTGCACGGTTCCCAAGGTTCAACAGGATTTCTCAGACTCATTCAAATCGTCTATTGGGATCATTAATTGATTCTCTGGGGACGATAAGGTACCATTCACAATCACTCCATTTAAAGTAAATCAAATGCAATATGTTTAATTATTTGACAATGAGAAATATGTGTAATTTTTCTCTTGATCTCTTTTTATTATTAAGGATAATTTGACTTGAAGAGGGCCTTCCGGAAGGCCCTATGTTAGGTCATTTTTGCAATAAATACTGGTAGGTATTTTTAGAGAACAACATGTCTCACAAGTGTCGATAGCCTTTGAAAAGGGGCCAATTATCATAAAAGTTTGAGAACCACTTGTCTATGTCCACCCAAAACAACTTTTGTTCATAAGTTTGTTATGATCCATTGTTTAATTCAAAACATGGTTGTCAATAAAGAACAATAGAATTTCAAACAACAATACGTTACCTGCAACCCAATACTAATGAAGCATGATTCAATTCATCACTGAAAATCAAACAACCTTTGTCAACGAGACAAGGAATATTCATTGAATTTGTAGCGAAACCCATTCCGAATGCAAGACAGGATTCAACTCCCAGATAATTTGCAACAACTTCTTCAAGTTCTTCGTGAATGTCAAGATTACCTGAAAACAGAAAATTTTGGATATAGCTGTTTTCCTGATCGTATTGACGCAAACTAGAATTCAGAGATAATTTAAAAAATAATAGACTTATATTGACTCCTTGCTTCATTCAGCATTGAAGGTTTGAAATTGATTGTTCCATTAGTTGTGAAAAATTTATTATTTTCAAACCACAACAACTTCAATAACTAAACAACAAATTTGCAAACCAATCAATAGTGTTCAAAAATATAAATTTGAAATTAAATCAAGAACATATTAATTCCATTTACTTTATAATGTATAAAATATAGACAAATGTCCGAAGTTTGAGATAATTTCAAATATTCGTTTAACTTGGTTGTGAAACATACAAAAACGTTGGCACTAAATATAACAATGCCTCCAACACATTGTATATGTTTCTAAGTATAATTTTAAATAGAATATGTTTAGCTCAATAGCCTGAAGGCGTGCTATAAATAATTGAAAACACAGATTTTGTTTAGAAATCTAATACTAGGGGCTGTAGATGATACCTTCTAAGAATTGCTAACCAGTGATCAATGTCTAAAACTGATTGTATATATGAATATATTTAAAAAAAACTTCAGATATTGGAATGAAATCACTGTTCACTATCCAAAATCTTTTTTAATATCATATTGGGAATAGTAAAATATTAAATTTGGGCCAATCATGGTAGCACAATTTCAAATTTATTGCAGAAACGCTGCAAAATAATCTGACAGATCAACATTTGTCGAGTGCAAAGTTCAGGCCGCAATAAAAATATATATCATTACCATAATATGTTCATACGTTCAAAGTCCTGTCTAAAAGATAACTCAAAGAAAATATATTGCAATTCACAATTAAACTTTAAATAATGCAATTTTCATAAATATATAATATCTCCGTCTATGAAGTAGAATAAATAAGATTGGGAAAGTGATTTTAACAGCTCAGCAATAATAACTGACTAATGATTCCCAAAGGAGCTTTCAGAATTATGCAATTATGAAAACACCACTGCAATGAGGCATAACAGACTAACAGTTATCTTGCAAAACACTTTTACTTCTAAGAAAAACCTGGCTTTATATGGAATCGATTATAAATATACTGTGTTATATAATATACACAGGGTGTTCATAAAGTGGCAATACAATTTCAATTTTGTTATGAAGTCAGTTCTCATCTCAATCTATCTTAACCAGATTTGTTTTATTTTGATCAGTGTTTGAGTTTTTTTACTTTAATTAAAATACCTCTATGATGTACCCAGTTAAACGAAGCACATCACAGTACTTTCACTTCATACAGGACTTTTTTAACACCCTGTATATTTTTATTGGTTAGTAGAATCTATGGAAACAGGATGAAAATTTTATTCTGCAGGAACAAAGTCAAGATTTATGTTACTGTGAATTTTTTGAATACTTAATCCATTTGAAATAAATGGTGAAAAAAATATACTTCATCAATTAACGAAAAACTTCACATTCATGATTTCACTAAATAACACTCTTTATAATTATAATATACAAATTATTTTGATGCTGATTATTAATCAGAAAGATCAATAGCGTAACATTTAAAAAAATGTTATATCTGTACTGGAACAATATGTCTATCTTGTTACAGATTTTCTGCTTGTTAAATAAATTGTATGTTTCATTTTTCCTCTTTGTGAAAGAATTAGGCTGATATCTATTTCCTTCCTATATATTTGTCAAAGTAGAGTTCAGCCACTTTTAATTGTATTTCATAAAATGTATCAGAAATAATGACAATCAATAGATTATGACTCAAAAAAATTGAAATTTTATTGATATTAATTACATTTTCAAAACTATACGTGTCGTATGTTCCGTTGAACACTGGTTAGTCTCAATTATCTAACGACATAGGGAACAAATGAAAAAAATTCATTTCTCCTTATATTTTTGTTTGTGTTACCCGAACACCCCAATCTTATATTGAAAGCTATAGATGACTTGCTTTTTCTTTCAATATTCTTTGTGCTAACAATAGTTAAACAAATATTGGTTATAAAGATAGACTACAAAAGTAAGGGATATGACAAAACAATGTATGAACTTTTTTCACAAGCGATGCAGGGCACGAAGTGAATTTTTAAATACAGACACAGTTTTTAGAAATCAATTATTTGGCTTTGAAATATTACTTGCAATAGTATTATAGGTCTATTAGTTTAATAAACAAATAAATATAATTAAATCAAATCTACAACTTATTGCTAAGCTTCATTTGGAAAGAATGAAAATGTCATTAACAATGCTACATGCTACAAATCCATTGTTTATCAACCAGCGAGAAAATTCTCACAATAATGAAATTTAGTCTTTTTTTTTGGGGGGGGGGGGGGAATTTATCTCGGTATTTGCATGTAGTTTTAAAAAAAAAAATTTATACTCAATATTATATTCGAAATAAATATTTATGCGAATGTAAATACTATTCAAATCGTGTGGGTCAGTTGCGCACAACACTATCTAATGATACATCATATAGAGATTTAACAACTAAAAGAAACATAGTTTTTATGCATATCAAGGGAATGAAGAACTTCAAAATAGGCAAAGAAAAGAATATATTAAAAAAGATTGGAAAATAATGTAATAATTACAAATTACAATATTTCAAGGGGAACATCATATTCTTGTTTTCATATGTGACACTAAAAAAAGCGATTCCACGTCTTAGATTTCAACTTAAAACATGGCTTATAGAATGTTGAACGTGACTTTTCTGTATCAAATTGAAAACCAGTTTTACAATTATTTTACACCGGAAAAAGTATTTCCATTCCATCAATTCCCCTAATTAATTGCCATTCATATTAATTACCTACAACTGATGAACCAACTTCTTTAGGTTAAAAATATACTAACAAGTAACAAGGATATTTGTTACCAAATTTCAATGCAGACTATTTTCAAGATAATATATCAGCGACGAAATCAATTAGTATCATATATCATAATGCATGATTTCTCTGGTATGAAATGTGTGTCATGTCAAAAATTCCAACGCATAATATGAAGTCACTTTATGATTGATTTGCCAAGATTGAATTGATAACAGAATATCTAATGATTCAATACAAGTCGCTTGTGCATTATTTATATTTGAAAATAATTTCAATGTGTAATATTGGATAGGGGGGGGGGCTATTTGAGTAGTTTTTGACATTTGAACCGATGTAAAATCTGAGTGAAATAGATTCTCCGTGAAATTATGGTTTCATTGTAACATTCTGACCCTGTACTTCCTTGCATAACAGTTTGAGTCTTATTCAATGTATTCAAGCCACCTTAAAATGTAATTTTTTTTGGAAGTCAGTATACTCAATTTACCTCATTTTTCGAGGATAATTGAGTATACTGACATCTACCAGTTAAATCAAATCTAAGAAAGCCCTAGAACCAAATCAAAGACCTTCATGAAAAACTTGGGTACATATACTTTATTTTAAAAAATAGTAATTACAAAAACCTTGGAACATAATTATCTGACATCACTTTAAACTTGGTATGATAGATCGCGATTATGGTTTCCATAAACTTTTTACCACAAATAGGCTTTTAGTTTAAATACGAGTTCACTATGGACTAGAAATGGGTGGTTTGACTTGGCCAACAACTTCCTTGATAGAGATACTTTTTATGTTCCTATTTTGGGTTAAATCTAACACAAAATCTTTGAGCTCTTTCATACACTGGTATCATACAAAGTTCATTTTATATACATTGGTGAGGACAACTTGGCCAAGGAATTCCCTTTCCCCGTATTTCAACCAGCCAGTCAAGGTCTTGATTTCATTAATGTCAGAAAATGCTACTTATAGTTAGTCCTCTGTTATAATCAGCTGTACAATGTGAGAATTCTGTTTCATATTCTGTTTCATCGTCAATAAAGCCCAATCTAATTCTGACTCTGTTACTGCTTTTCTGAACTAATATTATGATCTTTCTCTTTGCTGCTTTTCTTTTTTCTACCAATCATATCCGTTTAAGTCTATCCTATCAGTGTAATGGTATATACTTTCAACTGACGTTATATAGTTTTCGCCTGAATTCTTTTTCTGGGGCGGCTGTTTTTTTTATTATTACTACATGTTTTCGGAGATGACAATGAGTGCGATTACCTCAACTAAAGCCTTTGTAAATGCACTAAGCTTACTGGTGGAGTAGGACTCTGTGCTTGGCTTGTCCACAGCTTTCTTTTTTACTATTTTTTTTTAGTTACAAGAAAAGAACTGCTTTCTCAAAATCCTACGATTGCCCATTGTGGATTTACACTCATATTCATGAAAAATAGAAGCCTATATTGAAAGATGGACATGATAAAGGCTACAAAAAAGTGTTAGGGCTCAAAATAGTCACACAGAACCTCATAATCCTGTGTTATAGCAGTGGGAGAGGCCATTTATGCATATACCCAATTTACCCCACGGTAAATTTCCGACAGACTCAATTTACCTCGATTTTTTCAAACATCAATGAAACAAAAAGTCAATGATTTACAGAAAAATTATCTACTGGGGCAAAGAGAGTCTTTACTAAGGTACTAAAAGGCATCACAAAAAGTTTAAAATATACTATCAGAAAAGTGTCACGTGAAAGTTTCCAAAACAATTTTTTTCGTGAACAAAAAAAATTTCACATACAAACATCTAAAACAATTTTATCATTAGTAGGCAAGTGAGTTATACGCAATGAAATGGAAGCATAGGATATGAACTATTGTTGCTACAAAGTACAAATCATTCACTCAACATACAAAAAAGTTAGCGAGGTTTTTATACCTTGTACTCAATTAACCCCATATGCTCAATATACCCCGTCCCCACCCCCCCCTATATTGCAAATAATCTGTGGTTGACCATGAACTATGACACAAAAATTACGCCAATCAATATAATATATCTTTTTAGTGCCTGCATTTGACAGTTCATTGATACTATGTGGGTTATGTGTCGGTGCACGGCTCTGATATACGGTTTAATAAATACAATTAGTATACTATTATTGCTTGATAGAATTAAAGTCTTGCCAGAATAGCTTGCACATTATAGATAAATTACACCCCAGATATAAAGTTTGAGATGACCACCATCAAAAGGATGGAAGGAGCTATGATACATGGATTTAAAATTTCCCTTTGACAACAATAAAAATACAGTTAAAAATTTATAATTCTAGTTTTTGACACAAATAAGCCAAAAGGAAATTTTGTTATCAGTATGACTCATAATACCAGCACTTATTTCCTATAGTTCAGTTTTGTGCGTAGGCAAGTCCCATCACAACTAGTACCATAATATAAATATTCAATTTCATAAAATATTACACACAATAAATATCTCCTTTATTCTTGTGTACTGAAGCAAAAGTTGATATTTTCTAGAAATGTTATCTGAGAAAAATACAAAGACAAATGTTTTTAAGCTGGTTTACTAATCAAAGTTTGAAGCAATATTCACCAATGTATTTCAAAAAAGGCTGTAGGAGTAGTGATTTACTCACTTTCTCAATTTTTTAACTTTTTGGGTTGAAGCGCTCGAACTCATGTTTTGATGAGTATGATTTAACATTTTCGTATTTTAGATGGCTTTATTATAAAACTGTTATTAAATTACATATCTCTAATCTGTAACCTTATCTATATACTCGAAACTGAATCATAACTACATCAGCAAAATTTGTCATTAATTATTGGAAATTGAATTTAGTAATATCCTGTCTCTGCAAATATATTTACCCATATATAAAATATGCATATTTGTCTGCTTTTCTGCTTTTTACATTGTCACAAGTTAAGTAAAATCTATTTCGCTTTGTCAGACTATGGCAAATTTCAAGATGCAAGTATTCTAAATTATTCCTAAACTATTTACTGTCCTATCGATTATAAATCATCATTTCAAATATTCGATTTGTTATGGACAGTCCTGAGAGAAACTTCCATTCTTTCTAGTTGGCTATAAAAAAAAAAAAATTACAATAATTTATCAACCTACCAATTTCTTGTCTCGAGCTACAAACTCCTGCTCCATACTGTTTCACACTTTCAATTGCATCTTCAGAACATGGTCCTGTTTTTTCAGCAAAACCGAGATAGTTATAAGAGCCCAAATTCACGACATCTTTGTGAACACGGCCAGTGTAGCTGAATTCAGAAGGTACCCAGCAAAAATTAATAAAAAGTCAACATCTATTAATAATGCTTAATATAGGCTATAGAAGAATTGGATAAAAAGAATTCCATTTTATGATAGACTTTTTTTATTATGGAAAATTTTCTTAAAAAACAGTCATGCTCAGAAGAAAAGGGGATTCGTATCCGAGCCAACTTACTGGCAAGCACTTTTAGATGGATATATGAAATTTCAATATTGTTGTTATAAGAATTAAGTCATGACTCACAGTCACAAGTATTTGAAATTGAGAGCAAATTATGGGAGCCACAAGTAGAAAAAAAATGAGAATTCCAATTCTAATAAATATTATAGGACCTGCTGTTTGAGTTATGCTCGGGTTATAAATAAAACTAGAAATTATTCCAAACCGAAAAAATACGCATAAATTAGCTCGTAGCCCAAGATTTTTTAGTAACTGATTAATATAAACACTTGTAATCTTCCCTCGAGCTAAATTGCTTGAAAAAATTGGCGCGAAATTTAAGAAATCGAATAACAGGTCCAGGTAGTTTCAAAACATTTCAATTGTTTGAGTTATGCTCAGATTAAAATATCCACATAAATTATCTTGTGGCTCAAGATTTCTTGGTAACTTTTTCAACTTTATTTTGGAAGGAGCTTTTCTCCTTATCCTTATAGGCACTTGAGCTGAAGTGGTGAAAAAAATTGGTGTGGAATTTAGGAAATTGAATAACAGGTGGTTTTAAATTTCCCCTTCATTATATATCACCTTCATATGTCAAAAAGCCCATCCCTTTTTGGGTTCTTATTGAACTGTTATATCTTCTTATGTTTATGTACCGTAAAGCGGGGTGACTATGACCCATTTTTGGTCTTTCAGTCAAAATATCTCGAATATTAAAAATCTATGAATTGCTATTCCGGGTCCAAACTATGCATTTTAGAGGGGGTATACGTCGTGCATAATCATTGAACCAAAATATTTGTTTTTTCTATATTATTTTTTTTAATTTACGGTGGGCCAAAGTCACCAGCAATTTCGGTACCACTTTGGCCCAGTGCCTATTTCTCCCCATAAATTAAGCTGTACCCATACTGAGACAAAGAAAACATTTATTACAGTGGGCTTTGGCCCACAGAGACTTTTTAAAAAAACAGAAACCCCAAAAAAATTAGAACACTCAACGAAATCGGCCATTTTATAATGGCACTGCAAAAATCAAAATTAAACATGTCTGTATTCATTCATAGCAGTTGATATCATGGCAAAAAGGTCAGTTCAGTTCAATTCAGACACTTTATAGATGCCTCGCGCATTTATGAGATCTGGGGGACTGATACAACGTTTTATGCTGCTCCAGTCGTAAAAAATCTGATCTTTCCGAAATGGCCATCTCCAGTTACATCCAGACTTCTCCATGACACTCACCTCGCACCCGTCAGTTGTGCGGGTTTTGACAATTCCAGGGTATAATTCACCCTCATACGAAATTATAACATAATCACCAATGTTGCATTCTTCAAATGGCAAGTGATGAGCAGTTGAAACTACAGAGTGAGAGTTGGATGATTCAGGAGTAGAGGCTTCATCGCATTCATCGTCTGAGGAAACAATTTCAACCGTTGAATCTGAATCTTCAATATTTTGATTTGCTTGAGCTTTTTTTGAAACCGTTTTTTCAAGTCTTGCCACATCTTCCTCACATGCGCTTTTCCCAGGTTCTACCTGAACCTTCTTTCTTGTTTTAGTTTCCTTTGCCACAGAAGATCTTAAATCTGAAATTTTCTCAAGAAATTTTTCACTGATAACATCAGAATCATCATGACTCGTAGTTCTTGGTAATCTACTGAGAACTTCTTCTTTATTGAGCGGAACAAGTCCTGCTTTTTTAAATCCTGCAACTAGGTTGTTTGCTCCCCTGACATCAAGAGCAAAGCAGAGTTTGTTCAAAAGTGCTGGAAACTCATCTTTTCTTAGCGTTGCGGATGTCTGCCTTCTTTCTTTACTTTTCACAGAATTCAATATCGATCTCCAAGCGACTTTCATTGGCCTGAAATAGGCAATATCCAGGGGTTGGGTGAGGTGCGTCGAATTAGGCGGTAGACATATGAAAGCTATATTGTGATCAAGACATGATTTCAGAACATCTGGACTGATATGGGAGGATAAATTATCCCCAATGAGAACTTTTTTCCCATTTTGACGCTTCAGCCTAGGCAGCACCATTCGATTAAACCAATCTTGAAAACTAAATCCATCAAACCAGCCTGATCTTGATCTGTTGTATAGTGTCCCTGGTGGTCCTCCTTCAACCCAAGTGCTCCACAGATTCTCGGCTTTGTACACTACATACGGTGGCATCACTGCTCCTGCTGCATTCCCACAGAACATCAAACTTATTGCAGATTTTGTCGAATTCAGGATTCTTTCTGGGTATTTGCAGCCGCGCTTGCATATTATCTTCTTTTGCCCTAAAAATAAATGCTTTGATCACAATACAGTAATATTTATTATCCATACTAGACTGCAAGCCAAAGTGAAATTTTACATAACACCATAAATAGTTTAAAATTTGATTTGACGCAGTAAATATTTTAAAAAAGGGGATTAACAAAGAACGCTTGAAAAATTGAATACCGTAGTACTGTATATACTTAAAAGCAAAGTCACTCATACCTGGGTCATCAGTTAAGTTTGTTTCATCATAATTCCAAATATTTTCCGGGGGCACATCATCCAACTCTTCTTCGATGTTTTCAAAATATTTTTCAATAGTCTCACTCGATACCCCTGCCCTTTTCTTTTTTATATTCGTTGCGAATCGCACCGTTAGTTCTGAGTGCCTTTTTAAGAATGCTTTCACCCATTCAACTCCAGGATAATTGCTGTGAAATTTACTGACAGTCACTCCTTTTGCATCAAGATAAGCTTTAACTATGCTTCTCAAATCTTCCTGTGCTATCGGAAAACCAAAACTGCTTACGGCTATGCAGTGCTCCACTAGAATTTTCTCAGTTTCTGCAAATAAAACTGTTTGCCCACCAAATTTTTTCATGTGCCTCAGTTTCAACTTATTCTTCAAAGTACTCCTAGGTATATTGAACTGTGCTGCAACGTTTCTTTGCGATTCTCCCCTTTTAATTGCTTCCAGAGCTCGCTGAAGTTTTTTCTCACTATAATCATGGTATCTTCTACTGCCCAAAACACGACTGAATTTTCTCACCATGATTTGAAATAAACTGTTTACATTTATAGATTAACTGGATGACTAGAATGAGAAAATAAATTCGTTTTATTTCTGAAAAATAAAACAAAAAAGTAGGTTTGTATAGGGTAATAAGGTGGGCCAAAGTCAGTACCATATTACATGGAATTTTGCATTGTGGGCAAAAAACCTCCCTCATACGCCCCCAACTAGTTTAAACTTGTTCCAAACACCATAAAAACCTTCACAGAGAATATCTCTTCCAACCTGTAAAGAATAAGGACAATTGAATGTTTCTTTTTTGGACTTCTCAATAAAAGTACTGAGTTGCGATTTTTTTTTCAATTTTTTTATTTCTGACCCTCCAAATGAAAAAGTTTTTTTTCCCAAATATTTTTCATAAAGTGACAAAATTTTTTGTTGTATAATTATTGCTGCTGTTATTAACTACAGTATCAAAACAAAATAAAATGGGAAATATCAAATAAAAGTAGATTTGGGTGGGTTTTAAACAAATTCTCAAAATGGGGCCAAAGTCAACCCGTGAGGTCAAAGTCACCCCGTTTTACGGTATCTTTGATGAGCTAATCCTTTGTTTTGTCATTTCTATTTTTCATGAGAGTACATAACGACCGCCTTCGCGACTCGAATAGTTATCAATTAAAATGAATAAAATACAATAAGAGAGTCACACATCACACATGTCTTCTAACCTATTTATCAGCAGTGAATTTTTTATTATTTATAAACAATGGCAATTAAAATCCACTAATGGCAGCTGTATTGTTGGAAGTCGTAAAAAGAAATAAAACTCCCAGGTAATTGATTAAACTTGCGCAGTAAACCTATTTAAAATTTGATGATAGAAATTGTTGCAAGTACAGATCAACTCATAAACATAATAGAAATATTGCTGTAATAAAAATACATTCATGAGCATTTATTATTGCTCTATGACATAAACTGTTATTTTGCTGATCTTGACATAAAACATTATGATGACTAATATCGCATGATAAACCAGTGGTTTAACTTATAGCGTTAAACCCGGGATTGGCAACTTGCGGTCCGCAGGCCGCATTCGGCTAATCTTTTGCGGCCCTCGAACGTCCCGAATTTAAATGCATAATACAAAATTAATTATAAATTTATCGTTGTCCCCATATGGATTTGTGCAGTAACAAATACAGCTGTACGACGCTTTTCTGCACCGTCAGTTCTGTGTTATATGTCAATTACTTGATGTTGGTTCTAATTTTAAGATGAGTTTATTTTGATTTTCAAAATATAAATATGGGAATTTTGTTTCCCTCTAGGAACGGATGGAAGTTCGCGTTGAGGGCGGAACATTGCGAAGTGATTGGCTCGGAAAATATTTTTCTTTCACACGCATTTCATAACCGATTTGCTCGATATGCCAAGTCAGCATCGCAGTTACCGTATGTTAAAAGTCATTACAGAACGTGTCACTGCAAATACGAAATTCGAGACTCCAGGTTGCGCCACTGCTCTGTGCAACAGCTTTCTATGAAATGTATTTACACCTACAATAAATTTTGTACTCGCTTGTCAGATTGCCATTTGGACGACATACTGCGGGGCAACAAGGTTGTCATTTGATTTCAACACTTTGGCCATGGTACAGAAAAAACATTAAGTAAATAAAAACAATTTATTGTTTGATAATATATATTAAAAAGGGCAACATAAACGTCTCATTGTAACACAGCAATAGAAGGTGCGGATGCGCCATAATTTTAAGTTTAATGTGGCGAATGTTCGCAGGCAGAAATTAAAACAGCCCGTACGCTACCGAAAATGTGTATATGCGGCCCGTGAGTACATAAAGTTTGCCGACCACTGCGTTAAACTTATTAATAACTGAATTGGCATCGCGAGTTACACTTGGGTTCAAATCCCATGCCAACCACCTCGACCAGCGTGCAATAAATTTGGTAGGCTATGCGGAAAAGTCATTTGATAGAAAAGTATCATTGGTAAAACCAGTACTCAATATGAAGCTAAAGAATAGAGATATCATCAACGTATCAATGAGTTACAACTTACTTTATCGTCCATCCAGATTCCAAACTTTCGCGATCAACTATATCAACTGTGGCACCAGGAACACTGCATATTGGTCTATTGAAACAATCTCTTATTCTGATGTACACATTGCGAGTGTAAAAACTTTCAAAACTTGCATATAAAGGAACAAAGTCCTGCAGAAAACATTTTGTTTTAGTTTGATGAGCTATTATTAAATCTTTTCTTAAAAGTATAAAAATGTCCTATAAGCAATTTATACAATTCTACGAGAAATTTAGTTAGGCTTCAGCTGTAAAAATGGTTTCTCAAACTGGGCATGGTTATGGTTCTCTAGGGGCCACGAGCAAATGCCTCCGCTGAGTACTACATTGTTTTAAAGCAAATTAATGGTGATTTGTTTAATTCTTTGATAACAACTGTCATGCATTTATCGTTTTACTTTCATCTTTTGGTTTTTTAATATTAAACACTGCAAATAGATACCCAAAGAAACCCACGGAATCAGAACCATTTTTTTTATAATAATAAAAAGCATGGTGCCAAGGAGTGTTATTAATTGAGAGTCTTTGGAGGGAGGCCACTGATCATAAAAATTTGAGAACCACTGTCTTATACTACATAGATTTAAAGCCTTTATTATCCAAAGCAGTTCTGAAATCAGCCTACATTATCATTTCATACCTTCATGTCTTCAGCCTCACATGCACCCAGAGTTTTATCAATCTTGCGCAATCTCATGAAATCTCTTAAAAATCCAAAAAGTGTAAGCACTGCATAGCTGATGTAAGTTAAAACTGCTGCAAGGATCGGGGTAGCTTCAAATGTTTCTTGAAATTGTTTGGTCTCGTGTTTTGTTGTATCCTGAGAAGTATTATTCAAAAATGAAAAAATACCAAATCTTAAAAAATAATATTACTAATTACCGGTACGTAGAAGAGATAGATAATGATATATTTCCGATACAAGTACATAATACAGTGACTAGCAAACAACAATAATCATAAAAATATATACGGAAGGGGGCGGGCAAGACTTCCAAGGTCATCAAGGTCAAACGCCCCCTAAGGAGAGATTCTACTAGGACAGAACACTTTAGAGCAGGCATCGGCCGATGACTATAAATTTGGGTCGAATAATGCTGTATGGAGGCCTAATAAAAAAAATTTATAGTGTATGTACAATAAGTCCAGGTTGAATGTATGCGTCATATTACGAATTTGACAGCCTGCTTGGGAAATTATGTCTATACCGCATGATAGTTATATTAAAAATTCATCAGTTCACACAATGACATAATCCCATACGCAGACAAGTCACTATGATGAGTAGACTTCCTATTGCAAAACTGGGAATGTTGATAAAAACAGCTGGTGTAAAACAAACTCCATAGCACAATAACTTCAATGGTGTTTTATATAAAACTCAACCTGTTTAATATTGATAGCATTCCCATTACAGTCTCCATTCATATGTCCATTTAAGTGTGAATACCCATTTGTATGTTTGTATGTTCCATTGGATTTTGTATCAGATATTTTCCCATTACCATTTCTATGTCGCATTTCAGTGTCACACATCCTTTCTGGTTCCCTCTACCAATTCAATTAGGTTTAGCTTATCAAAAGTTTAGGACTAATATGAGAATTACAAAAAATTACACTATAACCTGAGTGTTGTCATTGCACAAAAGAATTAGAAACGAATCAATGAAAGTTCATAAATGTGTAACTTTGTTAAACAAACTCAAAATTACTACAATTAAATCAGGTAAGTAAGTAATAAGTATACTATATCGTACATGGTTTCACTTTCACAAAACAAATTTTTTTTTAGTTTGTAAGTCTATTAATTTTCCAAATAAGGAAAGAAAATTTTTTTGAATAATAAGTTTTGGGATAGCTAATGGTCACTAACGTGTGGGTTGTCTGAAAAAAAATATTAAGAACAAATATTTTATCTATTCAGGATGTTATTTTCCCAATTATTCAGTTGGAAATAGGTCTGGAAATGCAGCACAATAGCTGGGTTACGTCTGTCTCTCATGCTTGACCCAAACTCAAAATACAAGCAAAATATACATTCAATATCTTAAGATAGAGGTCTGATAAGATAAGAATAACAGTCTTAACAGTCTATAAATTTATAATGAGTTAAACTAAAGCAAATCACCGAGCCTAATTAGGCAAATATTTTTGAACAAAATAATAACAATAATAATGAAATCATAACGGATTTGAGCAACAGTATTATAGTTGATGGTACAATAGTGGCAAAATGACGATTTGTAGCAATGATTTTACAGAGAAAACTTGAAATGAAACAAGACAATATGCAAAGTAAGAAACAATGACGAACTAGAAACATTTGCTGCACGTACCAACTTATAACAAAAACAAAAAAAGTGCACTTTTTGATATATGATTTTGTTATCACTACAAGTTTTATTACTCAAAATAATAATGGATGCCGCACTATCCAATATCTTGTTAACCAAACTGCAAAGCCTGGTAAATCGTCATGGTTTCAGAAATTACATTCGTGGCAGAATTAGTGAATGAAACAATCACACTAAAGGCAAGCAATCATATTGAAAACGCAAGCACCGCTGATATAACATAAACAGTTAAACATGAGCAAAACTAGCTCCAATTCTTACTTAGGCATTGAGGTCAGAGTCGAAGTTATTAACATGTTTTCACTGAAGTTAAAACTCCCAGGAGTCAAACCTCTGTCTGGGTTACACATATCAAATGGTAATAACTATTAAATTTAAAAAACATTAATTTCACCGAATGCTCTTAACAGTCTATTAAGAAGGGTTTGCATATGACCAGATTTTCCTTTTCTTCGAGTTCAGGGCTAGAATCAGAGTAAAATTTTTTTTTACAGCCCAGAGTCAGAAGTTAAAATATTGTCATATTCCACAGCCTGGCTTCCTACATAAAATTAAAAATTTGAATAAATTGGCAAGAAAGCTCTAAATTATTTTGCAATCAAAAAGTGCTATTTTTGTACACATATTCTGGACAATTAACAGCTTGATCATATAAACAGGATCAATTCTATATAATATAGCTCATTAACCAACATGTTACAATATTAAACTTTATATAGTCAAGGGGGCCTATTGAAAACAAAATGCTCAGAATCTAGGATTACAGGAAATCCTCACGAAGGCTAGCATTGCTAAGTAACTTTCTACTAAATTGAAGAATAAGAATTCAAAAAAATTTAAAAGGTTCACACTATTTAAAAAATAACCTATTCAAACCATCCAAGAGAGATATAAAATAGGAATGAAAAGGCGTAGCATTGTTATTAGGAAGCAGGTGTTATTGGCAGATTAAAGAAATAAATAATAATGCAATTCATAATTACACCTTGTCATAAGCAATAATCATCAAATAGTAAACATAATTACCAGATGATATGGGCTCATGGAATAACATGAACAACAATCACTTGAATATTCATAACCTAGGGTGGATGACCAAATATCCCCAGTTAAATTATGTGCCTATGTTCCATCTACAAATAGTGATCAACTTCAATGAACATTGAGAAAAGATATTACAAAAATTGAGTTATATTCCCCATGTCAATTACTGAAATATAACTTCTGCCAGACTTCACCAAGAAAATTTGACATTATCATGATCCTGACAAAAGATACATTCATCCAAAATATTAAAAAAAGGGTACATTGAATTCCAGATTAGAAAGCTATTTCCTACTGGTCTAATCTAAGGCAGTTAATAAAGCTTTAGTATTGCTTTAGATATAAACTTATTTCTACCATACAAAAGATTGAATCAATTGCATAAGCTTTTATGACAGAAATTCTCCAAGTGAGAGCTTGAGAACACACTTTAAATGTAAGATTTTTGCCTCCATTTGTGTGAACCTCTTATCTAACTGAACATGGTTTGGTGTGGTAAATATATCAATGACTTGTTGTAATGGTCCTAATGTATCAATCAAATCAAGCACAAATTAGTGATTGATTTAAATAAAACTATAAATCAAGATTTACGGTATTCAACAGTATTAGAAATTTGGAAGGTATTTTTATGAAAAGTGTATAATTTGATATTAAATTAATAGAAGTGGTTAGTTAGCAGGTAGAAAACTCAACCTTTCACGCAATAAAGGTGAACCACATAATTTAGTATATTTATAATATAACCCCACATTTTGCAATTGTTCTCTACTTCCAGTTTTACAAGATGAATAATTACAATTGTCTATTACACAAAGATGTCAAGATGGATTATGATATCATGGAGTTCAAAGGTAGTTGATCCTGCTTTATTTAGACAGTGTGCAATACCAAATTTGGATTGAATGAATTCAAAAAATTTTGTCTGCCAATTTCCAAAATGTCAATAGAATAATTGGAAACACACAGACAATCTGCTTAGCACAGTATAACAACTGAGGAATTAATAAACTATGATTAACAAGTCGATTTGTTAAGATGATTTACTATTGTTTTCCTCTTTCCTTGGAATAATCTCCTCTGAAGCCTTGCTAATTTCTTCTTCATCATCTTCTGGACGAGACTTCTTTACTTCAGTACCACCGATGCTAAATGGAGGAGTTCCATTGAAAACTGATTCCGACTGGTCATCATGTTCCTGAGATGTGGAAGGAGCTTCTTTATCTCTTTTCAAGATATCACTATAGATTTTTCTATTTTGTTCCATGTACGACGACTTTATCATCGCTCGCTTGAGTTGGCCATCAAATTCACAGTCAACTAACCCACCTTTCCTTGCAATGACTGACTTCACTCTTTCGGCAAAATGCAATGCATCTTCGTCAGGTAGTTTCTCCATTGCTGGTAAATACCAAACGTCTGCTACTATTGCCCAGCTTGTCATAACAACAGCAAGGTATTGAAGCATGCTATGTTTGCTACTGTTCCAGAAAGCATCTCCAAACCATGGATTATATTTTATTGCCACTGGAAATATAGTTGCAGGTATCTCGAAAGTGCCTTTCTTGAACATCATAACAGACGTATTGTTGATGCAGGTCCCTTCAGGAAAGAGCAAAATGGGGTAATTATTTGGATCATCGAGATGCTCTTTCACTCGTCGAACAACGAAGCTCCTCTCCCGAACTTCCGATCGCTCAAACCACACATGATTTGTACACTTTGATAATGTCCTTTCAAAATAACCCAAAAATCCACCATGAATCTGTCCCAAGACTGCGTATGGTCGATGTTGCATCAACAAACAAACATCTAAAGTTGTAGTATGATTCGCCACACAGATACCACTAGATTTTGGCATATATTGCTCATCGTGATATGTTATCACAGCAGAGAAAGCTCTGCAGCAAATTCGAAAAGCAACAATATTGGCAAAATAAACTATCCTGCGCTTTAAACTTGAATCTGTCATCATGGAGAGTGGGATCATAGAAACGGCCATCCAGAGTAATCCAATAACTGTCATGGTAACTCTTAACGGAAAAAGAAAACAGTACCTCAAAATCAAACCAAGAAACCACATGATGGACAATCGTACGCTGATATAGTGATATCTCATGTTGGTACGCGTCATCAAATTCCAAGATGGAAGTTCCTCGGCTCTAAAACGTTTTGTAACTTCATCATCAATAACTGCTTCAATTCCACTCTTAATAAAGAATGTTATGTCTTCCAACCTAAACTTATAGTTTTCTTCCATCATGTCTTTTTGACTGCCTAATGCAGTGATCGGATTTTCAGCATCAATGATTTTTTCTGCACTTGATGGAACAAATTTAGTATCCTTTTCTCTGTCGATTCTTCTAGTCGTCCAGTCAAATAACTTCATTAGTAACTTTACATAAGCTCTTCGAATTCCCCATTCCCTACCAAATAAAGCAGGAACAATGACCAGTAGAGCCACAGTCATAAAAATTTGAGGGAGATAGTGAAATGGTAGATATACCAATGCCAATAATGTTTCCAAAACCATTCTATTCACATATTTTAGAAAATCATAAAAAAAAATCTGAAAGAGTGAACAATGATGAAAAGTCAATAATAAGAGCCTCCAATTATATCCTAATGTAATTTTCAAACGTATCATGGGAATTGAACCACAGCCATATCTTGCTTAGAAATTATAATCCATTAATACATGTGTTTTTTTTTTCATAACTTCAGAGAAGCTGTTAGTTAGAACACAAAATAATAAGAAATAATGACAACAACTAGGTAATTTGGGGCATTTTTTTTCATTAATTTGATTATTAACCTCATCACACTCGCAAATGCAGGTGCTGATAATATATTTCTATTTTTCACTATCCTGATTAAGACAAAGACAAATTAAACTCTTAATGTTTTTAAATAATTTTAAAAATTAAATAGTCAATCATATAGCTATAGCCTGCCATACAATACATTTCAAATTTGCTGTGCACCCTGGCATTTGTCTGACAAATAAAAATTGATAAACTTGCACACATGCATGGTAATGATATAAACAAGTAGGAACGTCCAAATGTACACTTGAACAAAACTTAACATGACAATCTTTCAGTTATAAGTTAGGATTAGATGCCATAACTGATCATTTAAACTTTCCATGAAATCATGATCAGAGCTGCCATGAAAGAGAAAAACATGAAATTCAAAACATTGGTATTTGCTGTGCATCTGTGTATTAGAGTGTGTGATTAGGATTAAAAGATTATTGGATTAAGGATGTCAAAATCCAGATATATGAATACTAGAATAGTTTGTTATTCCACTGTTCTATATTTCAGTAATTCCTGAATTCTGATAACAGGATATGCAACTTCCACTCAATTCCAATATTAAGTGATACCTGTGATTAAGTGAGTCTTCAACTACTCGTATCTTTAACTCATGTAGGCTAACTGATTTATTGTATTATTTAATATATTCGATGTCTAAACCAGTAAACTATTATTATATCTTACATTCTGAGTCTTATGGGCGCGGCGGTGTGGCTCAACGGGCTAAGCGTTAGGAATACGCTCGCCACCGCACCTCAGTAATTACTCTGCGTGGGTTCACATCCCATGCAGGGATGGTTATGTGCGAGAGGATTGCTGGACTCCTCGCCGTCGTTGGGTGGTTCACGTAACCGCTGGCCGGTTACGGCTTCCTCCACCAGGACCACCACCAAGTCCATGCTTCCGAAAACAAACAATATAACTAATCCCATACGGGTACCCGACTTGGAATGGTAACCGGACGAGAGGCCGTGGTTCGCCATATGGATAAGCCGTCTTATCGACTTTCCTCTCCCCCGGGATAAATATGTAAATCCTATCCTATCCTTCATTGCTGCATTTCCAATACCTGAATACTCTGATACTGGAATACATTTAATTGGGGCTTTTAAGTATACAATACATAGTTAAATAATGACAAATATTAAACAATTCAGATACATTGACCTGTATTAATCCAAAATCCAGTTTAAATTATGTCCATTCGTATTATCGCTAAAAATGTTGTTAAGAGCTGAAGAACGCACATAGACCACTCCCCCAGCCCCACTCCACAACAAGCGTTAGCGGTGACGTTATAGTCACTGTGATAGTAACTAAGCGATTTCTGCTGACCAACTCTCAATGTAACATTACGTCATTGTCATGCGCTATCGGTGCCGTTATTCGGAACATTGGGTGTATGATTTTATATTGCAGTAATGAGAAGGGCCCAATACGGCTGCTCAATTATTATTTTTACGTCATAATCATACCGCAGATCACGGCCAATTTTCGTCTTGCTTCCGAGACGAAACTCGAATATATATATTATCACTCACATGCCGTTAAAATTTGTATGCACGACTTTGTGGGAGTTTTATGGATTAAATATCTTGAAACATGATATAATTATAATTCCTCGGTTAAAAATGTGATTCAGACACAAAAATAAAAAAAATTTAAATACGCGAATTTAACGCTAATCACCGAAAGACGAGCGACGTAACTATTATATGCCGATATGCTGCGGCCGAATTGGGATAATAGGTCAACAAATTGACTTTGGTGAATTTTTTGGCTTGCAATCCCGCTATCGTGGTCGTAGGTTCCATAGATATCCGCATACAACAGATCTATATATACCTTGGTATCTACATGCTGCAATGACTGCAACAGCGAGTTATACCTTCTTCTTCTAGTACAGCGTTTCCCAACCTTTTTTGATCGCGGACTATTTTTTCACCTGTGAAACCCTTTGCGGACTCAAGGTGCGTTTATTGCAACCGTGTGAACAGGCAATAAAATCGAACACAACAGAATTTTAACGAATTTCAACAATGGCCTTTTTTGTCGCACAATATTCAATCCATGACAACGACGAGAATTTAAGATGTATTCCTATTTTAACTTAATTGTGTTCATGATAATTCGCGGTTGCGTCGAATTACGACAAGATGAAAGCATTACTTCTCTAAAATACAATGGCAATCTGTGAATCTAATAATGTGGGAATATATTGTCCAATTATACTTAGTTTTTGCGATCTTGCGAATTTGTTATCGCCGTTAGAAAAATCCTACTATCTGCTATAAAAATACAACTTGATTTAGTACTTACTTAGTAAAAATATTTAAGGTATATTAGTAAATCAAAATACATATTCATCGCCATGGTTTATTTTTAATTTTATTGTGATCATTTTAATCTGCGGTTGTGTTGACAAAATAAAAGTATTACTATTCAGAAAATGATGACAATCCGTGAACACTAAAATGTGTGGTAAAGTGCCCGATTATATTTTGTTTTGATTCGTATTTTTGTGAATTCGTCAAATCTGAGCTGTTCGTACAACACCTACGGCAGTACTGTACGTACCAATGTGGAGGCAGTAAAGCAAAGAATCCTAGGGGGAAATGCCCTGGTACGGTAGCAACCAAAAATTTTGCGATTTGCAATGTAAAAAAAAGCGTTTTTAATCGGTCGCGGACCATCATAAAACAAAACTTATGGTGTTCTTCGTTTTATTTTAAGTATTTTGTACTGCCGCTTTTCAATTTAGAAAATTTGGGTTGCCACCATTGACACCAACCAGAAAAAAAAATTATTCCTCGTTGTGAGAACTCGCGACACAATTTAAGTATTTATCGAAGCGTGTGCAGATTCGTGTTTTCGTCGGAAATCCGCAAGTGAGTTGTGAAATCCGGTTCCATTACATTTAAACCCACGACAATTGCACCGGCATACTATTGCACCTATGGAAATTTTTTTCTGTTTTACGGATATTTGAACCCATACTAACCCTAACCCATGGGTTTTAGCACCCGCATATAGATTGAACCCGCGGATATGCACATGGGTTCAAATGTACGTGGGTTCAAATGCACGGTCACCGTGAAACCCAATTGTCTGATTAAGCGCAAGTGACCTATCGCGTCACCTGTTACCAAATTTTCGAATAGTAAATTGCTATTCTAATAGTTGAATATTCGAATATATGCCCAGATACACTCAGTAACCAGTAATTATTGACTCGATTAATGTTATGTTACTAAACTTGCTTTTTATGTTTTATGTAAATTCTAACGTAAATCGCAACGTGGCTGAATTTCTCGCTCGTTGCGGACTCGTTCAAACGCTCCGCGGACTCATTTGAGACCGCGGACTCAGGTTGGGAAACACTGTTCTAGTATAATGGCATGTTCATGCCGTAGATGAAATCATGGTCTCCATAAGCTTCGGTTCATTGTCTTTCTTCTGAGTTCGCTGGTATTGTTGACACCTATTGCCCTGCACATCCAGTCTAGCATCCTTATTCTTGGCCTACCTCTGGCTGTCCAAAAAATCGGCACTGCCTTTCCTTGATGGTCCGCATCAGCAAGCGACCATGCAACCTGCATTCTTCTTCAGCATTTGACGCTTTCTCTGTCCATCAAATTCGAAGCATTCGTCGATAGAACCACATCTCAGCTGCCTCTAAACGAGTTAGGCTATGCCATTGATTCTTTAACATATCTTGCTGAAGTCATCGATAGTTATACTAAACAGGCTTATAGCAATAACCCTCATGGGTAATTAAGTTTGTTTTTATAATTTCAACTGAAATTAGGGTAAACTCATGAGGGTTATTTCTATAGGCTGATTAGAAATCAAGAACCCGAAAATCTTTACACGGCCTCTCGTCCGGTTACCAGTCCATGTCGGGTATGGGATTAGTTAGTCAGTAGGCTAATTTGTTTTAGATGCATGGTGTTGATGGTAGATCAGGTAGAGGAAGCCGTAACCAACCTACGGTGGTGGGGAGCCCAGCATCCAGCAATCCTGCACATAATCATCCCTCGCGATGATCCACACCGCCAAGCTTGTAACAGAAGACTTCAGGACAATCAAAGGGTTTTAATATGATTATTAAAGTTGTAGTTTGATTCTACGGGCTTATTTAGTGTACGTCGTTTTCGTGAAGTGATTGTGGCCCGTTAATTAAAGCAGTGACGTGCGACGTGAATACGGTTGTCACCGGCTTCTTTGTCTGATACTGCTGTCTACTCGTAAATATATGGTCTACTTACGCAAAACATGTAACGCTGTAAAAATCTCTAGTTCCAAGTATTTCACAAGCATGCCTTCTTAGGAATTAGAGAATGCTCGAAATTAAACCATTACTGAATGCTTTTAATATAATGTCGTGAGACCACAGAATAGACCAGCAAGTAATTTCTCTTGTTCGGTTACCAGTCCATGTGGGTAGGGCATGTGAATAGTAGTTATTGAGTTGATCAGTACGTTCTTGTATCCGTATGTGACGACAAGAAGTTCCGTACAGAATAACGGAGTCCGAAGAAAATATGTTTTGGCGATATTGGAATTTAATTGAATCGGAATCGCACATGTCTGATCGCGACGCGTAATCGACCATGTCAGGTGCTTATCACAAGCTCCTGATAAAAAATTGTGGAAGCACAGAGCGCCGCATGTGCAATGCCGTCGGCAATTTATAAGACCTAAGAGTGGCCGTCCGATTGATAGAAAATACTGTTAAATAAACTTATATTTCTTCTAGTTATATTGTTTATTTACGTTCTTTGTTTGACCGAAAAATAAAATTATTATGGTTCCTAATTTTCGATTCCTGATTGTTTATTTACGCTTGTCGGAGCTGGGATTTTATCTCTAACGAAAATAATCATATCAGTTTGTATCATATTATATAAATCATTTCAAAATTTTGTTGTCGACTCGAAATTTTGTTGTCGTACATCGAACCCATCGAGGGTCGAAACTGTGGTAATCTACGCCGGCCTGTGGCGGCAAAAAGATCAGGTTTTGGGTAGTTTCATTGATATTTTACAAGCTATATCGGCCGAAAATACCATAAACCGGATAGTGGAGCGATAATTACTGTAATATCCTGCAAAGTTACTATTAACCCTCTTTTTCCGCTGGTTACAATCGACTTTTTGTACCATTTTATAATATGTAATGACTAGTTAACCAAACGTGCCAGGAACACCCCCAATATCTCTTTGAAAAGCTTATTTTCGCGTCTTCCTACTAAAACGCGCCCAGATGACGTACCCGCAAACTGTTCGACCTTACGCCGGTAAGAAGAGAGAAATTTCAAAAAATTTTGAGAGAACGTTTCACACTCTCATCGCTCCGATGAACACGCGTTACAAAGAAACAAGATTTAAGCGCTCTGCTCAAAGAGCATTACGTCACCTTTGCAGAAAAACCAGACTCAGCTTCGCAAGCGAAGCGAAACGCGAAATATTCAATGATATGTAAGAGCGTATTCACGATAGTTGTCAGGAATCTTTGTTTGTTTAATATGTGCGCGAAACTGTTTCCCGCTCGATCAAATGACTTATCTTTGAAGTAATGACAAATACTTTCGTGTATCTTTAAGCTTTGAAATACCTACACAAATAAAATTCACCTAGTAGTAGAATAAAAAATTAACAAAAAAAAAAATTTTGACGGATCAAGCACGGATCATAGTTGGAAGCCTAAAATGATTTTAGTTAGTGCGGGAATACTTCACAAAACATGAACATAAACGTAAAATAGTCCGAAAATAACTATTATTGTCATATTATGACCAAGGATGGTAGTACGAATATATATATCATTAGGAAAAAGAGAGTATTTGATAATTTCCTGAATATTTCGAGATATATATATTTACATATAATACACAAGCTAATTTACCAATCGACCCTTGATGATTTTGATGCCAGGACGCTTGATAAAAAAAATACCACATTGCATTGTATATTCTTAATAATACACTCCAAACGGCTTCTAGTTCATTTCATTTCACTACGCCACGAAAACTCCAAGTTCATTGTCTTTCTTGGTATTTTAAGCTCAATTGATATTATGCGTCCCGCGGTGCAAAGCTTTGAGGTTTCGAGATAGATAATTATGTCAATGTGACACGTACCCGCAAATTGCAAACACCTGGTGTTGCTGACACAATTTACACATTTTAAAAGATAGTTTTATTCTCCTCAGTGGCATAAGAATTGTCGAAAATACATACAAGGTTTACCCATTGATGAACTTTCTGTCGAGTTTGACGATTCCATTTGCCAAATACGAACCAAGGACCAAGTCTCCATTATTGAGTTCCGTTACCTGCGTAACGAATCTGGCAACCTTGCCCTCAATATCGTAATATACATAAACAGGTTCGAAATTATCATCTAGTTTTATGACAACGCCCACATTACATTCCAGTAGACCCTCGAGGTCTAGAATGCTCGCTAATATGTTTCGGATTGTTGGAAAACGCAGAATAAAATCAAAAATAGGTCTCGATAAAAAGGGAACCGGTGCCCAATATCCTCCATTATGACTGCGCCGTATATTGTCCGTTCCGCCTGGAAGATGGACATGCTTCGTAATCTTGCCATACTTTCGGTCAATAACTGTTATTCTTCGTCGACTATTTTCTGAAACAAGCAACTTGGATTCTGTATGATCCAGTTCAATACCGTTCGGAACACACAGTCCCTCAAAAACGACTTTGGTGATGCTATTCGTTGTTAAATCAACTTCTAAAATCCGGCCACTGCACTCCATTTCTAGTATCGATTTCTGTATGTCGGTGTAACTCCACCGTTTACTAATATCAGTGAAATACATTGTTGTTCCGTCCGCGGTAATTGTCAGATCATTTGCGTAGATTATATGGGAATTAATATCATTATAAGCGACCACTTTACCCCATTTCCTGGTCTTCAAATCTATTTGAAATACACCTTGGACAGCGTCAGCAAAATACAATGTTGAATTCACTATACGCAGACCGAGGGGGCGTTTTCCTTGACGTTCACTATTCTCTGCAAAATCGAATCCCTCAGTTAAATCAATTATCTCTCGATTGCCGTTGTCGTCATCAGATATTTTTACAATCCTCCCATCCGCAAGTCCTGCATACAATTTCCCTTCTTGATCTGTCGCAATCGATTCTGGTGCTTCTAGTTCCGGTAAAAACCTTATTCCATTCTGCAGCAAAGTATTTTCTCCGTTTAACCAAGTTGACAATTGCGGTACTACTCTGATGTCATCAACAGGAACAGCCGATATTGGAGAGTTGATATACAACCACGTAAGGTATAAACCCAGTGTGATGAAAGCGAGAATAACAACAAAGATTATGGTTTTGCACGCATTAATTGGATGTCCATTCAGAAGTGGACTGTTGGGTTTACTCAACTCATTTACCACATTTGTATGCGATATCTTCTTCCTACGGCGAGTGCTTTTACCACCAGTCATTTGTACGTTAGAATTATTAAAACATGTAGTTTGACTAAAATATTTGGTAGTCACTGTAGTATTATGTCGCTAAAATAAAAGTAGGAATAACTATTCTGTAATTTTTCCGTATTTCTCAGTTTTTCTTATGTTGTACTTTACTTGCTAACGTATCCTGACCCAGCCTTAACTAAGTAGGACCAAAGGAAGAGGTTATACAATTAGTTGGTAATCACAGAATAGAAACTAATATATATATTTGGAATTGTTCCTTTCCTTGTTTAAATTCTAGATAACAAAATCAACTTCTAAAATACTATTAATCTTCTCGATATATTGAAAAGAGGTGCGCCCATTCATGCAGCTATCTCAACTATAATTCTGCGCTACGGTTGCTTCTTACATAAGTGCAAACAAACCACGGTAAGAATTATCGGCAAACAGTGTATCTCGAACACTGCCCTATTTGTTTGCGATCTCGTCGTAAAATATTCAAAGGTTGAAATGAAAGTCTGCAAAGTGCCGAGGTATAGTCAATGAGGTGTAAAAGTTGACCTTTTGCCTTTATTCCATAGACCTACATGTTTATAAACTTTAGTAAGTACATATTAACGATCACAAAATTGAGTTTTATTTGAAAGCAGCATTTTTTCGTGTGAGTGCGACGTTAGGTTTTGGACACGTAAGTGGACATAACGTTCGTTTTGCATTTTATGCTGGCACTCTTCTTCTTCGACACGTTTTTAAAAGTCGCTTTTCTCTTTGATTACTGAACCAATCTCTTTTAAATTCTCAGTGCTTGAAGATTAAATTTTTCGCTAGAAGGCTATCACTTTTATTTTTTTCGAATATTCCGGTGAGCTGTACGGGATTCGTTTTTTGTGTGTGCTATGACGACTCAGTTCCTTAACCACGTCGTTCTACTCCATAGATTTACCCCAAAATTTTGTTTATACCTTGCTAAGTTGAACCATATCATCAAACACAAACCCTACCTTTTGTGTTATTCATACTTCATTCTGTCAAGACGAAAATACTCTTTTTAAATAACTGACTAAAAAATATTCTTGTTAATTCCATCAACTTTTTCGCATTTGCGCAAAGATAAAAGAAAATATTGCCAGTTTCGGAACTTTAAACAACTTCGTGTATAAGCGTTTTCCGCAAGTTGGAGCACGATATTCGGCAATTGCAGCGCAAGAGCGATTTTATTTTGAGTGGACGACTGTGAAATGTGAACTCTTCGTCACGGCTATTTGGCGTGCTCGCAAAATAGTTCATTTATATTTTTTTCAAGACAACATTTCTCGACGTACGCTTCAAAATTTAGAGAGTATAAATATATGATCATATTTATCGCAGGGTTATCAACAGATAAGTGATATATGTAACTGTTCATGAGATACTGGAGTACGGGTGGGGTTTTATTTAGTCAAAGATTCTGAAGCCCGGACTGCTTAAAACTGTAAAAGTAAAAGTTTCCAAATAATGGCTGGATTCAATATGTTGCTCCATATTGAAATGAACAAAATGAATTTGTGGACTGAATTATCATTGCAAGTCAAATGAAATCAAGTTTTAAACAATATATGTCAGATTGACGCCGTAAGAGGTAAACCAAATCATATTTTCTCCAATAAATGTTAAATTGATTGACGATTTCGAATCTTAAAGAAAATAGACCACAAAATGACGAAAAAAACACATTCATGCACGTGCTAATTGATTTGCCTGTCTGGTTGCGAAGTGCCGGCTATTGAGTTGTTGATAAGCGAAAATATTTTATCCGAAGTTCATGAAAAGATTGTTGCGTTTCCATTAGTTGAAGATCATCCTTATTGCAGTTCTCTATGCAAATATATATATGCATCACCTCATAAGAACGCATGGCAAATATACCAAGCTAGGAGGATGCCGGATTTGCGATTAAAAAAACGGTAAATGTCAGATAGTTGAGTTTAGACAAGTCTATACCAACACTATTTCACAGACAATGTTCTACGCAATGTAGGCGCAATACAAATGCGTACATGTTACGATCAGACAGTTGTTTAAAAGCGACGCTTTGCGTGTCAAATTCCCGAATTCGCCCTCGAGGCTCTGTCCAGCAGTGCTGCTTCATGGTTGGTATTTTCGACTTACGAACCTTTTATTTATTCAGTTGTAAAGCTAAATTATAGAGAAAACAAGGTAAATATGGCGGAAATTGATTCTAAATTTTTGCAAGAAATGGTGGGATCACTTGGAGAATTTTTATCTGAAGACCTGAAAATATCGAGATACCGAGAATATAGACTACCGGTACATTTCAAAGCAGAAAATATAAGGATTGCTATGGAAGAATGGGAATGGCCAAAGAACCCAATCTTCGTTGTCAGCTACCCTAAGTCAGGTTCGTTCAAATTTGAAAGCATGTGCTGTATATTTTAAACCTATATTTATTAACCCATCATAACATTGTAGAATAAAACAGTGCAGATGAAATAATCAAATTCAAGAGTTCAAAGGCATGTTTAATCATGGGAAACGATACAGACATACATGAGTACTCGTATATTCGTGTTTCTCAGGTACTACTTGGACGACGGAAATTATTCGACAAATTTTATACGGCCGAGACGAAAATCTGGATAAAATATCAAAGTCAATTCCTACGCCTGTAATAATGCTCGGAATTGGAATACGTAAGTTGTTAATTATGGCGTCAATTGGTATTTACTAACGATTAATTTTACGCCCAAACCCAAAAAATTTAATATTCCCTGTATCTCTTTGTACTCGATCGCCCCTAAATTCGCTGAGAGATCAATCTTCTTTATTTCTTAGTAAGTGCGCACGACTTTTCTTTGTGCAAATTCTTCTTAAAAATTTGGCATCGGTATTAATAAAAAAGATTAGACATTTCGTTTCATGTACATGCACGTTGTAATGATGATATGACGATGTGCTGTCATGATCTCTCGCACTCGATTTTACAATCAACTTAAAAAACAAGCAAAGATTGAATGATTGATTATCTTACATTAAAGTTATACAATGTTTCAGCGGAAAAGAAGTTTGATGTCATTGATCGAATACCACTGCCAAGAAAATATTTTAATACACACTTAAGAGAAGAACTTTTTGACTTTGAAAAATTGAGAAAAGTGAATGGAAAGGTAGGTGTAAAACATTTTCGTCCAAATTTGTAAAAAAATATAGGAACTACAATTAATATATTTCTTGTTTTGAAACATGTAAGTTTGTATATATGCAACATATACTAAACAGATAACCTTAACGCCGATGTATTCGCGGCGTCCGTTATACACGGTGACTCTGTTTCAACTATAGGTGTTATTAAATATATATATATAGATTGTTTGAATTCGCCAGCATCGTATACTATAAAGAAGAACGATAAACCCCAACCATTGCTGGTTTTAGTACGAGTGGCCTTTGTAAACATATTATTGTCTGTATTTTCCACTCACTGATTTGACAAATCCCTAGATATATCGGAAAATAAGATTTGAAGTTTATGATCTTAAATATTGCGTACAGGTGATATACGTTGTGAGAAACCCGAAAGATCAATTGGTATCATGGTATAAATTTGTTCATGAAATATTGCTCAACGAAAACGTTAGAAAACAACTTTTCAAAGAATCGTGGGATGATTTTTTCAATGACTTTTTACAAGGTCGGTTTTGTTTGGTGATATTGATGTCCAGCCGGTTTTGTTGTTTACACTAGAAGCACTGGAATGAATCTACTGTCTGTTATATTGAACTATGAAAGAGTCAGATATGGGGTATTCCTACATATACATCAAATAGGGCAATGAAATACTATATAGGTCGCGCGGGTGTGGACTTACTCCTCAGATATTTCAATTGAAAAAGATTCAGTTGTTGGATTCACTCCCTTGTAGGTTGTCAAGTTGTCAATCAACAAAATAAAGGGGGGCTAAACACATATTGCTGTTTACTCGTCAACCACGCATGTGGAAACTCACTCCTCCAGATATTTCAATTGAAGAAATTTCAGTTGAACTCATTCCCTATTAGATTATCAAGTTTATGAATCAACAAAATACAGTGGGGCACATGTTGTTAGCATTCAGTTCGAAGGTATCCCCGGTAACCACCCACATTTAACTTATGCTTTCTACTTTTTGCAATAATATCGTGCCATATTGTTAGTAGTATTATCATTCAACTCCACAACAAATGTTTAGCATTTGAAGACAAAATGTCAGAATTTGTTACTACTCATCAAAGGACTTATCTATCAGTTATGTTTTTTTTTAATTTGCTTTACTATATTTAACAGACACATCTTCATATGACGGTACAATTCTTTTTAACATTGGGTTGATATTTAGCTGACGTTATGGTGACCTTATTAGTGTTCATAATTTTAAGCAATGCTTTTTTATTTTTTAAATTCTCAGGTTTTCTCGATTCTACTATTGGGTTCAAGGCATTAAAAATGATAAAATTATTGCAGGAAAACATGGCCTTGTTTCGAAAGACGATGAATGGTCATTTCCAGATCATGTGAAGGGATGGTATAAGCACAGAAATGACAAAGACGTTTTATTGCTCGTGTACGAAGATATGATTAAAGTGCGAAATAGATTTTTATTATAATATATATACATCTTTTTTTTATAAAACTCAAACAGTATTTTGCTTTCACCTTGATCTTGACTGACTTTACGTGGTGTTTATATAATATTTCGTTCTTCGCGGTGACAAAATGCAATTAAATCATACTTTCTACAGTTAAACAGTAAATCATTGTTTTTCTAGTTAGTCATCCAAATTTTAAAGACCATTCAGAATATTGTTGCAGCTATTGACCTTTGATTCTAAATATCTCTAAACGCCCATATAACTACGCTAAATCTCTGATTGGTATATACTCACAGGATATAAATAAAGAAATTCGACGTATTGCAAACTTTCTAGAAGTCGACCTAACGGACAAAGAAATAGCTATCATTGCCGAAAACACTTCAATTGGAAGTATGAAAGATGCCGCGGGAAAGTCCGGAAGATATGAAGCCAATATACTTGTTAATAAAGGTAAATAACTGAAAATAATAATGACCAAAACATTAACAGTAAATTTCGATTCACTGGTACATTAAAAATCTCAGAAAGAATTTGAAAATATTTAAAAAAAATATGGGTGCACCTGAAGTATGCGCACCAAGATGTCGCACAACCTGAACCCTAACCTGGTACACAACCTGAGTTCAGATTGTGCGGCATCTTGGTGCGCATACTTCAGGAGGTCCGAAATATGTTCTCTTTCAGTTGAACATTGCACATTCTTATATTTTAATTAATTTTGAAGATAAATTTTTTGCACAATGATCACTTTTCACATTGATACAAAGGCGAAAAAGGGGCAATACTAGATATTTTTACTATAATGTTTTTGTGGTATAAATAATCGATATCTAGCCAATTACAGATCGCGAAATGATGAAAAAAATCGTTTTCCAATCCAGGTATGCTGTATGAGTTGCAATATGCAAAATTAACCTAAATGATGTAAGAGCGTAGCAACTTATTGGTTCAAAATTATTTTCAATTTCCTCTTTTCTTCTTCGGGAAAACGTTAATTTTCACGTGTAAATCTATGTTTGAATATTCTTATTTTTTTTAGGTGGAGTGGGAAAATGGAAAAATAAATTCAGCGTTGCACAATCAGAACAAATGGACAAAGTTTTGAAAGCTGAATTTGCCGATTCTGATATTGAATTCACATACCAACTATAAACAATTTGGGGAAAGAATAATGTTATATGTCTTAATTTTCGAAAATTTCCAACTAATTCCAAGACGCATTGTTTGGCTAAAATACTACACAATAAATAATAGCAAGAGTTCTAGATAAATATTAAAATCTGCAAATCCCTTAAACCGCTATAGTGACGTCATAGCATATGCGAAATTCCGCATGACTTGACTTCGCTGACGTCTGACGAAGTTTTAAATGGCAATATATTCCTGATGGCAAATACTGATTTTTTTGCGCATGTGTCCGTAAATTTTTATATTTTTTTTTATTCTTGGATCACCAACCTTACTAGATTCGTCACAATATTATAAATATTTTACATTGTACAGCTCGCTTTCATTGTTGTATAAAAATGATAAAATATGTATGGCAAATAGTTGAATCACAAATCTAATTTGTGTTGCTCTTGAGTGTACTCACCAACATTATTATGCTCAATTCAATAAATATATAGTTTCGTTACTCCCAACTGGACGTAACTATCAATAATGCTTTAAGATACAATATAATATCATTTATTGCAATTTAAAAAATACTTAAAACACATTTCTAAAAACACACTTCATTTGCACAATAGTTCGGACATACATATTGTATACTGATGAATGAAAATATACACCGTCTGCAAATCCCAAGACTACGCCACATGAAAATTGAACAACACATGTTACACGCGTTTTTCGTCTAGTAATAAATTTTTCTTTGCAGTTTCCAGGATTTTTCCCGGTGCCGCTAGATTTATATAATGCTTGGAGTGAGTATGAATCAATTGTTTTTTAATGATTTGCGTCTTCATGTAACACATTTGTTAGCTATGTTACCGAAAATGCCCTACAGGCACGATGGACAAGCGGCAATGTCAAAGTTTATTTTGTATTTTATTATGTTCTTGCCGCAGAAGCTGATAAACCTTTTGCTTTTTTAATCATTGAAGAGAGTACTTTCATTGATTCATACACCCCGACCCCTTTGACAGCACAGCAGTTTTCTATATGCCAAGAGTGGTCTGCCGGTAGCTTATCCAGTTCTAATACGGTAGCAAGATCTCTTTTATCTACAGCTTCAGGTAAATCTTGTTTGTTGGCAAGTACAACGATAGGTATCTTGAATAAAAATATAATTGATGCTTGAAGATATTAATATAGGAATCAAAGTCACTCGCTGGTATATTGTAAACACTCAAACCTCAAAATGAGAGATGCCTTATTACTTAGAGGTTGCAAAAATGTTTGAAGAAGATATAGCAGTCAACAAAATTTGCGGTGTATAGTTCTATAAAATACTGTATTATAGAGATGAAAAAATAATAACTTATTTTACTGTTTATAAAAACATATACAAGGCAAAAACAGAATCCAGGTTGTTTGGAACATATTCTAGAGATAACATACTCTGTGTGCAAAGCGTCCTGCACTCTTTGGGTATCATCAGACAAATATTAGAAATTTGTGGGTTCAGTTTATTGGTTCACTATATTTGTAGTGTTTGGCATAAGATTGTAATGTGCTTACAAAGTTCATAGCTTATACACGAAATATCTAGTATTTGAAATATATATTAGCCTACATATTAAGTATATGGGATTCAAGCAACAAATACCTTTCTCATTCCATCTTCTTGCAAAATAGCGTTTAATTCACTTACTGCTTCTCCAAATCTTGTTTTGTCTGCGCTATCGACAACAAATATAATACCTATAGACATAATGGAGTATTTAGGATTTAATGTTGGTTCATGATATTAGAATAGCAAAAATACATTGACATCTGTGTCGACTGTGCAGATTGTATTTAGTTGCACCAAGAGTGCTCAATAGTATACCATGGCTGTTGAAGTCGAAGTAATTAGTCCTACGATGTGCAAAGATTCTGGCTCCCACCCATCTTTGACTCCGGCAACCGGAAACACGTTCAACGAAAATTTGACTCCGATTCAAGTTAGTGATTCACAAACAAGAGATATATATATGTAATGTTTGAATATAAGGTCACCAAGGTTAAATGACTAATGAGGACCTCGCAATCTCGGCAAAATTGCAGCAAAACATTAAAAAAGGGACTGAATTGTATAAAGATTTGTACCGAGTCTTATATGAAGGTGTGTCCGTAAAATATAAAAGTACATCAAAACTTGTTGTGAAACATCGGTCTCTGCCTGTTACAGACGGATGACAATTTGCTCATAAGAACGTATATTGATGGTATTAGTCGTATAAACCATTGCTTTGAGTAACTTTGCAAAATATCAGTCATACGCTCCGGACCAAAATAGAATTTTGAAACAATTGCCACGCGTTGTTACTTATAATAGTAGTAGGACATACAGAACATTAAGTTTGAGCTTCATGCAAATTTATTTAATAACGTCTTTAAGTTAATAACTTCCTTGTCGATCTTGTTGTCTATGGCTATAGTATAGACTGTACAATTATTTGCGCATGACTGCATGTTTTGCTAATGTGTGTAATAAGATAGTGAAATTCAAACGAATTTTTAATTAATTGACTGCAGTGCACATCATACCTTGAGTTGATGTGTAATAATGCTTCCAAAGTTGTCTGATTTTATCTTGCCCGCCAATATCCCATATAGTTAATGTTAATCCTTTACATGGAGTAACAGTCTCAACGTTGAAGCCAATCGTTGGCAATGTTCGTGTGCAATCAGCAAGCTTTAGTTTCTGAAGAACAGTTGTTTTACCTGAAACAACGAAATAATTACCGCAAACTTTAACAGAAACGGCACATAAATGGAAATTGGTTTCGAAACGGAAAAATGTAAAAAGTTGATAGGTTTACTACGCATCACATGTGGATTTTAAACTTAGTCTAACGTATTTCAAATTTTCGTTACCGAATATTTTTGAATAAATACATCTTGGACTTTTAAAATCACACCATTCACAAAATAAGCCTCTGCTTCTCGAAGTAGTGCACATAACTATTGTTGGCCCGCACGACAAGTAGGTCTACTGATTAGTAGTAATTTACTGCCGGGATTGCCACGAATTGCTGTAGAACTTACGATTCAGATCAGAACAAGACTTTGCAAATGGTCTGTTATGAATATTATGCAAAATGCTCTTTGCATTTTATGAACCATGTTTTAGTGCAGGGGTGGCCAACCTGCTTTCGACCGTGATCGACTGAAATCATTAAAATAGCTCGCGATCGACTGATCGGTAATCTGATTCTGATCATACACATAAACGAACGAGCAGATAACATGCAGATAACTACACACACGCATACAAAATTACACCGCTGCCAAAAAGCTCGCGGCTCTGTGGGCTGTACAATTCAGATCTACCTGCCTACTTTTTAGTCGTAAGTGTTGAAAATTCCTCAAAAAACTTGTATTAGTATTTATGTATAATCTGAACAGCAAAAAATAAATATTCCCTAACCATCAATGTTACATGACTGATCAAACTTCAGTATCTAATTTACAATTTCCTCCAATCCAATTCTTCGCCCGCTGGGAATTAGAAAAAAAATCGGCATTTTGATGTCACTGCTGCCGTTGCCAATAAAAATTTCTTTTGAAATTAATCACACTACTCTTGGAGTGCGACAACGACTTTCGCATACTGCAGAAGATATTGCAGGATTGTTTGTAAGTCAAGACAGACGATATTCGACACGTTCAATCCTGAACCTTGGCGGCAGCGAAACTTGTATTCGTTACGTAATAATATGCTCTATCGGACTTTCCCAGACTCAAATAGTCAATAGTGTATGTTTATATCGTATTTTTCACATGCACAGTACTGTATTCTTCCTGCCTTTAAACACACAACATGCGCTGCATGAAACTGGTTCAAGGCAAATTTTTGGGTATGTTATTAAATTCACCCAACATTAGACGCGATCGACTACTCAAGACATGGCGATCGACGTGTTGGTCACCCCTGTTCTAGTGTTACTAGCTAATTATATTTCCAAATATCCTTTTCAACAGTTCACAGATTATGATGTTTTGAGAAACTACTTCATGGTACATTTAGCTAAGCAATTCCGTATCCATTCAACTTACCAGCAGCATCCAATCCAAGCATGCAGACTCTGATTGGTTCTCCTTTGTGTCCGGCAGCAATTTTTGATAGTAAGTTCCCCATTGTTCAATTCTCATGTTAATAAAAGAACTGCATAAAAATGACAGATATTAGGAAACGAAAACAAAACGGCCGAAATAGATTCACACAAACATATGCCCGTTCACAAAAAAAAAATTCGAGCAAATGCATGAAACTTATAATCAAACATTATATGACAAAAGTGAGTGAGCTTTCTGGTAGGTTTTTGATGTTGAAGTATTGACTTACAACAAATAAGAGATTCTCCAATCAATCTATTCTGATAGTTACATAATTATTTAAACTACACGGAATTGATATAAACAATTCAATCAAAAATTCCATTCTCTTTTTCAAAAATATGTCATCGGAATGCTGAAAATACTCATAGGCATGAGACTCAAATAACAAAGTATCGCCATATCTATATACGGTAAATAGTAAATACTAAAAGTTCACACCAGTCATACCCTATAGCGCGATACATTTGGCATCATTATGCATAAACAATGATATAATATAGAAATCGAACTCTTTCTAGTCTACGTTTGCAATCGGTTACTCACTACCCGGATGTGACGTGTAACAGAAAGATTCAAATATCCTCGCGCAGAATATAAAACTAAAATATTACATTGCGTCCATGGGTCATTTGCCGATGGATATATCATTATATATCTAAAAGAAGGGGCGCCTACAATTCTCTCAATAACGATAAAAAACATAATACATTTACACGCGAATTAACGTTATTTCAATGTTTTATGCGATTCCATATATTGTCCGCGCATTACATTATTAAACGTTTCTATTTGACCCTCAGAACATCTAGTAATCGATACCTATCAGTTCGACGGTTGGCACAACGTGCTAAGCATAGAAACACGCTTGCTATTGCACTTCATATCGTGGGGGACAATCCCATGCAAGGCCATCACTACTTACCATGACCTACTCGCGTCGTGCGGATTCTCCCAACATCAAACCCATGCACCTAAGCGAATAATTGGGGGTTAACTAATCCATATTCGGTATTGACTGGTGCTGGACGAGAAGTATAATTTCGCCATTGATTGAATTAAGACGTCATAATGGCTTTCCTCTCAAATGATAAAAATCTCATTACATCGTCTCGCTGGGACTATGATAAAGAGATTACAATGACCTGGTAGTCAGTCGAATCCCCCATCCAGCGCAACCCAGGAAGACAGCAATGTATAGTTATATTTCCATAACCAATCACATCGTCTTATTATACCAACCCCTTGAAATGAAATGCAAAGTTTCATTATCCTCCAGCAAACTCGCATAAAATCAGTTTCGCGCAATGAACGCTTCACGAATATTTGACGATATTCAGGCACGAATCAACAATATAGAACGAGCAAGCGACAAGTCCGCAGTAACCCACACACAGCCGCGATGTTACCCAAAGTAGATCGCTTTTCCCTGGAACGCAAACTAAGAGTTAAAAGACTCGTAGACCGACTATTGCTTAACCAAAACCTTAGCTACGCAATACAGCGCAATATACAAGGCGGATAGTTTATCGCCAGACTTGCGTGACTCACACAAAAACCAATAAATGCAAATTTTCCTCAGGAACTTTTATTGCATCACAAGGAAAACATGACACAGAGCAATTTAAGCAGTAGTAACTTGTCTGTCTTTCTTGAGTGGGCCCATGAAAGCTCTCTTCTCTTCCAGAGTTTGGAAGCGACCGTGACCCATCTTTGACGAGGTATCGATCCATTTGAGCTTGATTTTTTCGAGCGCGACACGCTTGGTGTGAACCAGAAGAGATTTTCTCAAAGTGAGAACTCGTTTCTTGTGTCCGATACAACAACCCTTCAACATGATGAAATCGTTCTTCACTTCACCATAGTGAGGAAATCCGCCCTGTGAATTGAGAACAATTAGGTTAGTCTGCAGTGGGTGGACGACGAGGTGGCGTCATGGTGGGTCAAAGTCTTGGGTACTCACCATTGGAGTGATGCTCTTATCTGTAATATCAACTTCAGTGGAAGCATTGTTCTTGATAATCTTTCCACCTTCTTTGTGAATTCCTTTACCAATGCGATAGATCTTCTTGTTTATCTCAGTACGGTGGTGGTAACCCTTTTGACCTGAAAAAAATGCCGGTTTTAGATATTTCAACTCTATTTTTACACTTATTCATGCCCCCGCTCAGAACAAAACCCCCTTCAACTGACTTTTACACTTATTCACGCCCCCCGCTCGGAACAAAGCCCCCTAAAAGCATCCCCCGCTTTTCTGAAGGATCAAAATTTTCCATAGTTCAAAATTGCCTATCCAATTGATAACATCCTAGGTCAAGGGTGCCCACAGTGGACATGGAAATGGGACCAAACATCAAAACAGTCAAGTCAACTGCTTTAACTCTGAAGGCCATTTATTGTACCACAAATGTACAAATAATAAAAAGGGTCAGTAGAGGTTGCCGCAAGACTAACTCCCCATCCTTTCTCAATGCCTTTTTGCTAGTGGATCCGTATGCGTATATTCCCGTAACGTTTCGTCTCACCAAAATCAGACTTCCTCAGACAAGCAGTTTATAACAATGACAAAAAAAGAACAATCATGCGGTTTAAATATGACGATATTCCATGACGAGAAACGATCATATTTTTCCGCCTCAATCTGTTTCTAAATAAGAATTATTCTTTATTCATTGTTTCGTCACAATTATTTTCAAACAACTTTATGTATCTTGGTATTTAAACTGCATGTTTGTTCTTTTCTTGTCATTGTTGTAAACTGTTTGTCTAAGGAAGTCTGATTTTGGTCAGACGAAACGTTACAGGAATATACTTGCGTTGGTGCGCAACAGGCCTCGCATATAATAATAAGGGTGTTTTGATTTTGAACAAAAAAACATGCACAAAATCCAGAAGATAAGATTCTTTTGAATTATCGCTTTCATATTTATCTAGGCCGTCGCTGTTGTTAACTCCACATAAATAAACTTTTCAAGTCTACGTTAGATTACACACGCAGTATGCTTACCAGATCTAGCAACAGAGTAGGCGACACGGGCCGGATGCCAAGCTCCAATACAGGCGACTTTACGCAGACCTTTGTGAGTCTTACGTGGTAATTTCTTGGTATGCCATCTAGAAGTAACACCTAAAACACAAGGATTCCAAAGTTTATAATATACTGGACATAGAGGGACTTGGCTAGTTTGATTAAATTCAAGCCATCCAAGTCTTACAATCAATGGTAAGAACTAGTGCAACTCAGTAGGAAGGCAGCATTGGTGACATCTCCATAATAGAGTCAGGCACCCTGGCAGGGGTGCAATCCAATGCGTGTCATCATTGTCACACAGGAATTATCTAATTATATCATTCTCAAACAGCACACAAGCGACCAGAACTGACATAATGCAGTGGTTCCCATTTGCACAAATGAAAGGTCTGATATCGCATCAACTAAATGTGTGCATACATTATATAAAACTACCTTTTTATTATTAAATACATGTATTTACAGAAAGTAAATGAACTCGGCAACCACTGTTGTAAAGCGAAAAAGCTCATTATCACCTTTGTAACCATGACCCTTAGTTACTCCAATAATATCGATCATTTCATCTTGTGCGAAGATGTCAGAAACTTTGACTGGCTTCTCGAGAAGGTTACGAGCAAAGTCAATTTTGTCTGCAACTGATCCTCCATTAATTTGGATTTCCATAATGTGAGATTTCTTCTGTCTGATTGGCAGAAGTTTCATCTAAAAACGGGATGATACTTATACTGGTTGTTTCATAGCAGTAAATAAATAGTCAATGCACTACACAAAATGCAATTGTTAGTGGTCAATATGGCGTTGAAAAGGTTAGGTGTGGTCTTCAGATAAATTTGACATAAAAAAACTAGGACATTAGTTCAGTTTTCCATTCCTATATATACTTAAAAAGGTTTCAGAAGAACCAAAAACAAACTGAAGGCACCGACTGGAATTGAAGTTTCTTAGGTTTTTACGAATATGGGGCACCGAAGTTAAGAATGCTCAATCCACTTCCAAGCCAAGACAAGAAGAAATACCTACAACATCATCACCAGGAATCAACAAGAAATACCTACCTGAGAATGAGCGAGTACTCTGATAACGGTACAGTACTTCTTCATTTTCGCAAAATCTTGCTCAATTTGTTTTTTACCATCATCATCTTGCCATTTGCGACAAGCTTTCGAAAATGCCTTCTTCTTGGAAGAATACCTGGATTGGGACGGGGGAAGGTGGTGGAAAGAAAAACAGGAAATTTTGCTTACTAGGCTCATCAATTACAACTGCAATTGAGAGGAGACTAGATAAGCTCAGCAGTATGTTGACGAAGCCACAAGATGATCAAAGTCACCACATACAGAGGTGTTTTGAATTCATACAGTGGATACAGTCAAGCACAAGCCACAATTGAGACACTCGTCAGTACTCGCTTTCCAGCTGAAGTCTGATTGGAGCTGATGAAATATATTAGTACAGAGCTTAATCATACTTAATCTACAGTTAGCTAAAAAAAACTTAATACACCAGTTAGCGGGCATTAGGGCCAAAATAGAATCTGCATCAGACAGTGTGCACTCAAATTCATTGCACTGTTTAGCGCTAATACAAGAGGTGTCAGAGATAGCACAATCATCATTTGCACTATAGCAAATATATAACTATTTAATCATCAGGTAATATAATATATGCAAGGCACAGTTTTCGAATACTATGTCTTTTTTAAGTATTATGGAGAAAAGACTGACCAATTTTATAATTGAGTTGGGCTATTCTTAATCCATGCAACAGAGAAAAAAAATTTCTGAAAATTCTATAAAAATACACACCAGTTTTTGTAGAAACGACGTTTACATTCATCACTCAAATGTTCGGCAAAGACAGTAGTGAGAGTACGAAGACCACGAGGGGTTATGATGTATCCAGTGACTCCAAATACAATCATAGGTGGAGTTTCAAGAATGGTGACGGCTTCAACAACCTCCTTTTTATTCATTTCTGAAATCAAAATTCTAGATAATACGCTGAAAATCTAGCCATGACTGAAAAAACTGGAATAACAAACTTTCGTTTTTTCTTTCAAAACTAACAACACCAGTACGATTAGGCTTTTTTTCCACAAAGTACAGGTAGTTGTTCATATAGAATCATGGGAGTTTGTAAGCTGTTTTTAGCTGGAAGTTCTCAGAACACAAGACATTCAACACAGATATTCTGTCCGCCCGTCTTGTATATCATCATAGATTTGACAAACCTATTAACGTCAATAACATGACCCAGATAATGCAAGAGTTATCCGTTATATAAAAATTGATGAACTTTGCCTTCATATGCACATACCCTAGTCAGGAGTCTATACGACTTCATATCAATTTTACACTTCTACTACTAGGAAAAAACAAATGCATTAAAACGCCTAGGACTGTAGGAGCAATTACGGTACTTGTTTGCAAGCGCCGAACGCCTTCTGGCCTTTTGTCAGACTTTCCACAAAGTAGCAAGCTCTCGCTATTGTGGCGCTTTTTACACCAAAAGAAGCATTTCGTCGAGATATATAAGATACTATGTATTTGTAAAAGGCATAAGTTGGGACCAAAATTATGTATTCTTGCTGAAAACTCTTATAATTTTGCTGTAAAATTTTTTCCCTCTGTAAATCAGCCTAGTTTTTTCAGAGAAATCCAATGGCAGAATGGTGACGTTTTTAGATCATACTGCTTTTTTATTTATTATGTCTGTATGTAGTGCCGATGTGGAGACGGTGACTGTCATGTAAAGAAGGGGTTTGCACTTCTTTTTATAATTGAAAAGTCGTTTAATGTCAGAATGTGGGGCTATTCTTCGGAGTCTAAGAACTTTGCCATATTGTGATACAAATGGCAAATTAAAGGAGGATGTCAGAATAGGTCTAAAACCACTGCATTAGTAATAAACAAAATCAAACACCAATGAATGCAACACTCACTTGATCCCGGTCTATCAACATCTCTCACAATATGGGTCATTCCAGCCTTGTAGCTTACGAATGCAGTCAGATGACATGGTTTTGATGGATCATCATTGGGGAATGAACGAACTTTTCCCCGATGATGGCGGCAACGCTTACGTGGCAGAAATGCCAAAGAGCCGTGACGAGGTGCAGAAAATTTTCTGTGCGACTGTAAGCATGATATAATAATTTATAATACAATATTATCTTATTCCAATAAAAATGTAGGAGAAATTTTTGAAATTTAATTTCCAACATCAACTGGATGACTGGTCGAGACCGCATTTCAGTAGTCTGTGATCTACGGACATCATTTAATTTTATGTATTCCAACTTCAAAAAGTGTTACAGGGCCACAAACATCAAAAAACTTGCGTTCAGTGACAGATTATCATGCAAAAATCGCCTTACCGGGTATAATTCATAATGTCAACTTCAAGAAATGACTTAATAAATTAATTAAAATGACTAAACTCTTATTAATTTAGCGAAATATAGTAGATTACAACGGATACAATTTGCAAAATCAGAAGAAGCAACTCACCATAGCGCTGGCGATCGGAAAGAGAGCGAGGATCAGCGAGCGCGAGAGAAATCAACGTGTTGTTCCGCTTGAACAATTCCAAAGAATTATATTCGTAACCGCGATGTGGTGATAAAGAGCCAATAACGAGGACAACAGACACTAAACAAGAAATAAGGCTCTGTGACCACAGATTGCATACGGCAAGGGTGTCAAACTCGTGGGTTTTCGAGGGCCGCATTGCATTTTGGGAATTGTGCAAAGGGCCGCAAACAGTTTTTGATATATTTTGATAATGTATACTGGAAGCATATTTTTAGATAGGTGTAGTTTGTTACATACCTCGTACACTGTGATGCAATTAAACAGCCGAATGAAGTTTTGGTATTTTCTCAAATTTCAAATGCCATTTAAATATTCATTTCCGCATTTCAGTATTATTGCAATTTAATGTATTTATTACAAAAAATCATAAATTTTTATGTACAACTATCCAGAACATTTTTGAACAAAGTTTTGATAAGGGAAGAATAATACATTTACTAAAAATGACTTAATCAAAATATATATCCTGAAATTTACAAAAATACTACAAATAAAATCAATGTTTTTTTTATTACATATGTCCCGACGTTTGGCATTTCGTTTGTGCCACCAGCTTACTAATATCAGGCTGAAATGATTTTACAGTGCCAACTCTAATTAACGAGGTCACATGATCATCGGTTAATCTGGATCGTTGAGAATGTTTGATTGATTTCAGTAATGCAAAAAATATTATGTTTATCATTTCATGTATAGATCAGTAAACAAACAAATGACTGACTTTTCGGAACAGACATTTCTCGCCAAATTTCGCGACACTTCCTAATATTACGTGGCACAGGACTGCTTGAGTTATGATTGGTATTGATTTTTAGTAACTAGCTAGTCTTATAATTATGATAATATACAAACACATAAAAATGATTTGTTCAAAGTTGATCTTTAAAATAGTCATATTGACTGCTGAGCTTATTCAAATAATGTCTACTTATATTGTATTCTTTCATTGAACTGATGAAAATGTGACAAATTAAACAATGTGCTTTAGAATTTTGAGAAATGTAGAAATATTGCAATTTATCCCATTTTTCTTCAAAAATACCTCCTTCTCCATGTAATTTGCGTTCTATTTAATCCTGGATTTTTTTTTTCAAGTATTCTTTTGCTAGCTTGGGGTGTATCCATAATTGAGTCATATTGCAAACAAAAAAAATTTAATTTTCCAAAACTACTTTCAGTAAATTGTCGTTTTCTGTGTGAAACTTGCTGCCCGCGGGCCGCAAGTTTGACACCCCTGGATACAGCATATTCGTTTTATGAAGCTTCCGAACTTTACAAATTAGTTTTGATTTTTGATATTGTTAATTAACTAACAATTTTGAACCGATGAACAATTACACTGGAAATTTTTTTTCCTCTTGGCTTATCTATTTACAATGCAATATATTGCATTAGGAGATAATTTTCATATAAATATTATTTTTGGCCTATAGGGTGATTCAAGGCACTTGGAAGACAAGAAGGCGTATTATTTTCTTCCGCCTCAGCCAAAACTGAAGAAAACAACATTAAATATTTCGAATTTAGGTTATGTGAAATGCGGGATTACCCCAAGAACGGGGTTTTGTGGAAAATTAGTATATAAAACGGTGACCGTACATTTGAACCCACGTACATTTGAACCCATGCGTATATCCGCGGGTTCAACTATCCGTAAAACAAAAAAAATTCCATAGGTGCAATAGCATACAGGTGCAATTGTCATGGGTTCAAATGTACGTGGGTTCAAATGTAATGGAACCATATAAAACATGTAACATTAATATTCGACTGGGACAAGTTATACGATGCCATTTCATGTCGCAGAAAAATGTAGCTTCTTTAGTCATTTTGTCTTGTTGTAGTGTGAAAACTTTCTGTCTCCACTATTCTGATTGCAAAATCAACATGAAGGTTTAGAAAAGTCACTTTGTACACCCAAAAAAAATATATATATCATTCAAAATCTGCAATTACTGGCCCCTTGAACTGGTCACGCTCGAAACAAGTTCTCGATTTTGTTAACAGTTTAGAATAAAGAAATAAACGCCAGTCATTGAAGATGCCTAGGGCCCTAAATAGCATTCAAGAAAGGAGTTTTAGGATGTGACAGAAGCAGCGTAAATTCTTTCTGGAAAAGGAAGTCTTTGTTTTCGTTGCTTAGTGATCCCGACAAATATGGTTAATTGCACTGTTTGCATGCGCAAAGGACTAGAAAAGAACTGAATTTTGAACGATGAATGCGGCATTGAATTGGAATCAACAACTGTTCCAAGCCTAATATTTATGTCAATGTTGCATTAAAAATTTGCCTTTTTGACACACTATCGCGCATAATTGGATTGTAAACATACTTACCAATGACAGTACAATGAGCGAAGAATGGGTGACTGACTGCACATGAGGACTTATTACCAAAATAGACGTGGACTATCTTTGGAAATTTAGAAGAAAACATCTTTTTTTATTTATTTCAAGTTCATTTGGTTGCCAAAATAATATTTAGCATTATTTAACAAAGCTGTAAACAAAAAATTTCCACACCACACACCACACAAAACTTCAAGGTGAAAAAAAAATTTCATGGAGCCCACAAAAAGTTTTGATATAAATAAAATCAATAGCCTCCTAGCAACAACACCAATGTTTAACCACTGAATTTGAAAGCAATCGGAATAGTAGTTAAAAAGAAAAGCACTTGTTTACACTAACAATGATAACAACAAGAAGAATACTATCAAAAACATTGGAAAAAAAAACGATCCATAGGTCCACTTTGTTTCCAATGATATCTTAAAATATCTTCAGAACAAAGACTACAATATAAAAAATAAATAACCTAGCAACGAAAATAGTACCGAATAGAGAATTTTCATATTTATCACGAGAAAGGAAAGCATAATTATTCGAAGGGTATTCATATGGATCACCATTCTAGGTCGAAAGCGGAAGTTGGCAGCCAGTTTATTTTTTTTTATATGATTAAACTCGAATAGTGAGGTTTTCAGGTTGCTGACGTGAATTCCGGCAAGATGGAATACTGGAATGTCAATACTTATCAGACGGTAACTCCATTGTTGCTCAAGTAGATTTTAGAGCAAAATAGTTGGAATTTTTGACGAAAATATTTGTTTATCTCCTCCAATTTCTGCCAAATTGGCCTGTAATATTGACGATGACTACTCAGATATTAAACATTGTATTTGATGAGAAAGGCCGATTTATTTTCATAGTACACATCTTTAGAAAGGTACCATCACGATATAGCGACAATGCAACAACTATTAGGCAATCACACTCATAACACATTATTTAACTTCTTACTTATTGCCTCTTAAATTATTTTTATATAAAGTCGACTATGAGGAACCCTTTTTGAGTCATACAGGGTCGGAACCGTTATAAGGCGGCTCCTTGCAATTACTTTCCACATTTTAGTGACATTTCTTCGTTATATTTTCCGTGCCTGAAATGGCAAACGAATTTAATTCGTATTAGCTGTCATTGTACTGGTATTGCGGTATTTTACTGTGGTACTTATATTTACTGTGCTATTTTCCATTTTGTATTTATCTTTATTTTTTAATTTGTTCGTGTTATTCGATATGGACCTTAACAAGCAGGAGTAATGAACGAATCGAAATGAATGAAAGTTTGCAGCGCGATAAGTAATAACGACAAAAAAGGATTCAAACATAAAATGAACATCTGTTTCATTCATAATCCTGAACAGTAGACACCGCTTTATGTTGGCAAAACATGTTATGAATGTTATCTCGGAAATCAAAGTATCGTTTCATTCGATCAAAAACAGAGCGTGTCTAATATAAGCTTAGTATATATATGCCTATTTATGGCTATATTGTCCACAACAATCATGTACACAATTGCATGCAATTTTTTTCAAATTTAACACGACATTGGAATTATGAAAATGCACAAGTTTCTAATTATATTTAATAGCTCTTTATCATTAACAATTCCGCCCTGCCATTCACGATATCTAAACGGAAGCCTCAAAACCAATTTTTTAACGCAAATTAGGTTGCATCTCACCAGTTGTCAAACGCCTTTGATATATTATAGATTATATTGTGATTACTATTATCAAACAAAACGTTAGGAGAATTGTTAATGCTTGACAGGCGGTGAAACTCGATAAAATCTATAATACTGACATTCATTTGTTTTAGATTCTTGTAACGTCAATCACACACGAGCCATACATAATGACTATATAAAAATACACTTATTTCTGAGGCATATGCCCGTATTTGCTTAGTCTGTGAAAGACTTAAATTATGACTGTTTTGTTCAAAAATTACTTTTTGACACAAGAATGACCTCGCCCTTCTGTATCGCTTTACAAGGCCGTCTGAGCCTAATTTTGTTTTGATAGGTTGTGCAGTTGGCAGCCGAAGCGTAGACGATTAGATAGCAGTTCAATTACCTTCTGTTTGCGGCCCTAAAATAACATCCCCGAGGCGGCGATGATCCGAAAAATAAAGGATAATTGCATTCGGTAAGAGAATTATAAGATGGTATCTTCGCCAGAACACACAATTTAATAGCTTCTTCGAACTTCGCGTAATTTTTTTTTAACCTCGTACGTAAGTAAAGTTTTTATACATCGTTTTATCTATGCAAGCAGTTGTAATACACTAAATAAAAACTATGGCTGTGACTTTTATGAAGGATGTATTTGGAAAATTTGAAAGTTTTTGTATCTTTAATTATCATGTAATTCAATTATTTGGCACGCTTATCTATAGGTATTCGTGAATGTGCGAATGAAAATAATTTTGTAATAAATTTAGTGTATAATTTTGTGCAATTTTGAAATGATGTAAATCTCATTAGCCGCCCATTATTTGTAAAAGTTGCTAATTGATTTTCAGTTCAATTCACCTTTCCTAATATTAATAAACGCAATGGTATATATATTTGACTCCCCTCAATGCCTACTAATTTTCAAGCAAATATAATTATTATGTTTAGCTAACAAATTTTCATACGCCAACTTTGAAAAATTACCATTGTTTCGCCACACAAAGAGTCGCGGTTGTTAGACGGTGTAT